AGCGGCGGTAGGGATTGCGGTGGTGGCATCGGACAGCGGTAGGGATGACGGCGGACGACAGCAGGGATGGCGCTGGCGCCAGCGGCGCGCTTGCGACTGCGGAGAGAGAATATGAGAGGAGATGGGAAAAAATGCGTGGGGCCCACGATTTTGCAAGGCAACTCTGGCTGGCCACAGTTGGCCAGCGTAGGGAGGAGTTTAGCCAGCCATATGGCATGGTCAGCCGTTTAGCAAGTCTGTTAGAGCCCGTTTTTTTACTTAAAATTACCAAAATTTAACTTAGATAGTGAAATGGCCACTCTGTTGGAGATGCTCTAACCCCTTCCGCGCCGGCGTTGGCGGCGGAGTGGCCGGCCAAGTGGGTATGCGGAGCGGCGGTGTGGCGCGGGAGGAGGGAGGACGGATGGACCAGCACGCGGCGACGTTGGGGGAACAAGTGCAGGCCTACGACGCAGGTGACGATCCGCCGGACCAACGCAGGCGGAACTGGGCCGGAACGGCGCAGCGACTTACGTGCGGCCCATGTTAATTGGACCGGAACGGAGATGCGGTTTACGTGCGGCCCAAGAGCAATTCTTCTAAGACGGCCTACGAGCAATCGGCTCCATATGTCAGTCACTGAAACTTCGCGGGGGTTCGAATCGTGAGATCCCCAAATTTCGATCGAGTGGTTTCCCTCCCAAACCCAAAATTTCCGAATTCCTCCCCGCGCTGCCCCTCTCCAACCCAAATCCCTTCAATTCAATTTCCCCATTTCATCCTCTTCTTCTTCGTCCCCTTCTCCATCTCCAAATTCCAACCCATTCCTCCCAGATCCCCAATCCTCCAATTCACCACTTCGATTGATGCGCCAATGGTGCGAGAGCTCCGCCTCGACTCCTTCTACGCGCGCCTCCACGCCGCCGCCGCCGCGTCCGCCGCCGACGCATCCTCGCCGCTCCTGATCCTCCCCTCCGCCGCCGACGCCGACGCCCTCTGCGCGCTCAAGGTGCTCACCCACGTCCTCTCCGCCGACTCCATCCGCTTCTCCATCTACCCCGTCGCGTCCGCCGCCGCCGCCGCCTCCCTCCTCGCCTCCTTCTCCGCATCCCAGCCGCTCTGCCTCCTCCTCATCAACTGGGGCGCCCACCGCGACCTCCGCGCCGTGCTGCCCCCCGCCGCCACCGCGTTCGTCGTGGATTCGCACCGCCCCATCCACCTCCACAACCTTTCGGCGGCCAACGACCGCGTCGTCGTGCTCTTCACCACTGACGACGAGCACACCGCCGATCTCTCCTACGACTTCGACGTCTCCTCCCTAGCCGATGCCTCCGACCTCTCCGCTCAGGGGGAGGCCGACGACCACCTCCGCGTCGCCGAGGAGGACGAAGATTCCGATGCTTCCGACTCGGATTCCGACGGCGAGGGTGGGAGGAGGAAGAGGCGGCGGCTCTCCGACGATGCGGAGGCGGATGGCGACCCGGAGAGGCTGTTCGGGAAGCTGAGGAGGGAGTACTACCGGCTCGGCACCTTCCACGGGAAGCCGTCGGGGTGCCTCATGTACGAGCTCGCCCACGCGCTGCGGAAGAACACCAACGAGCTCCTCTGGTTCGCCTGCGTCTCCCTCACCGACCAGTTCGTCCACGAGCGCATCACCAACGAGCGCTACCAGGCCGCCGTCATGGAGCTCGAGCAGCACATCAATGGATCTGGCAATCTCGATCCATCTGGCGTGGGCGCGGTGGTGACGCTCAAGGATGGCACCAAGATCCGGGCGCCGGAGGCCTCACGCATCGCCTATGAAGACGAGCCGCGGCTGATGCTGCTCCGGGAGTGGAGTCTGTTCGACTCCATGCTCTGCTCGTCGTATGTCGCGACGAAGCTCAAGACCTGGAGCGACAATGGCCTCAAGAAGCTGAAGCTGCTTCTGGCAAGGATGGGATTCCCGCTCGCCGACTGCCAGAAGAGGTTCCAGTACATGAGCATGGAGGTCAAGCGGAAGATGCGTGATGAGTTTGATCGGTTCTTGCCTGAGTATGGGCTCACCGAGTTCTATTATCGGAGTTTCTTGAGGGTGCATGGGTACCGCTCCAAGGTTTCTGCTGCAGATGTTGTTTATGGCGTCACAGCTTTGCTTGAATCACTGAATGCTGAGTCCAAGGACTCCAAGGGGTCTTCTGCTGCTGAGCAATTCTGGGTTGCATACTCTGCATTGTCGCTGAGCAATGTCGATCAGCTGCGGAAAGGGATGCAGTCTGCAATTGAGATACAGAGGGCAATACTGAGGCAAGGAAGCTCAGCGATTACCAAGACCGGGTTCATTCGGAGTGCAAAGAAGTTTCGGTGGGTGAAGCTTGATGATCCAGTGGATACAGATAAGTTATGCCAACCTCAGGCTCTTACCAAATTCTGCTTTTTCCTAATGGACGCACTGAGAGAGCGAGGAGCAAGGATGAAGCCACTTATCTGCGCTTGCTTAGCAAGGGAGCCTGAGAAAGTGCTTGTTGTGGGGGTATGTGGGAAGCCAAGGCTGGGGGCTGTTAAGGGGAATGCATTTGGTAATGCATTTAGGTCAGCTGCCGAGGAGATTGGTGCAGACTATTTCCATGACATGTTTGAGTCATCATGGATTGTTCTCGATGTTGTTGCTGTCAGCTCTTTCATGATTCGGTTAACAGAGAAGCTATGATGACATGTGCTTGTCTAGCGCTAATGATTCTTTCAGTTCCCATGAAGATGGGAGCTTGAGGCTTGATTCCTTGATTAAACACTCTAAAATAAAGGAGCTTGAGGGCTGGTGGAGTGGTAGATCGATCTGGTGGTACATGGCATGTTCTATTTTCCTCATCACCCCACATGATCTTCACTCAGTTAGGGATAGCAGCCTGGCAAAAATTGCTTGATTTTCAGAGTTTACTTGTTCAACGGCTGTGTTTTATGTGTTACTGAAGGGAAGATTGTTTGCTGAGTGTAACTGCTCCATTATTAGCAAATGATAGATCAATAGATTCAGATGGAAACCTGATTCTAACACACAAGGGGCAAGGTATATTTGCTTGCTGATTTTCATACTAGATAGATGGAATCGATGCTTGTATTTGTATTCCCATAAGCTTGCAGTTTCTATTGTAGGGTAGTGTTGTAATCAATCTTGTACCATTGCAGTTACTTGATATTTTTAGTGTAACTGATAAGTGTCTTCCTTGTTATTTTTTGTGCAGTCATCATAACTTCAGACCTATTGTTGCATTTCGTTTTCTTAGTCACAGTAGATGACTGCAAACCTAGAATATGCATCCTTATCTTGGTCAGGTAGATGTCTGTAAAGTGTAAACTTTGAATATGCATTATACTATTTCCTAACCATTGTGTGTTGTGATGCTTTCGTAATCTCGATTAATTGATTGACATACAACGGGATCTGCTTTATGTGCTGGGGTTATTAGTTATTTCATTTCCTGGTTTCTCTCTATTGAGTGAAGTGAACTATGTAATAAGTGCGGTAGCTTCCTTGAAGATAAGGTTGGGATTCTTCCCAAATACAATGGGATCTGCTATATTGTTCTTTTGCTTGATAAAATTCAGCTAGAGATTAGCTAATCTAGCAACCTGCATCCTGGTCATTTATCACTCTAAATAAAAACTTCATTTATTCAATGCACTGGTCCATTGCTGTTGCGTTTCATTGTTCATGCAATAAGAACAAGATACTGTTTCAGAACAAATCCTTTTGTGACAGATATTTTATAGTGATTTCCAGCCCAAAGGGTATAGCCAATTCCTTCTAATTTTGTTATTAATCAGAAGGGATTCCAGTCCAGACATTGATAGGAGGCCAACTTCAGTTTTTCGAACCAACGTGATTACATGACATTTCTCAATCAATTACTACAGGTCTACAACTTCACAGCCTCACAGGGCTAAGATGAATAGAAGAAATAAAATTTAGCAGATATTCAATTCTAATAATCCAAATGGAAAAGTTGCCCTTTTCTCTTTGTGGTTTGCTCCCTGCCAATGTTGAAGTTTCTATCGTAGTCTTGTAGATCTGGATCAAGTCAATAAAATTGTGACTTTGTTAAAGAACTAACTGTTTTTCTTTTTCTGTGTGAAGATGTTCAGTTGAGTAAGGTTTGTGACTATGAAGACCTTGGTTTTCTGTGAGTTCTCTTACAGTTCGACAAGGCTTGGGCCAATCTCTTTGGATAAAAGGAAATTGAACTACAATTCCTACCTTTCTGAAATTTGGTCATAGTCCCTAAAATGGCTTGCTGTTTGATGTTATAGGTAGTAGGGGAAATTCTATTCTACATTCTTGGTTCTTACAATATTACATTCTTACTCAGGCATGCTGTTTGCTACGTTCTGTTCCTCCATTTCAGCTCATCATGTAAAATTTCTAGTATCAAGATACCTTGTTTGCTGTTCCATGTTTGTGAACATGTTTTAGGGCTTGTTTGGGGAGTTTAAGATTCTAAGAAGCAACTGATTGGTATGGTAGCCAGCTTCTGAGAATTTGGAAAAGCTGGATTTTCCAGCTTCTAGTTCATTTTCTGGATTCTACAACTACAACTTTTTAGAATCTGGACCAAAAGCTGGACTGTTTGAGGGAGCTTCTGATTCTGAGAGAAGCTGCAGCAGCTAGAAGCTCCCCCAAACAGGCCCTTAGGTAGCTGGTTACAAGTCTGATCACACTGTTTTAGGTTTGTCTGTTGTTGTATATCAGATAGCTAAATGCATAGCTGTGAGCTAGAGTTGTGATAAACTGGAAATAGGTCAGGGAACGTCTTTTTTTGCCAAAGTATGGGTAAAGATAAACTTGGTGAGCTCAGCTGGGGACAAAATCATCAGATTTTGTATTCTCCCAGCAGAGCAAATAGGGATTTGCCTGTGAGTGCATGCCTGACTTGTCTGTTGGTCTATGAAATGGGCCGTGAAGTGTGCTTCTATGGGCCTTGTCACTACTCACCAGGCGGTATTGCAGAGCAGATTTCTTGGCCCATTTTGTCCTTTTTCTCTCTCCAGCTTCGCTGCTGCTCCTTGGGATGGAAGAGAAAAGAGAGGAGACCGCCGCCGGCTGCCCATCCGGTCATCCGCAGCCTCGCCGGCGCCATCGACCAAGCTTGATCGCGCCAGCATCGCAGGAAACTTTGCCGGTAGCCACTCAACATCCTCCATTTATTATTTCTATCTCTTTTATAAATAAACTTTTCTGTTGCGTTGCACGTCAGTAGGTCAGTAACACAAATTTTACCGAGCGTTCTAGATATATATACAGGGCGTCAAGATAAATTCCCTTCAACTTTCAGAAAAGAAAAGGAGAAACCATCCTTTCTCCAAAAGTTCCGTCATTCCCTGAACCAAATTCGCCCATATAATTCGCGGAAATTGCTATGATGTTCCCCATTTATAGCTCATAAGTTCATGTGCTTGTTCCAAAATGACCTAGTCCACTGATCAAGGATAAGGGTATGTTGACTAACCTTTTAACTGAATTTGATGCAACAAGGACAAGTTCAAGTTTTGAAAATGACATGACATCTAACAATGTAATCCCTCAGCTGGTATGAGTCCTTTCTGTAGGAAAGGGTACCATATACATATACGGTTGCTATCACATATCATCACTTTGATTGGTAACGGTTAATTCAAATCAGTGCTTTGTATGTGTGTTTAGTTTCCATCAATCGGAAAAGCCACTTTCAACTAGGTTTATCCATACCTTGCTAGTGTTGTTTATGTGGTCTGAACCTGATGTTCTCCTGTAGGTTAAGTAGGTCGTTCTCAATCGCCAAACCACAAAATAATTGCTCAAATTTCAGAGTTATATTCCTGTACGACTTGCAACCAATTAGTGGTCCTATGCTAATTCTATGTGACTGGAATAATTAGTGTGATGTTTCCCTTTAAATTCTGATTGACGAGGCACAAGGCTACTAAAAGTAGGCATGCTCGTAACAGCATTTGTTATTCTATATTTACAACTGCACATCATTTTCTTTAGAAAACATACATCATTGGTTCTCTTGAGCTTCAAGAACCACTACGCTGATGATGCAACAACTTCCACTCAGATCTAAGAGCATGATGCTCGTTACTTGTTTTACGCGAAGTCTTATCAAAAGTGTTCATGGAATTCATCTAGTAGTCAACAGTAGAAGTCAAATCCCTATTAACTGATAATAAACCAATCGAAAATCACAACTGATTGGTCAAGATTCCCTGGCAGTAAATTTTCTTATGTTGGTTGAAATGGCCTTCTATTGAGTTAGAAAATTCCAATTTGTCCTTTTATGCAGATGCTCTTAATTAATCTCTTTTAGTTACTTGTAAAATGGCCTTAACCTTTTTCTTAATCTCTTATGATTTGTCTCCTTGAAGCTAAGTCTTTTATTTTTAACAAATCTATTTTGGAGTTGATGGTTTCGAGAGAAAAAAAAACAATTGGGTTTACAGGTTATTGATTTCTTGTTATTTTCTTAAAGACACTTGAGAATGTGGTGCGAAGGGTGGCAAAATTTGCACAATCCATTGTTCATCGCTGGATGGATGGAATACTGGCTCCAGCTGGCCAAACTCTTTTGCCGGGTTGGCGGAAGGACGCCAACCAAATTTCATTAAGATAAAAGAGAGTTATATAGGTATACACGACATTAAACTGCCGAGTCGGGGAAGACCCCGAAACAGAAGAAAAACAAAACTATTTACAGGGAGCTAGAGACCAAGTTGCTACTCCTCGCTATCAAAAATACCGGCCGCTCTCCAGATCGAAACTTCTTCTTTGATGTCAGCCACCAAAAGTTCAACCACTTTCGGTTTGTCCTCAAAGAAGCTGGCCAAACTCTCAATGTTGTAGAGATTCTGGGAACCAATGTTAACTGACCAATCCCTGATATCTCTTCTGACTCAGGTCATATATACCACATGACAGTCACCTATCGTAGTTGTACCTATCTCAAAATGCTCAATCAACTCATATGCCTAAAATGATAAATTCATATTAATGTTTCCAACAAGTAGATAGTGCTATCTATCATTTTTTCTACTTGCAGAGGACACTAGATATGCCAAATGGTTCAACATCTTAATCTAGCTCTCTGCTCTTGAATGGGACCTTGACATTTTTGTTGGAACATATAGCAGGGTAACAGGGATTGTGCCACCACATATCAGGCCAATTGATAGTGCACCGTTGGGAAAATCTGCATCGCATAGTTGGTTACGGGACAACTCTCCCATAAATGTAGATCTGCCTAAGATGTGATGCACCAAATAAGGTTCTGAAAAATGGTTTATTTTGTCTTTGCTTTATGGTATAAATAAACATTGTTGGCTTACCTAACAAATTAACGATGTTTCATGAATGGAGGCATATCGTATTGGATATGTTATATAAGATGGTTCTGCACAGAGTATGTTATCAAAATCCAGGTAACTAGAAAGCACCAACCTTGTTGCGGCTCTATGTTATACTAGCTTTCTCTACTAAATTCCAATCTTAAGTATGTAAGAGCGTCACATATTTTTTGAATATTCATTAATTTTGGCTAGCAGTCCTCAAATACTAACATGTGTATCATAGCAGATGTAGCTACATTTATTTCTGAGAATAGACATCTTCAACTTGTGTATCTTTGTCTTTGTACTCTTTCTAGTTTGTTGTCACCTGTACAGATAGATACGAGATCCATCCACTTATCCAACAACTCCAAATGATTATTGATTACTGATAAGCATTGCACTCTATGCAACCACTCCAAAGTATATGGCACTATAGGTTTCTTGAAGAAAAGGTACATTAGCAATGTGCAACATCAGAATATACTGATGGTGGATCTTCTTGCTCTTTTTAGCTATCGCATTTAAGAAGTCTTACTTCTGAGCATGACAATATTTGTTTAAAAAGAACGATGCACATCACATTCTTATAATAGCAAGGTAACAGGATTGTAAGTCTTTACTGAAGGCATTAGCTAGGGTGTTCAGGCAGTCATGCTCAATAGCAAAAGAATTGGCTTGCTGAGGTGGTCCTTGTGGTGCTAGTTTGGTTAGTAGTTGGGAGGTAAGCTACTCACTCTTTGTGATGATTATGCTGTAGGTTTGTCCTTTCATGTGAACTAATATATGAACAAACTGAAGAACTGCCTAAAGGTGTCCTTGCTGCAACGATGTTATGAATAATAGGCTGAGCCGACATTATTATCTTGTAATGTATATTCCATACCACTTAGTGTTTTTCTCTGAAACTATATCTATACTGTACGTACTATACTATATAATTCACAAAGTTGGTTATATTTTCATTTTTGAATGGATAGATCTTCTGGAAAAGTTCATGAACAATTATTTTTTGTTCTTTCAATTTCGGGGCAATTGCAAATTTACCACTGCTTTGAATTGTTATTGCAAAACTGCCACTAGAAAATTACAAAAATGCCACTGGAACTGTCATTCGAGTGGCATCCTTGCAAAATTGAAAAAACCGGTGGCAAATTTGCAAATGCCCCATCAATTTCTCATAGGTCATGGTTATATCTCTCCTTGTTGCAAATTTAATGGTTTCGACAATGGAAAGTGGGGTCAAGCATTTAGGTGGTGTTACTTAGTGGAGTAGTTTTTACTAACCATCCCCACGGAATGGAAAATTAGTACAATGGTACCATTTTACACTTTTCTGGCAAAATGTATCTACTTATTTTTTAAACTAAACCGGAATAAGAATTACCAATTGTGTTTCAATAAGTAGAAGTAAAAACTCAGACGGGTTACAAGGAAAAGAAAAACAACTACCTGCGGTCAGCTGAACAACCACACAGCACACACAACAACTTACAATACCATGCTCTTTAAATTGGCAATATAATCTATTTAGTCTTGAATCAAGTCCTGGTGCAATGTTTGCTCTGTACAGACCCCCCCCCTCTCAATTAGACACTGAATTAAAACTGTCTTCCTACGTACAAAAATCTGTGGCTGATTTTTTTTTACTCAGAGTTATTTTGACTAGTAAAGTAGTGGAACTATTAGCAGAGTGAATATTTTCTTGAGTAATTAAGAAGGTGATTCTAATGTCTTGAGTAACTATTATAAACTAGCCGACTATTTCATCCACAGCTACACATCTTGATTTGGTTTTACATTGTAACGTGGTAAGTTTTTGTGCCATTGTGTGGTTATAAAAAAAATGCTAGGAGTTTGCTAGTCACCATTTACTTGATTTTCTAGCAAGGTTTGGAGATGTAAAGATAAGTTAACCCATGCTCACTTTTGTGTTGTCAGGTTTAGCATAGATTTTACCTTGTCATATAAATCCATTTTTTACAAAATCTGGATTGGAAGCCATTCCTGAGTTACCTGAGATTCTTTCTTGATTAAAATATTGATGCATGAAAATATTTGGGTCCTTGATCTTTTTTACAACACCTGCCTATTAAAGATGAATTAAATACCTGATAACAACACTATTCTTACACATTGTATGAGTCCCTTTCATATGCTGTGTATACATACTCATCAGGATACCTATAGCTGGGGTCAAATCGGTGTCAACAGAATTCTACTTCAAGTATGTGCCATTATTCTGACAGAAATACGATGGCAACTTATGCCTGCTAATTGACGAAGTAGTTACAGAATGTGCACTTGGACTTGTCAAGAACTAGTTCTCTACACATTAAGACTCCTTTTGCTGTTAGTGTCGATGAACTACTTTGAGGTATAGTTTTGCAGTTAGACTGCCATGCTATTGGCTGTTGACTACCACTGATCTTTATCTTTTTGGAATGGATTTTGTTCATACACCAGTAGCACTACCTCCACTTTCAGAACTGAACGTCGGTTTTACTTTCTGTCACAAAATGCATATGATGTGTCAATTGTTCTTAATTTGACAAGGCTAATGCTTACATTTTCCTGGTTACTGTTGTGCTACAGGATGCTTCCTGGAAGAATGAATTGAGCTTGTCTATGTACTCCCCCGAGGTTACACAGATAGACCTCTCATACTTATGGTAGCTGCCGGTTGGTTGTCATGGCACACTCCCTTGGCAACTCTTAATTACACGTGAGCTATATTTGTACTGCCTTGGTCCCGTATCTACTCTGATGGATACATGAAGACTGAGATGTATACTTCCACTCAATACCATGTTGTCAAGAATTGCAGTTCCTTTCCTTTTTCTAATTTCTACTATTAAGCATTTAAGCATTACTTTCTTTTTCTGGAGAGATCATTTTACAGGGTGATTTGAACATACAGTAATTATGGCCAAGCCTTCGATCAACTCTATACAAACTATGCAACAAAATTTAGTTACTTCCAGAATTCCAGATGTTTTGAATTAGTAGACTTGAATCACTTGAACATCTGGAGATCTTGAGAGTATTTTTCTTTCTGAACCGGTATGGTTGATCATAATGCTTTCCTTTCTTGGCAGGACTGAAGGATTGGAGTCCTGCATTTGTTGAAGAACTCCATGAAGGTATCAAATGTGCTTCTTATGGACCATGGCACTATGGCAGCAATGCCAGCATGGTTGGATGTGGTTGGGCCAGGAAAAATGTAACCTGGTCGGCCTCACCCCGCTGGTCCAAAGCCTGCCTGATCTGGGGCTGGAACACAAAAAAGCACATAGCTGCTGTACAAAGCTACTCCCTCTGTTTTACAATGTAAGTCATTCTAGCATTTCCCATATTCATATTGATGTTAATAAATCTAGATAACATCAATATGAATATGAGAAATGCTAGAATGACTTATATTGTGAAACGGAGGAAGTAGCTGATTGGCGTCAGGCAGTTGAGAATATCACCGAGCCAGGCTAGGACAGGTTGAGACTTCATCAGCTTAATTGTTCATGCAATGCCAGGTTTTCCTCTCGTCTTACGTACAATTTAATAGGCGATCTGGAGTTTGTAATTTGTACACTGAAGCAGGTTCACTAGGCAGAAGCAGAGGATTCTGCAGGTTAGCATAAAAGGGACGTGTAACAGAGAGAGACACGACACAGGCCATGTCATAATCAGGTATAATCACTCAATTTGCTGGACATCGACCACTATTCTCAGTAGTGCAGTACCATCTATGAGTTTTAGTTGATGTTTAACAAGCTAACGCTGCATTTGCTGTGATGCTGATGACTACCTAGAGTAGCTATGCACCATCAACACACAAGTTTCTGAAGCCTAGCTATTTGCAAAAATATACTCATAGAGAGGGACCTGACCTGTCCAATTGCCCTAACATTGGTGTAATTTGCAGGGTAGGTCCGGCATTAAACGAAAGATTAGGGCACTGTTTATCTTTGCACTCAATGAATGAGAACAGGGCAAGAAAAAAAAGTTGGGAGCTGATTTCGTTTGCACTGAATGTGATCGGGGGACCAACACAGTTGCCGACAGGTAAGGAGTCTGTTTAAGCTTCTTCTCTCCGCAGCTGCTTTGTAAGAATAGTATAGTATCTGCATTCATATGGGCATACGGCAAGTACATAAGAGGACGAAGAAACTGTTTCATAAATCATTGCACCAGCCCACTCCATTCAGGAACAAAAAATAAACTGGAACTTTCACCATTTCCCTCTGGTCTCACAGTCGTTTTAAAAGGTGTGCACTCAACACGAGTTAACTTTGACCATAAAAAATCATATTTACAATATCTTTTTTAGTATTACACATGTAATTTTGTAAAATTTCTGCTAAAGAACTAGATAGCCATATTTGTATAATGTTGACTTTAAAAACATTCAAAATAATTTTGTTTTGAGACAAGAAGGAGCACTTATTACTTTGTTAGTAGAGAAATTTTATAATCTTAAGAGGCACCAAAATTTTTTAACGCAAATTTTCGTATCTCTTGATACCAGAAATATAAGAGATATCAAATTTTACATTAGAAAATATGGTACCTTCTGGCACTTCCTTAGGGCAGCCACAATGCAGACATAAACGTGAGTCTTAATTAAACCTCTAAAGTGAACTTTATACATTATGAGAGTAGTCCAATTACCATCTAACATTGCTGAAATTGTGGAAACTAGAAATTAAGAATTAGGAAAGGAAGATAAGATTGTCATTTTAAAGACCTCTTTAATCCAAACAGGAGTCTAACAATAATGGATTGGATAGGGATTTTGACAACGATATTATATTCCAATATTCCAGCTCTTTGTGCATGATAGGTTGGCTACTGGAGACACTCTGTGGAAATAATTTTATGAATTCATTCGAAAAAATGAATAAGAAATAATCTTGATGAGTTACATCATGCTTACATATATAATCACACCTGTTAATTCCTGTTGATATCTCTTATTCTTGTGCTGACGTTTGATGCCAGTGACACACGTACAACCGGTCACACATCCAAAACTACAAATAAAACAAATCTTCTAGCTTCAAGTATAGTAACAACAATAGTTTAACCTAGACATGCATCTAGCTAATTAATGTAAAATTAATTATTGATGTGCACAGTATACGTATCGAATGTGACAGTGTTTTCTTTCATTACTTGAGCTAATTAAAACATCATTGGGACGGAGCAGCAACCGTCGGAGAGGTCCATGAGGTCGGCGACCTGCTCCGCCGCCGCCTCGTCGAACAGCCACTTCTCGATCGATGACAGCGGCGGCGCTGCCTGGTTCATCAGCTGCTGCTTGCTCTCGTCGCCGTAGCCGCCGCCATAGCCGCCGTACTCCATGAACGACGCCGGCTGCTGCTGCTGGTGCTGCTGATGAACGTCGAAGCAGCAGTCCAGGTCGGCGCCGGACATGCAGTCGAAGGACGACAGCAAGGGGTTGCCGCCGACATCGACGGCGGGCTTGACGTCGTCGTAATAGCCGCTGTCATAGTGCTGCAGCGGTGGCGGCGGCGGCGACGGGGAGTTGGTCTTCATGAAGCCGTCGAGCAGCTTGGAGATGTTGTCCATGCTGGAGGCGTATGAGGAGGATGGGCAGTCGGCGAAGGGGGAGCGCCTAGCAATGGCTGCCATCTGGGTGACATCGGAGTTGCTGCTCACCGTGTAGCTACCGCCGGCGGCGGAGGGGAAGGTGGCGTCGGCGAAGATGGGGTGGCGGTTGGAGGATGAAGTGGAGTTGGCGGCGGCGGCGAGCTTCTTCTTGAGGTGGGTGTTCCAGTAGTTCTTGATGTCGTTGTCGGTGCGCTGGGGGAGGTAGGAGGCGATGGCGGCCCAGCGGTTGCCGAGAAGCGACTGGAGGTGGACGATGATCCCCTCCTCGTGCGCCGTGAAGTTGCCGCGCTTTATCCCCGGCCGCAGGTAGTTCGTCCACCGCAGCCTGCAGCTCTTGCTGCACCTCATCAGCCCTGCATCCATCCATCCACCCACAGCTTCAGCTTCTTCTCAGTTCATCATCGATCACCATGGCTACTTGGCTAGCTATAGTTCATCTACAAAAGAAAGTAAGAAACTACACAGAATTGGGGAATTAGGACGTACCAGTGTTGATGGGAACCGATCTCCAGTTGCCGGGGCCGTGTTCTTGGATGTAGGAGACGAGGATGATGTCCTCCTCGGGCGTCCATGGCCCCTTCTTGATCCCCTCCTTGTCGCAGCACGGCGGCCGGCCCATGGCTACAATTCCTCACTCACTAATTAACTCTGATCCTTCCCGGATCGATCGATCGAGCTAACTACTCTTTCTGGAAGCTGCAGCTAGCTGATCGATCGATCGGTCGTCTCTCTCTGTGCTACCTGAGCTTCCGACAGTGTGCTTGAGTGTAGAGATATATATAGCTAGGAGACTGGGGACTTTGGGAGTGAGTGAGCTCCTTTTCACTTGCTATCTCTGATGTAAGCCACTTTCTGATCGATCGATGAGATGATTTACTTTCACTTTCTAGCAAGTCAGTTGATCTGGTTATCGATCGATCGATCGATCTGTCTGTATGTAGGATGCTTTCTCTTTCTGTCAACAGCATCACATGAATCAGTGACAATGACACGGCCACACCTTAAAGCTAGCAAGAAAGACTGTTGTATGTCTGTATAGCTAGCTCCAACCTGTACGTACTACTGCTTGGTCTCACTGTGTCTAATTTAAAAGGCACTGACTTCTCCCATGCAAACCACCCATGGATATGACTAACTTAGGCCGTGTTTAGATTCCTTGGTAAAATTTTACATCCTATCACATCAAATATTTAGACACATATACGGAGTATTAAATATAGACGAAAAAATAACTAATTACACAGATTGCGCCGTTTTTTTGACAAATTGACCCTTTTCAAAAACTTAATTCGAAACTAACCCCTGCCAAAAACTTCAACCAAAACTAGGCCGTCGGCTCAGCGCCAAGCGCATTGGCGCTGAGGTTGGCCGTGTCAGCGCCAACGGGACTGGCGCTGACATTGTGCCACCGTGGTGGCCGGGCCGATCCCCTAGCTGACGTGGCAGCTAACTCAGCGCCAACCGCTTCGGCGCTGAGGTGCCCAACCTCAGCGCCAAGTAAGTTGGCGCTGACCTTGGCTACTTAGAGCCCGGCCGAGGCCGCCCCAGCCAGTTATTCCTCCGTTTTTTCCCCAGCCGCCCGCCTAGGGTTCGGTCGCCACCGCGTTCTCCTCGCCCAATCTCCCCCAAAAACCTCTCTAATCGAAGGTGATTTGTGCGGCATTGAGTTTGGGATCGGAAGAGAAGATAAACCCCTCTATAAACCCTAAGTTCCCCAAAGTTTTATTGGATATTTTGCATTGTTTTGGTTGTAGACGTGGTTTGATAATAGTTGGCTAAGGATGGATTATTAGATGGATAATATGGGTGGGGATGAAGTGTGGAGGTGGCATATCTTTATCCATTTGGTTGTTATTGATACATTTGACAAAATATATTTGGGATGGATGTTTGGTGATGCACTAGGGTTTGATGGGAGATGGATGTGTGGTGATGGCCTAGGATGTGGGATGGATTTGTGGTGATTGAGAGGGTTTGAAAGGGGTTGATGTGTGGTGAAGGGTAGGTAATTTGTAGGAGTAGAGTTTTTTTTTATCAATAATGTGTAGTATTTGAGTAATGTACTTATTTATTGGAAAAATTAGACATGTTGTTAGCTTTTGAAGTATTGGTATTGCAATGGTAATTACATATTATTTTCAAGTAATTAATGTTTATGCATGGGTTAAAAATTGTAGATGGATAGATTGGTCCGGCTTCATTATGGTGGTTGTGTGGTAGATGAAAGTACACATGGAAGCCAATTTGAGGGAATGACAGTTAGACAATTAGTGTTTTTTGCGAAGCCTACCTTTGAGGAGTTAATGTCTCGCATCAAGCATGAATTGGATTGGAATGATGAGTCGGTTGGTATGCAAGGGAGATACGATGTGGGCGGCGGTGTCATGTCACATAAATTTATGTTAGACTTGAATGGAGAGATCGAATGGCAAACATATATAGATATAGTATTGGGGTCACATTTCAAATCTCTTGAGGTGTTTGCATGGAAGAAAGATGGTAGGATAGGAAAGAAAGAACTTGTAGACCTTAATGAAAGTTCACTCATAGAATCACCCATTAGCTGTCACGAACTGTCGGAGAGGTGTAGTAGGAAGGAAGAATTGATTGAGGAAGACGTGGAGGGGGGCGAGGGAGTAAATGATATGGCGGATGTGGAGGTCAGGGAAGAGAATGACCCGGTAAGGGAGGAAGTACATGCAGAGGAGAATGTGCCGTTAAGGGAAGAAGTACATGCAGAGGACAATGTGCCGTTAAGGGAGGAAGTTAATGTGGAGGAGAATGTGCCGGTAAGAGAGGAAGGAGATGTTGAGGATGGTCGGGAGGTAGGAGATGATGTGGAGTTGCCTGAGGAAGAAGCGAATGCTAAGAATGTAAGTATGGGCCTAAGGGAGTTGGCTAGGCTGAAATTCTATACCCGAGAGGAGTGTGAGGAGGCTATGATACGCAGTGGATTGAACCCAGGCTGGTTGGAGTATGATACAGAGGATGAATTGGATGAGTCCGCTTCCGACTCCGATGATGATCGTCCAGTGCGTAAGATGTCAGAGCATGAAAGGACTGTGTTTGCGAAACTGGTGGGTAGAAATCCGGAAATAACACAATTCGAGGATCTTACCAGATCTGGGCTAGCAATTGCTGATGGGGATCCACAATATGACGGTGCCTTCGAACCAATGTGTGATGAACCAAGGAAGGGGTTGGAGTTTCGATTGATGGATGATCTGAAAATATGGCTACAGAGTTATTCTATCCGTGTCCACCGGCCGTACCATGTGAAGGAATCTAACGCGTCAGTAAAGTATACTGTGGCTTGTCTCGATCGCCATTGCAAATGGCAGATTAATGCAAGGAAGAGTGGAGGAGATAGGTGGCGGGTGACTAGGGTGGGCGAAGACCACACATGATGTAGTGCGGAAGTAACCGGCAAGCATTTGCAACTTACTTCAAGGTTTATTGGAAACAGGTTACATGCATTTGTGCGAGCTGAACCAACTTTATCTCCAGCAGCGATTGTCGAGGCAGTTGAGCAAATATGGCACTATCGGCCTACGTATGGCAAAGCATGGCGTGCTAAGCAAGTTGCTATGAAGGTCATTTGGGGAGATTGGGACGAGGCGTATGTTCGCTTGCCTACACTGATGCGTGCCATCAAAGCAAAGAACCCTACCATGCATTTCCGTGTTGAGGCTCATCCCGAGAAGTCCAGGATGGTGGATGGAGTACAGAGGCGAGTATTTGGACATGCATATTGGATATTTGGCCAGTCCATAGAAGCATTCAAGCACTTGAGGCCGGTGCTAGCAATTGATGGCACTTTCTTAACCGGTAAATACCAAGGTACATTGCTCCTGGCTCCGAAGGAGAGGGCGGCACCCTCCGCAACGCCCTACAGGTAATCGTTGGAAAGAGATGAAACTACGGTGTTTTCTTCCAAAAGCGATAACTTAACATGGATTATTTTTTATGCAGAGACTACGGCAGCGATGTCGGAAGTTGGCAGCAAGGCTCGGCTGCAGGTCGACTGATGTGGTCGAACATGCTCATGCCCACCAAGAGGGGGATGAAGAAGGGGAGGTGGGTGACGAGGAGGGCGAGCAAGACAAAGAGGCGGAGGAAGGAGATGAGGAGGAAGAAGGGGATGAGGACAGAGAAGAGGAGGCGGATGAGCTCGGTCCCTCGCAGCTAGAGGACGCACCAGAGTCGTCACAGCCGGATATCTCGCAGCCCGGCCCGTCTCGACCACGACGCCGGCGGGCTCCTTCGCAGGACTGGAGGTACACCCCCGACGTGCCTCGTCCTCGCACTAGAGGTAGGAGGAGGTGAGTGCATGGTTCAATGGATGGATGGATGGACTTGATGCATGGTTCGATGGATGTATGGACTGGATGTATGGACTCGACTGGATGTATAGACGAGGATCGATGGGATGTTTTTATTTCTTATATATATGGACTTCATATATGGATGTATTGATGGATTCTATGGATGTATGGAATGATGTTGGGATTGATGGATGGATGTATGTTTTGTATGGTTCTCTGGATATATTACTGCCTGTAAATTTCTGTGATTTGATGTTTGCCTGTGTTGTGTGCAAAGTTTTGCTAAAGTTTAGCAGGGCTGGGACGTCAGCGCCATGCTAAATGGCGCTGACATGTCCAAACTCAGCGCTGACATGTCTAAATGGCCTGTGTTGTGTCCAGAAGGCTTGCTGGGCTGGGCCACGGCCGAAACGGCCAAGTCCAACCTCAGCGCCAGGTGGGCTGGCGCTGAGTTTCCCACAGTCAGCGCCATTATGGATGGCGCTGAGGTCCCAGCCCGCAAGCCATCCAGAAGGCTCGAAACGGCCAAGGCCCACCTCAGCGCCAGGTGGACTGGCGCTGAGTGTCCCACGGTCAGCGCCATTATGGCTGGCGCTGAGGTCCCAGCCCGCAAGCCATCCAGCAGGCTTGCTGGTCTGGGCCTTGTGGGCTGGCGCTGAGTGTCCCACGGTCAGCGCCATTATGGCTGGCGCTGAGGTCCAAACCCGCAAGCCATCCAGAAGCCTTGCTGGTCTGGGCCTTGGGGGTTGCGGCCAAGTCCCACCTCAGCGCCAGTCCTGTTGGCGCTGAGGTAGCTGCCACGTCAGCTGGGGATCGGCCCGGCCGCCACGGTGGCACAATGTCAGCGCCAGTCCCGTTGGCGCTGACACGGCCAACGTCAGCGCCAATGTGTTTGGCGCTGAGGCGACGGCCTATTTTTGGTTGAAGTTTTTGGCAGGGGTTAGTTTCGAAATAAGTTTTCCAAAAGGGTCAATTTGTCAAAAAAATGGCAGATTGCGTGTAAATTGCGAGACGAATCTTTTAAGTCTAATTGCGCCATGATTTGACAACGTGGTGCTACAATAAACATTTGCTAATGACGGATTAATTAGGCTTAATAAATTCATCTTGTGGTTTACATGCGGATTCTGTAATTTGTTTTGTTATTAGACTACGTTTAATACTTCAAATGTGTGTCCGTATATTTGATATGATACGCTAAAATTTTACACCCGTGGATTTAAACGCAGACTTAATTTCTCTAGGCATTTCTTACCGTAAGCAATTTATCTGTCCAACTATATATAACTCTTACTACATACAAAATTTGTGTGTTAACCAGAAAAGTAGAAAAAAAAAGCTTCAACCATTCACCTGAGTTTCGAGAATACGCATACGCATAACCCGGAACTAAAAGGGGTTACAAACCGGGACTGATGAGGCATTCTTCAGCAGTGTAAGCATTGGGATATTTACAACAGGTTTACATTAAAAAAACAAAACGGAAAAGGTAAAAACTTGGGCACTCTTGGGAAATGGATTTTTAATCCCTCGTGAGGATATGTCCCCTAGTTATTGCATACCATCCAATAGTTATGATTTTTTTTATAAAAATAGTAAGATAGATTGATATATTATATATCACGAATATACAAGTTTAAATTCAATCTTCCTAAGTATACGTGTGGTCACAATTATATTTTTTTCAGCTCCTAGAAGTCAATTTCAAACTTGCATATTTGTGTAGTGATCGATATATCATATATTAATCTATTCTATCAATTTTTTAAATTTGGGATTTAATTAAAGAATATGCTATAAGTCCAATTACCGTGATAAACAAATAAAACATGGAACAACAAAAAATGAATTAGCAATTCGATTTGTATGAGCTCATTCCCACAATAACATAATTATTAGCTAGTTATTTTTTAAATCTATTGCAAATTACTAGTAGTTGATATTTGGAAATTCAGACTTTGGGAATTTTTAACATATAAACAGTAAATTTTTAAGATTTTGTTCCACATACAACTTGGTAAATATGACTTTTGAATTTCAGACATATTAATCCAAAAATAAAAATATATTTCTGAATTACATAAAATGGGAAATTTATTGTACACGCAATATCTATGTAAAGATATATAAAAATCGGAACCGATTCTAAGGAAGGATGCACTCCCATCATTTTTGTCTAAAGATGATTGATTATAAGCCATAACACTTATTAGCGGCTTAAAAAATAATTTATGAGTAAAACTTTTATATATGTGCTCTTAGCAACTTAAAAAACCAATATACGTTGAATAAACTATGGTAAAAAACATCACAATCAACTTTAAAATAAAATTTAAATTAACATTTAAATTTTAGCTACGGATGATAATTAAGCTGAATAGCAAATTATGGTTGAAGACACCTATAGCTAGCTGATTAAGGTTCAGAGAGATATAAAACCCCAAGGCCATATATAATCAGGTTAGTCATTTTACGTGAAGCTCAAATGATATATTGAGTCTATTTGGGAGTTTCTGACAGTTACGGATTATTCTAAAATCTGAAGCTTTCCAAACCATAACTTTTGATCGAAAATTTAAAAAGTAGATGTAGAATCTAGAAAGAAAATAAAGTAATACCATAAGCTAATTTTCTTAGCTTCTCAAGATTCCTACCACTCGTTTCTCAGAATTTAAAAGTTACCTCAGACATGCGCATTTTGTTGTGTAAAAGCAGTGTCAGCACTTTCAGAACGTTACATTGTCTCAATGATCCCCTCTGTACGTGGTCTAAAATGGAACAACGTGTTTGAGATATACTCCCTCCGTCTCACAAACTCCATTTTTTTAGTTTTTAATATAACGTTTGATTTTTCGTCTTATCTATAATTATTATTTTCATTGTAATTAGATGATAAAACATAAATAGTATTTTATGTGTAACTATTTTTTTATTTTTTTTAAAAAAATAGAGATGGTCAAACGTTAGATATAGAAACCCAAAACTGGAGTCTGTGCAGGACGGATGGAGTATATGTTCTCATACTGTGCATATATATACTTTCTACATAGTACCCACTAACAATTATTACAAGCTAAAGCTCAACATGCAAGTATGTCACATCATCACCCACTAGCAATTACTATTTTAGCTCATTAATTTAAAATCCTATGCAAGTATGTCACATCTTCACTCACTAGCAATTACTATTCTAGCCTATTTTATTATATTATAGAGATCGACATGTATGTGTCAAATCATGTTCCTCGTATTATTTTCTTAATATTTTAACTTTCATCATTTCGACAATATTTAACATATACTCATCCATAAATCCCGCAGAAAAGCGCGGGGTATCACCCAGTATATATGATGGTAGGTCCACTAGCTTCATCCAAAAGCTATTTGCCAGAATGCCCACATGCATATATAGGCACAGTGAGAGTGATCGAGACCCCAATTGATCGGCCAAAGGTCAGCAATGTTTGTACGTGCAGCCTATAACTCCATGTGTAGTTTAAAATATTGTAAATGATGAAATAAAATCCATATATAGATGTACATGACCTTTTAATATAAGAATGAAAAATATTCCAAATTGCATTTATTTATTATGATATATATAGTTTGGTAGCAAAACATATAATGACAGATCATGCAATCCAGGGCTCCTGTAGAAATTGTGCAGATATACAGGAGTTCATCACTAGTATATTATCAGTGCATCACACGGCAGGTCACGAGGAATTATATTATTAGTGCCATATTTATGCACCATCGATCATAATAATGATGTGAATGATAGATGATCGTGTATCTTGCATCTTGTGGGCGTTTGTAGTTCCACGTTGTCTCAGCCCCGCTCCCACTTTAATGGAGTCGATCAATCACATCATTTTTCTCATATTTACAATATCCCACGTGCTTCCTACAATATCCCACTTACTTGTATACTGTGTGTATATTACAATGGGATTAAAGTTAAAGAAAATCATCATGATTTCTGCGTATATTTGATACTAACAAAAAAAAATAATGAGTTGGTGGTGACGGTGGTTAACATGTAGGTCATCTAGCCCATTGCCTTTTTCCTTACCACTACCTTTTTATAGAAGTCTAGATATCACCCCGTTTTTAAATAGATGCTGTTATTATCTTTTGATATAAAGTTTGATCATGTGTCTTATTCAAAATATTTACTGTTAATATATAAAAAATAAAAGTATAAGTCATGCTTAAAGTTTTATTAATTAGTAAAGTATCTTACAATAAAAAAGGACACTTCTATATTTAGATGAGACGAATGATCAAACGTCAAACCAAAAATTAATGTCATCGTCTATATATTAAAATCAGAGGGAGTATATGCTCACGCTCACTCTCTAAAACATACAACGCAAGAGCTGAAGAGCGATGCTAATCATGTGTATACATAAATATAAAAGATTTTAGTTATATTTTTTTTTGCCTTTTTACATACTCTCATACTGTCGCCGTAGTACATGGTGCCACAAGCATGGGTTCTTTTATTGGTATATTACCAGCAAGTGGTTTGAACTTTGAAAGTTAGATATGGGTCTTTGTTCATTTCCAGGCACTTGTCAGCAAGGGAGTATTGTATTGAGTAACAACTAATCTGCCGAGCAATATTTAGAAGATGGAGAGTCAAGAGAGATCGAACGGGGAGAAAAGGACTCACGGCTTAAATATATATTTGTGATATAATATTCATATTTGGTGTTATGAACAGGAGGACCACGTACTGTCGTGTGGGAACAAAGTATTAAAGGGTTGAAAGGAGTTATATGTATATATACCTATTAATCTTGTGATAAGTCGACATGACACAATTATGTCAAAATTAAATCCATAATTTGCACGTTTCGTTTTCTATTTTTTAGGTTTAGACGCATAACCTTGAAGATCCTTGATGAGTTAGAAACTTCACACCGTACCTTATAATTCGAGCATCCACAAAATGGTCCTTTATAACTCTTCGTCATACCTTCACTACCACTCATATGAAATAAAATACGCTCTCTTTCTCTTTCTTCTTTTCTATGTTATTTTGATGTGATTTTTATAGGATGCAGACACTAACTTAGGCGCTGTTTGTTTCAGATTAAGATTATTGTAATATAAATCTAGATTACTATAAGCTGGATTATAATAAGTTAACATAGAATAAGCTGTGAGTTGTTTGTTTTTTTAATTATTAGAGACATCTAGGGGTAGTGGGTCTTTAGCCACCCAGTAATCAAAAAAAGCTCCTCTAGAGGAGATTATTAGATTATAGTAATCTGACTTATAGATTATAATAATCTATCATAATAATTTACTTGTTTGTTTCAGTTTACTCCTAATAATTCAAATTATAATAATCCTAAACAGGGCCTTAATGTCAATTATTATCTTTATACATTGTGAATAGGTAGTTTAAAATTTTGGTACATTTACCAAAGAATCATTTTGATTACAAAATATTTAAACATCACTTAATTAATTCAACTAATTAAACACGGCAATAATAAAGATCTAAAAACGAACCGATAAGATCAACTCACCAAGCAATCGACCGACTCAGTTGCGGGTTCACGATCTTGATACCAAATAGAGAGTTACTTCCTCCTTCTAAAGAAACCAAACCTAATGTATGATGGAAAATAATACAGTACAACGAAAACAGAATAGATTATGTTCTACCCTATACTACTTTAAGTTTTTTTTGGATAGGGAGTAGTACACGAAATTTGACAATTTGACCCTTCAAAAACTATTTTACAAATAAACCGCGGCCAAAAACTTATTTCAAAAATGATTATTTTGTTCCACGCCAAGTCGTACGGCACTAAACTTAGACATATCAGCGCTAAATAGTACGGCGCTGAATGCACGTTGGCACGTCGACTCAGCCTCCCATCCACGGTGACACAGCATTTAGCGCCAGTTGATGTGATGCTGATGTGTCTAAACTCAGTGTCATACGATTTGACGCTGAAAAAAATATCATTTTTAAAATAAGTTTTGGCCGCGGTTCATTTGCGAAATTAGTTTTCGGAAATGGTCAAATTTTCAAATTTTGTGGGGAGTAGTAGGCGGCTACCAAAATTCAGATGGGCCGAATGGATCAAATCATTTATCCGAGAATTGAACCCGGGTGGTATTCTTTTTTTGCCCGTATTAAAGCCTAAACATAATCCAACGGTGCTAGTGCCCGGGTTTGGAGAGTGTTTAGACCTAAACAAAATCCAACGGCTGAGATCATCTGTCGCACAGGCCGACGAATTAATTACCTCTCTCTCCTTCGTCTTCCTCCGGAAACACTCCCCTATCTCGAGCTCTTCCCATGGCGACCGATGCTTACCCAGTCCAGCTCCTCCACCGCCAAGCAACCGCCGCCACCGGCGGCGGCCAATGGCACAACCTCGGCGCCGCCTACGCCGCCGTCAGATTCCTCCGCCCGCAGGGCCGATCCCTCGTCCTGTACTCCGGCCCCGACGGCGGCGCCCAGCAGCGCATCGTGTTCGCCTACCCGATCCTCCCGGGCGACGCCTTCGAGAGGATGGACGGCGAGACGCTCTCCTGGGAGGAGCCGGAGTGCGGAGACGAGTTCGCGCTCTGCTTCCTCGACGAGGCCGCCTGCGCCGCCGTCTCCGGCGCCATCTCCCCGGTGACGGAGTCGCTGGCCGCACTGGACGGCCTCGCGGAGAGGCTCGCCGGGCTGCGCGTGGCGAGGGAGGAGGGTGCCCCCGCCGGAGTGGACATCGCCGGCCGGCTTGCTGCGATCAGCATGGGCCGCCCATGAATCCACCACTGCTAACCTAGGGTTCTATGTGAATTTCCCTTATGTCGCCTCGCCGTCGTCGTCTTGATGTAGAATTTCTTTCAGTCTCTCTGTAGCATGTAACCCTGTACATATATCTGATGGAAATTGACAATGTATAGTAGTTTATTTACGCCTGCAATATTTTCTTTCATACTTACCTTGATCCTTGGTAGGATGGGATTAACAAATTAATTAATCAATCATGGGTATGTAATGGTATCCAGACCTGTAGTTATCATCAACCAGCTGAAGAACAACAATTGAAAGTAGGGAGAAATGTTTATTACAGACTAAATGGAAACAATTACAACAGGAGATTGGTTTCAATATGCAGAGATTGCAGCTCACTAACACCATGAATCACACAGCAGTGGAACAAACAATATAGGAAAATATAATCATATTTAAGCAGCAGTTAACCCAATACCGCATTCAGATTGGATGATGCTAGCAAAAATACACTCTGGAGGAAATTCTAGAGATCAATTACATCCGCAACAACATCAACAGCGGGAAAAAGGAATTCTCATTTAAGTGATACAGCAAAACAACTCAGGGCATCAAAAGTAAGATACATTTGCAATTCAAGGAGATAGTGCTCATTTACCAAGAGTATAAATCAGCAAACTAATGCCCATTTGCTACACTTCAAATTTTATCAGGGAAATATGAATCAGATAAAGCTTTGAGAATTGTAATTTCAATAACTCATGTAAATATTCACTAGACACAACAGCTGTGCATCAAAGGATTCAACAAAAAAAACCAAGCTCTTCTTATCATCAAGAATGCACCAATATACTACATAGCACTTCATTTCATATTCTGACATCTTGGGAACCTTACCTCACTCTCAAGGAGTGAGTGAGAGGGTAAAGGAAAACTCTTCTGTCAAAAGAGTTATTCTGTTCCATTTAAGCACTAGTCTTAGAAGTCCAGTGGCATTCCGAACATGTCATTGATCTCAGCCATCACATCGCGGGTAGTAATAGTGGGCTCAAAGAGACCACTCTGACATTCAAATTTGGAAGCATTGCTTGGTTTAACTTGGGCTGCTGGATTTTCGCCTGGTTCATCATCAGCTAATATGGAGAAACCACTGAGCAGTGCCGCTTTTCTCTCTGACAATGCAGTGGTTTTCTTGTTTTTAGGTTTATCACCTTTGAAGTTCAGTGGTATCCCAAACATGTTATTTATATCATCCATAGCCTCCTTTAAATTGACAGTTGGTTCGACCAACCCATGGTGGCAAGCATTTTCCACTTTAGGCTCTCCAACAACAGCTGATCCAACAAATCTATGAAAGACAGTGTCTTCTCGAAGTCCAGATATTGCAGGACGTAAGTCATCACATCTTATTTTTGAATCAGTTTGTCTCGAACAGAGTGAAGTGTCCTTATCATCAGTTAGTTGCACAGTTCCAGAATTGATCTTAACACCATTATCATTTTTCTCAAGCTGTTCATCTTCATCATCAGGCAGTATTGCAAACCCTCCCACGAATGGTTTCTGGAAGTCAAAATTGGCTTGCTGCTTTGAATCACGCGATGGCTTTGGAGGACATCCACTACTCTTATGGCTCATGGCATTACGACCATTGCCATGAGCCTCATTTTCATCAACAAAGATTTCAAATCCACTTGCATTCTGATTTACCTGTGTGTTCTCCTTATTAAAGTGCCTATGCTGCACCATATTTTGGTTGTTGCAGTAAGGATCATCTTCATCTACAAAGATCTCAAATGCGCTTGCCTGCTGACTTAACTTTGGATTATCCTGCTTCATGTTTTTGTCCTGGAGTTTGCTGGGTCCACTCTTGTTAGGTTCATCTTCATCGACAAAGATCTCAAATGCACTTGCTTCCTGATTAAAACTTGGTTTATCACGATTTGAGCGCCTCTTGAGCTTAGTTTCTGGTTCCAATGGCTCCAAAAACATGCTACTGATAGCATCCATTGCCTCTTTAGTGTTTATAGTGGGTTCAACAAGGCCATGATGGCATGCATCTTCAGTTTCTGATTTCCCAACCAATGCAGAGCCTACAAACCTTACAACTACAGTATCATCACTATTATGACGAGACAAACTCATTGTTTCTCCTGAAGTGCCTCTAGATAGTGGACGCCCTAAGGGATGCGGAAAACCCAAATGAGGATTAGAACCACTTCCTGATCTTTGCACTGGATTGGACTTCGGTTTTGTACAACTTCTGCTTTGACCTGCAACATATTCCAACATCAAGAACCATTCCATGAAACAACCAACAAATATGCAAAAAGACAGTTCAAAAGTATGGATCTTGAATAATGATAGTTTAAGTGCTGCCAAGAAGGTATTTTTCTTTCATAGTCTTGATCAGTAAGCTTCGAACAGTAAGAAGCTTGATAAAGGTAACACTGGTCACATAAGAAAATATTGATTTGCATAGCCTGATACATGTTTTTTTCCACTTAGAAGTACCTTCAACTTCGTTCTTTGATATAGCAATGGACTGAACCTTGTTAGGCATTCGTTCCTGCTGCACTCTAGATTTCCTCCTCTTGTATAGTTCCACGCGCCGAATAAATTGTTCATGTGCTTTCTGCAGCTCCCCAACAGGCTCTGCAAGGCTATTGAATACATTGATAAATGGTAAGTACCTACCTTTAATTTGCAAGGTACTTCGTATTGATATTAATTTTATTGTGAGGTTTCACTTGCAAACTGCAATCCAAGGATTTGTTACTCCATTGGTTTGCAGTAGGCGGATCTAAGATACGTCCATTGACAATTGAATTGAGTACATGAAATTTTTTTTATGTGTCCTTACATATCAGATGTTTCCTTTAGGACATATGAGATGTAGCTGTTGAACTAAATTTTAAGCAATGATAACCGCAAAATATGGTACCAGCAACTAAAATGGTGGTAAAAATCTTACTTCTGGGTTCCCAAGCGGTACATGTTCTCAGCATCCTCAAACCTCTTGTGCTTCTCATAATACACTGCATAAGCCATATAAAATGCTGATCTCTTAAGGCCTATTCTGTTCTTTTCCATCTTCTTTAGCAATGGCTTTGCATCTTTCACATAGTCCATCTACACCATTGAAAAAAAATGCAAAGATCACATTAGGACCTTTCAGTCCAAGAAAATATTCATATCAAAAGATCTCTGTTGTGCGTAACAAAGCCTAGATAATAAGATAAGAAAATATTCTTATCAAAAGATTCATGCTGTGAGTAACATGCAAGTTATAGTATGAGCAAGCAAACAATAGTATGAAATGAGGACATCGGATTGAAATCACTATCGAACTACTGTAGATTCAATTGGCACAGGGCAAAGCTCGAGCCCCAAACAAATTGATTTTGGTATGGAACTGCAGCCAATGAACCTCTCAGGCTATCTCAACAGATCCCCAACGAAATGAAATCCACTATATATGACAACATCAGTAAAAAGGAAAGGAAGCATATGGCGGATGGCTGGATGTAGAAGAAGGTGGCTGACCAGCTGGATCCAGACGCGGAGGTAGCGGGAATCGTCGCGGTAGCGGGCGTCGTCCTGGAACTCCTGGGCGCACTTCTGCAGGAACCTGGGCAGCTTCGCCCGCAGCGTCGCGGGCGGCAGCGCCGCCTCCATCTTCCTCATGCCCCTAGCAAACAACGAATCGATCCATCAAGCAACATGCATCGAGAAGGAGGAGAAGGGGAAGCGATTCGGAGTGGTAGAGAGAGAGAGAGAGAGTGTACCGGAGCCATGGGCGGAGGGGGTCGGAGCCGGAATAGGAGCGGATGTCGCCCACCACCGCCGACAGGAGGTCTTTCTCCTTGTCGCCGCCGCCGCCGCCGCAGTGCTGCTCGGTGGCCGCCGCCATGGGAGGGGTGGTGGATTGGAGCGGCGGCCCGCCGGTCGGGGTGAGCAACACCGAGAGGGGGGGTTTTTCCGGGTTTGAAATGCAAGGGTGGCTAGTTTGAAATCTCCTTCACTCGTGCGGATGATGACAGGTGGGCCCACTACCATCCTTGACATATGCCCCACCTGTCAGCAAGACAACTCTTGTCGCCGCATTGCCAAAATCCAGTAATGATAAATTTTAAAAGGCAGTTCAAGCATGGGCATTGCAGATCACAAATTTACAATCAAGGTAAGATAAATGAGCAGCCCCATCGTTTCACTCATGTTAATACTTATAATTCAAAATTTAAAATTAAAATTTAATTTTAAAATTGATTATATGATTTTTTTATTATAGTTTATTTTATAGCATTTGCTTTTGAATCGCTAAGAATATGTATATAAAAGTTTTACTTATAAATTAAATTTTAGTTGCTAATAAGCCATACAGATAAGCATAACCATAAGCAAAAGGATGACACTGCTCATTGGTTCCAACTTCCAAATTTGTTCAAAAACCTTCTGCGTACAGTACAAAAATTGATATCTGCTCAAGATTTATTTAAGTAATACTGTGACCAAAACAACCCCACAAGTCACAAGACTCATAATCAACTCTGCGGTTCGACCTAGAAGACATAGGTTTCAAGCCGTTTTGTGGAAGAGATCCTGGAGATCAAGTATGTCAGCAAGAACTCCAGCTGCAGTGGTATCATTGCCAGCTCCAGCGCCCTGAATCACCAGAGGGGCGCTCTCGTAGCATCTGCTGTATATCTCCACCTGCCCAAGAACAAAGCAGCGTCACTTTTACGTTTCACATCACTCACTACCAACAGTAAAAAATCACATATCAAACATTCTTTAATCCTCTCAAAACAGAAAAATGGATTTCATCAATCTACTTCTAACGTGTTATAGGCCAACACAAACAATGTCTTTGGTAGTTTTAGTGTTCCAACTTCCAAGCTCGTTTGAACAACGCAAAGAAGAAATGGGGAATGGTATGCCAATACAGACCCTGCTCACACTCGTAGGCTCTTTTGTTTTCACCTGAAAATAACCAGCCCTTAAGGCTACCAACTGCACAGTGCCGCTTGACATTGAATAAAATAGAAATAGAGAAAGGAAAAAAAAGGATTAGCATACCACATTGTCACTTCCTCTCAACCTTCCCAGTGCAGAGTTTTTCGGGAGTTCTTCAAGGCCCACTTGGCACCTACAAAATGGGGATGTTACTCTACAGTCTACACTACCATTAAAAGTACCTTTACAAAATGCACAGAATAGGCCTACGTGTCTCTGACAATAGTATGCTTTGAGTATCAAAACACTACTTAGTGATTCAGATGGGCATAGCACAATAAAAGGATACGTACCCTGTGCTTTCAATCTTACAGACATAGCGAAGAACATTTCCTTTCAAAGATGCTGCCTTTACTCTTTCTTCAATGCTTTTATCAAGCTGTACTAAACCACTTTCAAGGAAGTCCTTTGTGGACATTGCATCAGGTCCAAATTCACTGGGGTATAAACTCTCAACCTGAAGATAATTACAAAAACTTAGCAGACCTGATCTTTTTTCTATGAACAGGGATGTACAACAGAACATGTGCATAAATAGGCTATGCATGATTAGAAAATTTCTGAATAAGTGATTTAGGGGTTAAAATATCTCAAAATCAAAGTTCTTGTATCATAGAAAACAACTGAACTAGCGGCCACTCAACAAAGCTAATGGCTACATAAACTAAATAACAACTTCCAAGATTTGGAGGACATTCATTTCATTTTCAGACTATAAGATACATAAGGTGTATAATTCATCGGGATCCCCAATAATCCTGAACACAAATCTATGGTGATATCCAGTGACCTGATATTGTAGAAGAGTGTCTGTCCTTATCCATAGAATCCATGTGCCAAGATATTATAGAAGTAGAACTAAAGAGAAAAGGATGGTTCCAAGTAATGCTTGCAAACTATCACCAAGAATGGTATCAACAAGAAATGTATCATTTTAAACCAACTAGGTTTTTTTGAACAGCCAGAATAACAGGAAAACACTTGCTACCAGCCTCATTTATGTTAGTGAAAACATAAGCCCGTGCACACCAAGCTATGTTTACACAAAACATTAGAACAAATACCATCAAGATTAATTATATGCATACATTAATATTCTCCATGCTGATCCGTTGCCCCAGAAGCCTAGCTAAGATCAATGCCTGCATTCAAAGATGAACTTGTTAGACCTCATCACCTAATTGACAAAGAATGAAATAATCAAATAAAACATCTGAACCTGAACATAAACCTCCCTTATGCCAATGTCTATTTGCAAGGTTATTATTGAAATTCCAAATAGGGTCAGTGCATGATATAGGCCTTCCTGAACTGTAGTATTTATGATATTGATGTGGTACTGAATATATTTTGGATCAAATCATAGTATGATACAATTAAGCACAAAAAATAGATACACAGCAGCAGCTCATGATATATTAGTTCATGGACTTAGGAGTAGAATAAAATTGTGGCAATGGTTAACAAAGGCACAGATAAAGTGAATTATGTAGAGTAGCATGTAATTCATCAGATGAAAAATTAACCTTTCTAGCTACGTCCATCCCACTGAGATCATCACGTGGATCTACCAAAATTAAACAACTGAGTAAGTGCACTTATCACAAGCATCAGTAGACTTTCTGTAAACATGAAATCTGTAATTACAGATAAGGAATGAATACTGAGTACACATTGATGTTATAATGTCAAATGAATGAATAAATTTTTAGACCTGGTTCTGTATAGCCAAGAGACTTGGCAGTTTTCACAACTTCACTAAATCTCTTTCCATCCTCCAGCTCACTCATCACATAACCAAGTGTACCTGCAGAATCATAGAATGGAAGTGGTACATTGCTCTGCTATTTGGAAAACAAACACCTTTTACAAACAAATAAGATAATAACTGTGTACCACTCAGACTGCCAACAATACGAGAAACTGGATCTCCAGAGGCAATAATACGGGTCACAGAAGCTATTACAGGCAAACCGGCTCCAACCTAAGAGTAGGAATAGTAAATATCAGCAGAGACCCTCAACTCCTTTGCAATAATAAAAGAAACTTCCAAAAAAAGGCTGTGCTTAATCATATGGCCAGAGTCATATCATACAATCCCAGATCAAATAAAGGAAAGAATTTCCATGAAAAACAAATATAATAACATTCAATAGTGAAACGAAGGAATTACTAGTGGCGTATGCATACAGTAGATTCAAATCTCATGCGACGGAAGTTGGAAACCAACTTTTCGAAATCCTCCTGCATGAAAAAAAAAACACATTTGGTAAGCATGTCAAAATGACAAAAACATACCAGACGGAAGACTTAAGGAGGACATTACATAAGCACAAGTAAGCGGTTTCTTGTTTGCCAATACAACACAACATCCACGATCCACGGCATCCTTTAGCATGCCAACAGTATCATAAGTTGCAGAACAATCAACTAGTACAAGACCTGCAAAAAGGATTGTAAGATAAGAACCGAAGAAGATATTAATACTCCTTTTTTTTAAAAAAACAAAGAACTAATCAACAATCATACAGCATATCAAAGATTCCATCTTTTTCCCCACTGGTTTCTATCCCATAGAAAATTTTAAAAAACTTAACCGGCAATGTATTCTGCTTAGGGAGAAGGATCACAGACCAGTTGTTTTCCCAAGAACGCTGGCAGTGTCAATGACTTTCCTCCTAGCCTCAGGGTTGTTGAATAGCTGACATTGCCCTGAAAATTGCACAATCCAACCATCCATTACTTTACATGTCACGTGTACAAATGCAAATTCATGACAAAGTAAGCTATGGAGAATTCTAAAAAAGAAAAAAAAGGAATAACGAAATAGAATGGGGATACCTCGAGAGAGCAGAGAAGATAAGGGCGAGCCGGCGGACTTGGCGGCGCAGAGATCAGCGAGGAGCGCGTCGTCGAAGCCGTTGGAGTGGAGGTCGTCGGCGACGAGCAGAGAGGAGCTGTCGGCGACGCCGAGCACCCGGATGGCGACGCCCTATACAAGTATCGGCGATGAGAGCATCCAATCGGAGAGGAGGGGGAGAGGGAGGGGCGGTCAGACGAGGTACGTACCTGGTTGGCGTGGAGAGGGCGGCAGGAGAGGATGTGGCGGAGGAGGTGGCGGCCGACGCCGCCGCAGCCGAGGAGCACGACGGGGAGCACCGACCTCACCGGCGCCGCCATTTGTTGGGGCACTGGTGCTTCACAGCTTCACCATTTTTGGTTTCTTCGGCCGTCTATTCGGCCCAGCCCACGCAGCTTTTTTTTTTTCAGATGACGGCAGAGAAGGGTTAAGCATTGGCCAATGTCCCTATGCTTTAGATTTGATTTAGAGAATATCTCCATATAACATTGTAATAAAGAGGCAAATTGTGTAGCACATAAATTATCTAGATCATGCTTTCATTTTGAAGAATTCTTGTAACTGGGTTGAACCCCCTAGCTTCTAAACGTTGTTGTGAACGTTATAACTGTGTGTTTTGATATCAATAAAGCGCGTCAAATGGCTAAAAAAAATCTTGGTTGCAGGAGAGGAGAAGAATTGTGGAATATACTTCAATTGCATCAAATCATATCTTCTGCAATTTAAAACTGGAATCATTTTACAAAGCACTTCATTCCAGAAAGGGACAAATGACCCACAACTTTGTGTGGATATTTTCTCTCATTTGATAGTGTAATCCATAAATTTACTCAAAGGTAGAAAACAAAACCCAATGGGTACAATCAATTCACATACAAGCACTTAGCCATACATGCTCTTTCCAACAAATACAAAAAAAAATTATATAAAACACATAAAGGTCAAGCATATGCTGCATCATGCTAAAAAAAAAGGATAAGGGGCTTATATTCAAGGTTACTTCACTAACATCGTGGTTCTTCCTTGGTCTGACACTTCGGGGGAAAAAAACATCATCCATGCCTTGTGATTAACATTTGGTTCATTGATGATGGATGATGTGATCGTGAAGGATCTTGAACTCTTACAATTCCATTATGAATGTGCAAAAGTTTCATATCATGGATTTCCTCTCGAATTTTGTGATCTTCCATTATCATCCGTATACCATCTATTTAGTCTCTCTCGAGCAATCTCTACCTAAAAAACCAATAGAGCACACCATTAAAATCTAAAAAAGTGTGCTCTTTCAATGGCCCACATGTTTTTCTAGATAGACCCTTATATTATGTGAAAAAGATATTTAATTAAATACAAGATAAGAAAAAATATGAGCAAAAAGATAATAAAGCCAACCTGTTTTTCCCAATCAGTCCTAAGTGTGATGAATAAAAGCACAAGAGTCTGCACTAGTGTTCCAACAAGCATGCCAATCCAAATGCCCTATAGAGCCAATTAATAAAAGTGAGAAACACAGCTTAGACCTAAGATTTCCTAATGAAATTTACAATGGCAACCAGGACCTTACCTTTACTTCAAATCCTAGAGCATAGCCTAGTATTGCCCCAATAGGGATACCGATCAAGTAGTACGATGCAACATTAACATAGGCAACTATAGTTTGCCAACCAGATCCAATAGCGACACCTATAAATAGTTAGAAAACGTTGTAATTTCAAAGTGAAAGTTTAAATTATTTTGATATATTCATCTGTCAAATAAAATAACATACCTGAGAGCACAGGTTGAACACTATTTAATAAAATGGAGAAAGCTAGAAGGGGGGCAAGATCAGCAACTGCATCTACTACCTCTTGACTTTCAGTAAATATGTATGCAAGGCTTCCACGAAAGAAAAGGAAGAGCACAAAAAACACAAATCCTATCAAGAAAGAAGTGGTGACCACATTGAAAATGGCAAACATAGCCCTTCTTGCACTCCCAGCTCCAAGTTCATTTGCCACCCGCACTCTAAAAATGTATATGTATTAAGTATAAGTCAAATTTATAGGACATAATGGAATAGTCAGATGAACCACTTAATGAGTAACAAGTAAGATCATGAAGTTACCCAGTTGCAGCCAAAAATCCAATAGAAATCATCATCTCCCAACCATTGATATTAAGGCTACAAATTTTGTAAGTGAAAACAATAGTGCTCAATAAGCAAGTTCTTCAAGCACTAAAGGATAGACACAAAACAATAAATTGATGTACATGATACAACATGCATGCTTTGGCTATTATTTTCTAAACTACTATGCAACAATAGTATATTAACATATTACCATATAGAAAGAGCATCAAGAGCAACCTCTGCATTCTTCATATAACCAGTGAGGAGCACCAATATGGTGTTGTACCATAATTCTACACTGAAAGGCAAAGGAACAACAAGAACAAATCAATGAGCTACCAAATTAGCTATAGGAAAGAACTTGGTTAACACTAGCTTGATATAACATATTGCCTTTTGTTTGCTATCATCAAAATTATCCAGAATTTCATATGTATACATAAACATAACAGTTACTTACCAAAGCATCACTCCGGATGATATCGAAAGCTTGATAATAGCACCGAGATCAGTAAAAGCAGAGGACGAGAACCCTGTCCATGTTTGAGGACAACCACCAAAAAAGACATATGCGAGCTGACCAAATATAGGGATCCAACAGGCAATGACCGTGGAGCCCATCACCCCAGCAAGGCCAAGGTGAAACTTGACCACCATGAGCCATGATAGGAAGAGATGGAGTCCAAAGTTGAGCAAGGAGAGGTAGGTAACGATCATGTTCTTGCTTTGTGATTGTAGATACATTTGGATTGTTAAGCCCCAGACGTAGGAGAACATGATGGGAATGTACCATAGTGAGATGGTGCCAGCCACAACAGAGATATCGGGATCCTGACCAAGCGCAATTAGGAGCGGGGTGGTGAAGAGGTAGATTGGGAGAAGGATTACTGCACAACAGAAGAGAACTATCCATGAGCGTTGTAGATATATGCCTAACATGTGGTATTGCTTAGCACCATATGATTGCCCACACAAAGTTTCCAATGCGCTTGCCATGCCTATCTGCAGTTACAATAATGTATATGTATGGTTAACTATCAATTAATTGTTAATAGTGAATTGTTTATGTATGCATTTTGTACAAGATGATTTGTAACAAAAAATGATTGTTAGTAAAAGATAAACATTTTTATAACTTAAAGTAAGGTATGTTTATGTTTTATTTGTATATTTTGTACCATAAAGAGTTTGTTATTGTTGCAGTGCTGGTTGTCAGAGGTAGCACGAAGAAGATAGGATATGGAAGATCCAAGAAGAATAAAGAAAGAGCACACTATATAGTTATTGCATGAAGAAAATGCCATGATTAAGGGGTGGATGACTAGATGAAGAGCCTGCTTCAAATATTAATTAGTGTTTTGAAAGTTGAATAATTTGATGATCCCCTTCTCAAGAAGAAAAAAAAATGTGAGGAGGCAAGTATCCCATATAATTTTCTTCCTTCGGTACGTTTCATGTCTTTTTTTTTACATCGAGCCTAACTCTTATCTATAGTACAATGGTGGAAAAAAACACTTTGAAAGTATAAAGGCAAACCAAACATACATGATTTGTACGAATTAATCGATGTGCAAATTAAATTCAAGAAAAAAAACTTAGTGACGCTATTAGTATCGATAGACATAATTAAGTCATGACTCCAACATTATTAAAGTTATGTTTTTAAAATTGGCAAAATTTACTACAAGATATCCAAAGAGCGATTTTATTAGGGATACTCCCAAAACGTGGCTTGACCAGAGGACACCTAAAAGAACGTGTTAATTTGCTAGAAAATATCATATCTATTATTTTATCATTTTTAGCATATTTGAAAACGACCAGAATAGCCCAGCCCTCTCAGGTGTGAAAACCAGACCGTATCCCTATCTCCTAGTCTCTCTGCTCTCTCGCTGTTGAACCCTAGCAAGAGTGAAGACTAGAGGGAATAATCGACATTTTGTATGTCTTCTCTTTTCTTAGCTGAGTACTTCCTCGGTCAAAAAAGAAAAAAAACTAATCCTGGGTAGGATTAGGTTATTTTTGGGATGGAGGGAGTAGATCGATGTTTTAAGGTGTATTCGTACAAAGCCATGTTTTGATGGTGCGTATTAGTAAATAAGGGTTAATTACTACCATAATTTGTGAATATCATGTATCAAATTTTGTCTTTAAATGTTGCTAGTTGCAGAAAGACTAATCATGTGAAAAAAAATCGAGTTGAACTGTTACACGTACTAACGAAAACTAACTTGTACCTGTAATTAAATTAAGTAGTACTACGTACTACCGTATAAGCAAGAATAATCAGCGTTCATCAGGCATACCAGGATGCCGACGCTCAAGCGCATGAGGACGGTGGAGACGAGGGCATACGCGGCGAGCTCGGTGGCGCCGATGTGCCCGATGAAGGCCTGGCTGACGACGGTGGCGCCGAAGGAGGTGGCGCGCGCGCAGATGGACGGACCCGCCACCACCCACAGCTTCTTGTTCTCCTCCACCAGGCGCCGCCCCAGCGACCCAACCTCTTCTTCCTCCTCGTTGCTGCCTCCGCCGCCGCCGTTGATCGCCGGCTTAGGCTCCAGGAGAGGATCCGTCAGCCTCTCATCATCCTCCGTCGTCCTCTCCATTGCTACTCTGCTAGCTAGCTAGCTCTCCAGTGCACAACAATGGAGATCGATGGAGTTAACAGGAGTACGAATACTTTGAGTTGCAGATATTAGTAGCTGTCTGAATTGAAGAAGGCTGCAGGGAGGGAAAAGAAAGCATCCATCGATGATGCTCAGGTCTCCCCATCTACCGTTTAATGGCGGGGCCAGAGACGATCGAGCGAGGAAGTACATGATTGGCCCTGTGGTTGCTGCAGATGGTGGGTAGGTAGGGAGGGCAGTGTGGGAAGAAATTAATAAACAATTATTCAAGTCCCGTTCTTTTTCTCCAATAAAAAATTAGATAAAATTTTGGATACTCGTGACACGCTTTTTTGCGAAAATTTTATATATAAAAGTTACTCTAAAATATCAAATTAATTATTTTTTTAATAATTAAAACTCAATTAATTATATATTAATATCAACTTATTTTACACTTGATCATCATCATCTTTTATCTTTATCTTGTGTGGGAATACTATCATCGATTCAGGCAGGGGTTGTGTGTAAACATAATGCATGTCAGCATGTGGCGAGGAGGGCAATCACGTGTACTTTCTCTTTTAAAAGTCATACGTATTCTGTTTCCGACGGATACTGTAGGTAATCTCCACCACGTACCTCCACCACCATCATGAAGCACGGCCGGGCGTACGGAGGAGGAGGAGCGATCAAGTCTATAATAATTAAAATTAAAACTTAATTAACTATATACTACTCTCTCCGTATTTTAATGTATGACGTCGTTGACTTTTTAATCAACGTTTGACCATTCGTCTTATTTAAAATTTTATGCAAATATAAAAATACTTATATCATGCTTAAAGAACATTTGATGATAAATTAAATCACAATAAAATAAATCATAATTATATAATTTTTTAATAAGACGAAAGATCAAATATTTGTCAAAAAGTTAACGACGTCATACATTAAAATACGGAGTGAGTAATAACTTTTTCGTTTTATATACATCAACGTAACTTTTATCTTCATCAGTTTTAAGTCCAATTAGAATTTAACTTTTTTTTTCTTGGATGAATGGAGTAATATAAGTAGTACTACTAGCAGCGATGTGGCCTACCGGTATCAACGTCATCGATAAATGGTATGTTTGTCCGGCCTCGCTGCTGTGCTGCATCAGTGCATCCTCATGTATCTGCGTCACGGTCACTGGCTCACTGCCAAATTAATTAAAGTGGTTGCTACAAAAAATGATTCATCATCCAACGATGCCAACGAATGCATCCCGGAAAAAGGAGATCACGGGAAGGGAAACATTACATCATTGCATGGAGACACCATCGACATCGAGTCGCCGTCTCGTGTCGGCCATCGATGAACTTTTTTTCGAACCTTTTTATTTTTTTTGAATTTTAAAAATGAACTCTTACAAAATTTAATTTCAAAACTACTCCCTCCGTCCCACAAAATCACAAACCCTAGAATCCCAATGCAACTTTAGGACAAGTGACAAAAGACAACAATGCCCTCAATACAAGTACATCCAATCATTAGTTACAAATAAAATAATAATACAAGTTGAATATCTGCAGCCAACTTGAGTAGAGTAGTACAAGTAGTACACCAATCATGGGCACCAAATATCTGTACAGGCCACTAATCCAGCGCGCCAACTAATTTGAATCAAACAACACCATTGCTTGGCGGCAAGAAATACAAATTTGAGCACACCCCAGCACAAGATACCCTATAAAAGCTCAAAATGAACCATTCTCACAAGTTTCCCTCCCAACTTATCACTTCATGAGTCTGCAAAAACACCACCTTCATGGCTTTAGATCTAAATGAACTAGCAGATGAGGGAGATGAGCAAGCTGTGCCTGACCTTAATGAACCAGTGGCAGATGAGGGAGATGAGCATGATGTGCCTGACCTTAATGAACCAGTGGCTACAGAAGTTGAAATGCATGTTGGTCAAGAGGAGGATCAACTTGGAGGTGATGTACAGGGAGGTGCCAACCATAACCATCCAGGTGACCTTGCAAGCAAGAATAGTAAACGATCGATCTTTGTACATATGACTTGCATAAATCACTCTAAATCTTTGGCATTTTTTTTTAAAAAAGATACCATGTGCATTGATGGAACTGCTATGTTCTTGGTTTTTTTTCTCTTTGTTCTTTACCAGCTCGATTCTGTGAATGAGTTGGGCATATTGAAGTTCATTCCCTTCCATAATATCACAAGTTATACATGTATCTAGCTATAACTAATCAAATAGTGCTCACATGATGCTTATCTTCTGTCTACGATCAATCCTCATATGCTAGATTCTACATGTATAATTTCCTTTACAGTACCACTGATATTGAGCTAGTATTAGTATATATCAAAGTTAGATTGCACCTTCAATACAGATCACAAAAATCCCTGAACTTCAGCACCAAAGTTTGTACAATGTAGAAAAGTCATTCAAGTATGGCCATAATATAACTAGAGCAGCAAAATACCCAATGGTTCTCCTGACTACAGCACAAGCACCTTTTGATAAAATCACAATCATGAATAGCACAAGTTAGGGAAAAAGAAACATGAGCACTTCCATGAGTTTATTTACAGCTGACATGGACCTCTATTGAAAAACAAGGTGAAGAGTACAATAACAAAATAGGTAGACAACAAAACTAAATTTGAGATGGATATAAAATTGGTACCTTGATTGTGGTTTTCAGATATGATAATCTCCTTTGCTGATGTTGTACTGCACAAAGTAACCTATATTAATCATTGGTTCCATTATATATATAGCATAACAGATCAGTTATTCATAGAAGTATTTGGCTACATTGGAAGAGTAGTATAAGCATTATTACTTTTAGTCACACATATCCAGTTAGGCCAATATGCATGGCATGTCAAATAGCAAGTATCAGCACTAATGATTGGTTGTAATAATGCAATGTGTGAGCTATCTGAGTATAATGGCCCATAATTATTTTATTGTAGAATGTAATAAAATAGCTGCAATAGTATTGTACCTAACAAAATATTGATATTAGACTTGGTACTCACATGGTAATTGTTATTGTAGACGGTGCCGATGCCATGGATGAAATTCTGCAAATTTATGGAGGTCACAACCAACATGGCTTTCCTTTTGATGTTAACTCTGATGCCTATGAGGAACATCTACAAATGCAAGCAGGTAAAGCACTTTTAGCTGACATGGATAACAAACTTAGTAAAATTAATAAAATGTGGTTGTACATAAAGCACCACTGAAGAATAAGATTAATTAACTGAAACCATGTTTTTAATTAGAAGATACTAATATGACATCATGCGAACTACCTAGAATAATCTAAACATAACATTGGATGCATTAGTTGCAAATTATGGACTGTCAATTTGACATTTCAGCACATAAAGTAAATTGTGTCAATGTTTCTATGTCCTTCTGAAATCTAAAATCAGCCATAAGTTTACAACCATGTTGATCCATGATAATAAAATATCCACCATCTAAATTGGTACAGACGACTCACCTTGTAATTGTTGTTGTAGACATGCAGGAGTACGGTGTGTATGCTGGTGATGTGGAAATTGTTTTTGAACAAGAGGAGTTGGATGATTCAGATGAGGAAGATGAACATCCAAACAAAAATCTTACCAACATACAAAGGCAAGAGATATATGATGCATTGGTTAAGAAAACTATCAATGGAAGACTAAGAAAAAAAGCAACAACTGAAGTTGCTGAAATGTTCAATATCAAAAGGGGTAGAGTGCAAGATATTTGGCGAAGAGCAAAGCAGTGCCGTGCACAGGGAATTCCAGTCAATGTAAGTTCTAGAAAGAAAACTAATTCTGGTCGCAAGAAGAATGAAATTGACTTGTCAGATGTTGCTAATGCCCCCCTGCAACTAAGGGGCACATTACGGTCATTTGCATCAGCTGCGGGTATACCAAAAAGCACGCTTCATAGGATGTTGAAAGAAGGGCTGATAAGACGTCACTCAAACACATTAAAGCCATTGTTGAAGGAAGAGAACAAACGATCAAGGCTGCAATGGTGTATTTCCATGTTAGATTGGCATACTTTGCCAAATGAACCGAAGTTTGTTGATATGCGCAACATTGTGCACATCGATGAAAAATGGTTCAATACCACTAAAAAGACAAGAACTTTTTACCTGGTCCATTGGGAGGATGATCCGTACAGACCCGTGCAAAACAAGAATTCTATTGATAAAGTGATGTTCTTGGCAGCAGTTGCTAGGCCTAGATACAATGAAGAAGGTATCTGCACTTTTGACGGCAAGATAGGCTTGTGGCCTTTCACCAAAAAGGTATTATAACCTCTTAATATATGCATTTTTACTTAGTGATGTGATGTGAAACTTAATTGCTTATCTAACTTACTTAATGTTATATACATAGGAACCAGCACAAAGGACAAGTCAAAACAGGCCAAGGGGAACTCTAGTCACCAAGACAATCAAGGTTGATCGAGACACCGTAAGGTCGTTTCTGATTGCTAAAGTACTACCAGCTATTATATCAAGTTGGCCTCGAGACGATGCACACAGCACTATATGGATTCAGCAAGACAATGCTCCTGCTCATGTGCCAGTGGATGATTATCAATTTGCCTATGCAGTATCCCAAACAGGGTTTGACATCCGCCTTATGCATCAGCCTCCTAATTCCCCAGATATGAATGCATTAGATCTTGGGTTCTTTGCATCGCTACAATCATTAACATATAGAAGGATATCTAGGAATATGGATGAGCTAATACATAATGTTGAGCAGGAATTTCAGGCCTATGATGACAACAAGCTAAATAGGGTGTTCCTAACACTACAATCTTGCTTGTTAGAGGTTATGGAAGCTGATGGTGGAAATGGATACAGAATACCTCATATGGGTAAAGAGAGGCTAGAGCGTCTGGACATTCTCCCTAATACCCTTAGTTGTGGTCGTGAACTGTATGAAAAGGTCATATCAGCATTAGCCAATCAAGTGCAGTAAATTATGCAAAATGGGAAGGTCTATCGTAGTTTCAGCTTTTGGTTAAATGTGATGTTGTATATATGATAAAGTAATATCAGTATTACTCAAGTAAATGCAACTAATCATGCAATGTGGCAAGTTCTATGATGGTTTCAGCTTTTGTAATATGTAATATGAAGTTTTATGATGGTTTCAGCTTTTGTTGGCTACATTTCAGATTGTATATATGACAATGCAGTATCAGCATTTGAGTATCATGTCATGTGGAAAGTTTTATCATGGTTTGAGCTTTTGCCTAAATTTCATCCTCCCTCCGTTCCCTTTTGATCGACGTATTGCAATCGTGCAGCGAGACCAAGGTGAAGTAAATTTCTCCCATTATCATTTAAAGCCCACCTCATAAAAGGCACAATTAGCACTTCAGTTACTTGCATGCAAAACGGAAGAGAGAGAGAGACCCCGTTTTTTTATTAAAACTAGTGCCTAGTATGCGAAATGAATGGCTAGCGTCTCCTTGCATGCATGCAAAAATTAAATCAGCATGCAAATCTAAGAGTCATGGCCACCGTCCTAGGCTAATGCGTTGATCAAATTGGAACATTTTAGTTTTACTTATGCGCTGATCAAAAGGGAACGAGGGAGTTTTATATATATGTCACAATGTAAAATCAACATTACATGCATCATCATAATCCCCTAATCTCATCCAGTACCACAATTACACATGCTTTCATACAATACCAAAAGGGTGCCTACTTTAACATACCTTGTTAGGTTGCTATTCATAACCACCTAATCTAAAGTACTACCACAATTACACATAATTTCATACAATACCAAAAGGGTGCCTACTTTAACATACCTTCTTAGGCTGCTATCAATAACCACCTAATCTAAAGTACTACCACAATTACACATAATTTCATACAATACCAAAAGGGTGCCTACTTTAACATACCTTCTTAGGCTGCTATCAATAACCACCTAATCTAAAGTACTACCACAATTACACATAATTTCATACAATACCAAAAGGGTGCCTACTTTAACATACCTTCTTAGGCTGCTATCAATAACCACCTAATCTAAAGTACTACCATAATTACACATAATTTCATACAATACCAAAAGGGTACCTACTTCGAGGTACTTTGTTAGGCCACCATTCATAATCACCAAACAGGCACACAATCAACACATAATTGAAGCATTCATCTAAATTTTTTACTATGAAAACACTCTAGAAATTTTTTTACCGATTTTTCCAGTGCGTCTTGGTCTTGTAGGAGTTCTTCTAGGCCGCTATCATCGTATGGATCTTGCGCATATCCCCCAATGACCATATCAACATCATCATCGCTTGACTTGTCCTCGTCGATGCTAACATCTTTAGCTTTTCCCCTCTTCTCCTTCATGTCAGTTTGCGTGACGCTTGCCTTCTTCTCGAACATGGCCATGTGGTCGCTATCATCTCCCAACATAGTCCTGTAACGGATAAAACACAGTGACAGTTAATACAAGATGGGATGTAAAGATGAATCTATCATGGAATCAAACTGAAATGTACTTCGATTACATTATATATTCGATACATTTTTTTAAAAAGATAGTGCTGACCCATGTAAATAAGCAATGTCTAAATTGAAGTATAGACCAAATGGACTACTGAACGCAATGAAAGCCAAAAGTAGAGTACATCAGTTTATATATGCGTGGCCTAGTTAAAGGATCAAATCCAGTGAATAATAGAAGTATAACAATCGAAAAAGATTTGCAGAAATCAAAGTATAGCATCCACGGTAATTCTCGTAGAACAACATCAAGGTTACCTAGTTAATTTAATTAGCTATGAATGACAGCCTAACTATCTGTGGGTGCAGTTGTACTATTGGAGCAAGTTGAAGCTTCTCAACGATAGGTTTCAGTGTTAAAATGAACAAGTCAAGCAAGCAACATACGCTGGCTAGGTAGCTGCAGCCAACAAAGCGAGTACGACGAGCTGCATTCAGGAGTAAGTTTCTTTACTGATATTGAAACAAGTCAGAACAAAATAATTAACCATATATACTTAGTTTTTTTAAACAAGATGATCAATCAAGCATCATGTCCTACACGTCAATAATGTTTTATATTTAAAAACAGAGGTATTAATATTCATGCATTACAGTGTCACCACAATTTTGGATTTTTCATCAGCCTCTTGATTGAGCAATAAAGCAGTCAAAAAAAACTTTGAGAAATAAAATTCGCATGTTCAGTATCAAATTTCTTACAGTTTATAATTGTTTCCTATACTCAATAAAAATTTCTAATTTCAGAATATACCTATGGGCAACAAAACAGAAAGGAATGCTTTGGTTAGGTTTAAAACTGCTTGGATTTTTGTTAACACTAATTTATTTTATTTGAAACATGTCATCATAACCCCCTTCTCACTCCATGCCAAATTTTGCACAAAACAAAATGTAAAACCCAGCTAACCCGCATTACTTCAACATTGGTAACACTGACCGACATATAACAGCTGGATGATTATAAAGATACAAAACACCGAATAACATTAACCTAGGATATTCTATGCAGTACAATCAAAAAAATTTTGGGATGCAACCGCACCCAGTGCATCTGATCTACACACGTCATTGAAAGCATCTCTCATTGCATAAGGGGAACAGATTGGTTGTAGGGAAAACAAGGTGAAGATACCTTTGAGTCAATCCACGCATACTGCCGCCAAAGTCCCTAGCTGTTGCCACCGGAATCAGAACAGGAGGTCGGTAAGCCTCCTCCTCCGCCGACCCCTCCTGTATCAGATCCGCGCGCGCCGCCACCTCCTTGACCATCACATCTGCCGCCTTGCAAATCTCCGATGTCGCTGCCGCATCTGAACTGGCTCCACCCGCCGCCGTTGCCTCCGCCGCCTTCTTGCAAACCTCCAAGGCCGCTGCCACATCTGAGCCCCCTCCCGCCGCCGCCTTTTGGATCAAAACCGCAAGCTGATACGCCTCCTCCGCCTTGGCTTTCGTCTCTTGAATGAAAACCCTAAACTGTTCCGCCGCTGCCTCGAACTCTGCCATCGAGGCAAATCCTTCGAAAGGAGCCGCCTCCGGCATCGGATCTAACCGCTCGCAACCCTCCCCCGCTGTATCGAAGCGCCCGCATCCTGGTGGATGGGGAACTCCGCAGGGAGTTGCGGAAGTGAGGGGGAGCGGCGTGGAGCGGGGAGAGATGTGTGGGGAGGAGCACGACGGCAGTAGGGAGGGAGTCGGAAGCTTCGAAGGGTCGCTCATCTGGACGCCGCCGCTTCGACGGAATCGATCCGGGAGGGGGTGAGGGAGCGATGGAGAGAAACGCGAGAGAGAGAGGCGACGGGGCGATGGAATCGATCCAGGAGGAACGAGAGAGAGAGAGAGAGACGCGACAGAAAAAAAACTGGGATGCGATAAGGTTTGCGTGGTGTGAACGAGAGGATACGCGGTCCACCTATGGCCCACACAGGATGAGATAGATGGGAAGTTTCTCGTTTTCTGTCCAGAAATCGGTTTTTTTCGGGACAAAGCTCTCCCCCCAGGATTCGTCTCTTTCTGGGACGGAGGGAGTAGACCTTTTAATTGTATTGGCTGATCTGATGTGGTGAAATACTATTGTCAAGTCAAATGAGGATGAACATGATAGTTTAGTTTCGTTATGCCAGGCGGGATGGCGTGGTTAAAAGTTTTAAATTTTAAAAATAAGTTTTAGGATGTTTATTTAAAATTTAAACACAAAAAAGGTTAATAATAAAAAAAATGGCCATCCTATTCATCAATTCATGCCCTGTTACCTTGTTCTCGTCAACCCATCGGCAGCACACCACCACTACGTACCAGCTAACTCACGATTTAATTCAACATCGTGGAATATAGTTCAATTGCATCAAATCATATCTTCTGCTATCTAGTAGCTGTCTGAATTGAAGAAGGGAAGGCTGCAGCGAAAGGAAAGCATGATGCTCACGTTTTATATCCACACGTCTTCTAAACTGCTAGTATGTATTCATAAAAAAAGTTATTTTAAAAATTATATTAATTTATTTTTTAAATTTAAAATAATTAATACTCAATTAATTATGTGTTAGCGACTTGTTTTGTTTTGCGCATATTTTCAGCCTTCTCTAATACTCTTCTCTCTAACACAACCTGCTGTGAGAGATTGCCCTTAAATTATATGGTTCTGCAGATGGCGGGTAGGTAGGGATGGCAGAGGGGGAAATTAGCTGTACTATGTAAGTAACTCCTGATCAGGATTCTCGGACAACGAGGGATCAAATTAACAGGAATTAACAGTTGGATCGTGTGGCAAGGAGGGCAAGCACGTGTTCTTTTCTCCAACAAAAAGTTGGATGAAGATTAAGATTTTTGTGACACGTTTTTCAAACTGCTAAACGGTGCATTTCGTGCGAAAACTTTCTATACGAAAGTTACTCTAAAATATCATATTAATCTATTTTTCAAGTTTTTAATAATTAAAACTCAATCAATCATACGTTAATACCGCCTCGTTTTACGTAAAAAACTTAATCTTCATCTTCATCTTCAGAAGTTTTGGTCCTACGTGGCACACACGTGGCAGTCCAGTCAGCATAAAAAATAAAAAATGGTAGGGCACTTGTCAGTTCTGCTTCTTTTCTCGGTCACCACATGCGGGCTCTACCTTATATATATATATTTTAATGCTGACTAGACTGCTACATGTGCGCCACGTAGGACCAAAACCGCTAGCATTCCGGAGTCTGTCAGGGGATAATTCGTCCGTATAAAAAGTTGAGGGTGAAGAATATCTAATTTTTAAATAGAGATGGATAATTCGTACTGCCACAATAGTTCAAGCGTAATTCAAACTTTTTCCTAAAAAATAGGCCCGAAAATCATGCCTCTCTAGCAATAGCAGTGCCCTTTGCAAAATGTTAGAAATTTGTCATGTCATCTTAGGTGGGCTCTCCTTCAATTATTTGTTTCTAGCGATCTGTTTCGTTTTTGTCACGTTGCAAACGACCTGCGAGCGCTAGGTTTTGGGCGATCGCGCATCACTGGGCCATCGCGTCAGCAAGGTGGACGCGAGTGCGCGCCAGCTGTCGGGGCAAGGAAGGGTATCGTGAGGGTTCCATTAGCTGCCAGGTCAATCAGTCACGCCAGAGCATTGATAGAATTGGGCGTGTCGGAATATTAGGGCCATGATTGGGTATATGTTGGAGGCTGTGTTTTAGACATAATTTCCAAAGTAATATAGCTTTAGGTAACATGATCGGTTATCTCTTGGAGATGCTCTAAAATTGAAACATTATTACAAAACACTATGCCAGAATGGCCCGTTTGATATAGCTTTTTGCTGGATTAACCGATTTGCTTATAGGAGCCGATACTCAATTAGCGCATGGTCTTTTTTGAGATTGAAAATGATCATTTTTGAGTTTTCTATAAAACTTTTATATAATATTTTGTTTTAAAAAAAAACAAAGTGTTTAATGGTTTGAAAAGTGTGATCGCTATGGTCTAGTAGCTAGAATTTGAAAAGAACACGAATGGCCAGTTTCTCTCTGTTTTGTTTTGGTGAAATTTGACTGTTTCTCATATTTGATAGTTCAATCAATAAATTTAGTCACGATAGATAATAAAGCATAGTGAATACAATCGACTTACATGGAAGCATACAAATGCTCTTTCTAATTAATACAAAAATTCATGTAAAGCTCACATTGTGCAAGGGCTTGGTGAAATAATAGGATAAGGGGTATATATACAATAACTTTTCCCGGCGGAAAAGCCATCATCCCAAGCCATATGATTAAAATTGTTCTTTGGTGGATACGTGACCTTGATGAATTTTTTGAAAGTTCAAACCTTGAAAATCTTAAATCCGAGCACAATCCCATTTTGACAGGTTGATTCATAAATCATCAAAATTCTTTACAAGTGTGCAGAAGTTTTAGATCATGCATTTCCTATTGAATTCTGTGATCGCCCGTTCTCATCCATATACCATCTGTTTAATCTCTCTCGAGTAATCTCTACCTGAAAAAAAATTAAACATCAAGCACATCATTAAATGAGAAAAATATGCTCTTCTAATGACCCATGAATTTTCTAGAGAGACCCTTATATTATTTGAAAAAAGATATTTAATCAGAAAAGAGGATAAGAAAGAAAATATGAGCAGAGGTAAAAAAAAGGCAACCTGTTTTTTCCAATCGGTCCTAAGTGTGATGAATAGAAGCACAAGAGTCTGGACTAGTGTTCCAAGAAGCATGCCGATCCAAATACCCTACATAAAGAATGAACATAAGTGAGGGACACAACTTAAATCCAGATTAACTAGTGAAATTCTATCATACAAAAATTCCTTACCTTTACTTGAAATCCTAGCACATAGCCTAGTATTGCACCAAGAGGGATACCAATCAAGTAGTACGATGTAACATTAACATAGGCAACTATACTTTGCCAACCCGATCCGATAGCGACACCTATATATAATTAGAAAATTAGTAATTTCATTGTTAAATTTTGAATTACTTTGATATATACTTGTCCTTCAAATGGAGTAACATACCTGAGAGCACTGGTTGAACACTATTCAACAAAATGGAGAAAGCTAGAAGGGGAGCAAGATCAGCGACTTCATCTGCTACCGCCTTACTTTCAGTAAATATGTATGCAAGGCTTCCACGGAAGAAAAGGAAGAGCACAAACAACACAAATCCTATCAAGAAAGAAGTGGTGACCACATTGAAAATGGCAAACTTAGCCCTTCTTGCACTCCCGGCTCCAAGTTCATTTGCCACCCGCACTCTAAAAATGTACATGCATTAAGTATATGTCAAATTTATGGTTCATGTTGCATCAGTTAGATGAACCACGTAGTGAGTGACAGCTGAGATCGTGAAGTTACCCTATTGCAGACAAAAATCCGATAGAAATCATCATCTCCCAACCGTTGATATTAAGGCTACAAATTTTGCAAGTGAAAACAACAATGTTCAATAAGCAACCTTTTCAATTACTAGAGGAGACACACAAAACAATACAATGATATACATGATACAATATGATCTGGTTGTTGTTTTCTAAACTAATATGCAACAGATTGGAGTGGAATATATTACCATATAGAAAGAGCATCAAGAGCAACCTCTGCATTCTTCATATAACTAGTGAGGAGCACCAATATGGTGTTGTACCACAATTCTAAACTGAAAAGGTAAAAGAAAAATGAGAATAAATTAATGAGCTTCTAATTATTTGTATAAAAGAACTTGATTAACAATTAGCATCTAAAATATTAACTTTCTATTTGCTATCATCAATTTTTTTTGTCAAAAATTTCATATATACATATAAACATAACCATGTTACTTACCAAAGCATCACTCCAGACGATAGCGAAAGCTTCATAATAGCACCAAGATCAGTAAAAGCAGAGGATGAGAACCCTGTCCATGTTAGAGGGCAACCACCAAAGAAGACAAAAGCGAGCTGGCCAAACACAGGGATCCAAAAGGAGATGACCATGGATCCCATGACCCCAGCAAGACCAAGTTGGAACTTGACTGTTAGGAGTCATGACAAGAAGAGGTGAATCCCAAGATTGAGGAAGGCAAGGTAAGTGACAATCATGTTCTTGCTCTGCGCTTGTAGGTACATTTGGAGCGTGAATGCCCATATGTAAGAGAACATTACGGGGATGTACCATAGAGAGATGGTGCCAGCGACAGCAGAGATCTCAGGGTCTTGACCAAGAGCGATTAGGAGTGGAGTTGTGAAGATATAGACCGGGAGAAGGATGACTGCACAACAGAAGAGAACTAGCCATGAGCGTTGTAGATAGATGCCCAACATGTGATATTGCTTGGCGCCATATGATTGTCCACACAACGTTTCTAATGCGCTCGCCATGCCAAGCTGCAATTTACAACAATGTGCATATACGGTTAATTTGTAGTATATACTGTTTTTATATGCATATCAATAGATGACTTATAGTGCAAATTAATATTTAGTAAAAAGAAGTTTTCATAGGAGTGACTTGTAGTATGGTCTGGTTATGTTTTATTTGTATATTCCGTTCAAAAAATCTAGGTAAAGACTTTTGCTATTGTTGCACAGCTAGTAGACAGAGGTAGTACAAACTACTTTAATTACTGAAGAAAAAAAATATATATCAGAAGATCCAACAAGAATACACATGAAAAAAGACCCGGCAAAAAGAATACATGAGGTAGATGCTATATACTCCTTCCGTCCCTAAATATTTAATGCCGTTGACTTTTTTAAACATGTTTGACCATTCGTCTTGTTTAAAAACTTTTGTGAATATTATTAAGAAATTTGAGTAGTAGTAGTATATTTAACAATGAATCAAATGAGAGGAAAATAATTAATAATTACTCATTTTTTAAAATAACATAAACGGTCAAACATATTTAAAAAAGTCAACGGCGTCAAGTATTTAGAGACGGAGGAAGTACTAATTAATGTCTGGAGAGAAAGCCGTGCAAGGGAAGGATGGCTAGGTCAAGAGTCTACTTCAAAGTTTTACTAGTACTTTGAAAATCCAAGGAGGCAAGGTCTCACATGATTAATTTTCTTCCTGCAGTATGTACTATATCCATTTTTTTTAAAAAAAAAATCGAGCCTATAGCTTCTTAGCTATAGTACAACAATGCTGGACAAGATCGAACACTCTGTTTTGAACCTATAAAGACAGCAACTGAACATCCATTGTTTGTCTCAATTAATCGATGGGCAAATTAAAGCACAACAAAAAACTTCCAGCGCGCGCGGCGCTGTTAGTCTCTGAATCGGCACAATTAAGTCAAAACTTAACGTCATCAAAGTCAGCTTTTAGAAATAAAAAACAGCTAGTTGCCGAAAACACGAAACAGGTAAAAAGAAAGATCAATTTGAATTGTTACAACGTAGTAATAATAATTTAAACCCAAAACTGTGTAATGATAACTCTGTAATAATAAGTAAAAAGGGAATCAGCGGCATGACTTACCAGGATGCCATTGCTGAAGCGCATGAGGACGGTGGAGACGAGGGCGTAGGCGGCGAGCTCGGTGGCGCCGATGTGTCCGATGAACGCCTGGCTGATGACGGTGACGCCGAAGGAGGAGAAGCGGGCGCAGATGGAAGGACCCGCCACCACCCACAGCTTCTTGTTCTCCTCCACCACTCGCCGCCTCACCGATCCAACCTCATCCTCCTCTGCATCATCATCTTCCTGATGCTTGTAGGTAGCCGGCTTAGGCTCCAACAGAGGAACCGTCAGCTTCTCATCATCACCCGGCTTCTCCATTTTGCTAATTAATTAGTGGCGGCTTGTAGTTTGCAGCAATGGAGATGGAGTGGTGGTGCTTCAGATTCAGTAGCAATGGCGCTGCTGGAGGAAAGGGAAGCATCAAGGATGCTCAAGTATGGAGCTACTGATGATATATATAAAGGGAGTCGAATGGAAGTACAGGAGAAGCCGTGGGTTGGTAACTTGGTATGGCGGAGGGCAGAATCGGGAATTAACAGGACTTAATTAATCGATGATTATTAATTAATAGTGACTCTAGTCTAGTTGATCAGATCAATGTATATATCCAGTTGAGAATATTCAGGATCATCCATATACATGTTGAGAATTAATTAGCAATAGTAAGTGGAGTAAGAAGGAAGGGTGAGATTCGATCTGGGGTTTTGTGTACATTGTACTATGTGGCAATGAGGGCAAGAACGTGTACTGTATATAGCTTTGCTGCCTGTAGTTGTAGACTGTAAAGACGCGAGGTTATACGTACGCGTACGCGGTACGACGGCTTAGGGCCTGTTTGGTACAGCTCCAGCTCCAACTCCATCTCTTCTGGAGCTGGAGCTCAGCCAAACAGTTTCAGCTCCACTAAAATTGAGAGTGGAGTTGGGTGGAGCTCTCTCACAAAATATATTAGAGTTGTGGAGATAGGTTTAGGCAACTCCATAAATCCACTCCAGACTCAACTCCTAGAGTTATATTTATATTTAGGAGTTGTAGCTGTAACAAACAGGCCCTTATTTGCGAATGCGGGGCGTCGGAAGAGGCCACATAGAGATGCTAGGTACCCGTACCTACAGGGCACCACCAGCAGGCTGCATCGTGAAGCACAGGAGGCCACGCACGGCGGACGTAGGCGGCCGGAATAGTAGCTGGCCCGCCGCCGTCAGCTTAATTCGTCAATAAAATATAATGGACGTTTGTCCGGCCTGCAATCGGCCACTGCATGCGTGATGCATGCGTCGTGGTCGGTCAATGTCCGCCGAAATTAAACATTTATTCCTTTCTTCACAAAATAAGCCAACACGTACCAAACGAGAATGGTTTATTTTATAACAGAAAAATAAACCAACTTGTATTGGATGAGGGTGGTTTATCTTGTGACAGAGATTGTATTTTATACAAAGGTTTTTTAAACCTGGCAAAACGGTGTGTATTTTAATTTTTTTTAATAAAGACATTGTTTAAAAAATTATATTAATTTACTTTTTAAAGTCATTTTAATCATCACTTGTGATAAGGGTTACTCTGTTTTTTTTATAGGGACAAAGTGTTCCGAACCGTGTGGTTCGAACACAGCAGAGCGTCGTGGTCGGTCACTGTCTGCCAAATAAGCTCCCGTCTCGGTCATTCAACTCTTCTCGTCGAGCCACACTAGCAGTAACACCAGTCTAGCACGCCTGCAGCTAACCATACTTATATCCTTTGGTAGGTTGGTCACGTGCCGTCTATTTAGGTTGGTCACGTTCTTTTCTCGTGAAGCTACTCCCTCCATTCTCGAGAATATAGAGATTTTAACATCTCCATTCTCGAGAGATTTTAACATTTTACTTGCACTGTTTGACTATTCGTCTTATTTAAAAATTTTAAAATTATTATTTATTTTATTTGTGACTTACTTTATTATCCAAAGTACTTTAAGCACAACTTTTTGTTTTTTATATTTGTACAAATTTTTTAATAAGACGAGCGGTCAAACAGTGTAGGTAAAATGTCAAAATTCCTTATATTAGGGGATGGAGGGAGTAACAAATACTAGTACTAAGCAGTACTTGGATATACACTAAACAGCAAATTCATGATTTTTTAATATTTATATAAGGATATGGATGAATGAATTAATTATAAAGTTAAAATAAATTTAAAACAATATTACCATAAAAAATTAAAACAATATCAGAAGAATTTTTATATAGAAAGTTTTAAAAGCCGCACAATTTAAAAGCTTGACAACGTGCCACCGTTAATCCGTTCATCAATTACTCGAAAATACTGGAGCAGTATTATTTATTTGTTTACAATGTAAAATTTTAATCACAACAATCGTATGTATTTTGCTACTCAAATTCCCTATGCCATTGTGTTCAGTGGTTTGGATGCGTGGCACATTTTACTCTTGCTTCGTTGTGTATTACGAGAAAAAATACTTTGTCGTGCATTATAAGAGAGAAAATATCAAAATTGGTGGTCTTTATCGACAAACTCGGGCTACTTGGGCTTGGGCCATGAAGACCAGCCATATATCGCACCTAATTCCATATTTACATATATATACTATACAGTATATAAAGAGAGGAGAAGCTTGGCTTAGCTTACATTAAAAAGAACATTAAACGAGAAAAAGATCATGAACTCTGTTTCATGGAAATATTTTTGCTTGGGACTTGAAATATTTGAAAGCGGAATGGTTTTATTTTTGATAATAAGCTCCCTTCTTTGTTATCCTGAAGGCAGCTCCTTAAGCATGTGTTTGGTTTAGGGATGGGTTAGGATGGGATGGTTTTATCCCTGATTTTTGGAATGGGATGGTTCTGTTTTTGTTTGGTTGAAGGGATAGAACCACCCCTATTTTTTGTTTGGTTTGAGGGATACGATAGGTTGGAATGATCCTATATTTTGTTTGGATGGAGGGATGAACATGGGATGCTTGGATACAATTACCTCCACACATTAGTTGGTGAGGTTACCTCTCTCATAGTCTACAAACTACAAAATAATATTTCTACATGATGACCACACTATATCAAAAAAATGAAATACCATCCATATCACTATATTTGAAAATAAGCTCCAGCAACTTCATTTCAGCATACTGGACAAGCTACCAAATAATGAACAATACTAGCAGTTCCATAATCAACCCCTCAAAAAACAATCACACATAATTAGCTCACATCTGATCCCATTTCAATCCATACATAGAGTCCAAGCCAAACATAATAAGAAGTTTCAAGTCGTGCACATAATAGCAAATTAAGGTCTTACACATAATAGCAAATTTAAGTCTTGCACCTAAGAGTTCACTGCCTACAACATATTGGCAGTACAAGTCATACATGACCATGGGCCCACCGGCAACACATAATACCAAAAGAACTACCCAACTCATCTAACAACGCTACATTGATCCAGGAAACTTCTCATTAATGAACAAATGGACCCAATGTATCTTGTTTTCGAAAGGAAGTCCATCAAAAGCTCTAACAATGTGAGGGTTAGCAACCAAATGAGCATAGTAAACAGATACGTGGATCTCCTCAAACCCAGGAAGGCTTTTCAAGGTTTCAAATAAACCATCTGGCAGTTTATTGTCTGGCTCAGCGACCTTTAGTATAGCAGAAGCTAACTTGTCACCAACACTGGTGAATGCACCAATCAGCCCATCATCTTCAATTTCTTGTGTTCTAGCTTTCTTTGGCTTGCTTGCAGATGATGCCTCCGGACGATCATCAGTAGTGGCAGGGCCATCATTTTCCTCTTCATCATTTTCCTCTTGGACATCCTCTGTTCCTAGGACTGAACTTGAGTCCTTTGCATACTTTCCCGTAGCCATGGTGCTACCAAATATTGTAAGCATCTCACCATAGTGCGCAAGAGGTTTGTTAAAATAATCAGCATCAGCCTTGTGATCCTTCGGTGAAACAAAATTTTTGTTTAAGTAAATGCAATAAAAAAATGAATGGAATAAAGCACTAGGTCAAGACATTTACCTCAATATAGCCATTGTAGTGCTCATCATCAAGAGTAATGATGAAATTTTTCTCATCCCAACCAGCAGCACTAACTTTCCTAAGCCTATTTATCTTTGTAAACTTTCTTTGCCATGTCTTCAAATGATTCTTAATTTGCTCACCCGTGAGAGTACTGTTAAACCTTTTATTCACAGCCCTCGCACATGCATTGAGATGCACTGCCTTGAAGCCAGATGAGGTACTTGTGCCACCGGCCACAAGATTGGCAAGGTGTTTCAGCATGAAAGATGACATAGCTGACGTCCATGAAGCATGGGTGCTTCCTCCCTTGCCACTATTGTTGTCCATTTCCTACCTGCTGTCAAATGAACCAGAAAACATCCATTCAGCAATACGTAAACCCAGAAATTGACCATTTAGCAATATGTAAACCGAGAAATTGACCATTCAGCAATATGGTAAACATAAATTGTCAATTCAACAACATATTAACCCAGAAATTAAACATTCAGCAATATGTTAACCCAGAAATTCACCATTCAGCAATATATTAAACAGAAATTGTCCATTCAGCAACATATTAACCTAGAAATTAAACATTCAGCAATATATTAACCCAAAAATTCACCATTCAGCAATACATCAACCCAAAAAATTCAGCATTCAACTATCAACCAATGAAATGACCATTCAACAATATGTCAACCAACTCAGCATTCATCAAACCATAAATTCAGCATACAACAATAGATTTATCCATACAAATGCAATTTAGCAAATGGACTACAACAAGCTGTCCATACAAATGAAATACATAAAAATGTTCATTGAATACTAATGAAATATAGTAAATAAGGTAGAAATACAAGTAGCCCAGCTACATATTACATTCCATGATGGCTATTACGGTCAGCCCACATCTGATCAGCTAAGCCGTGCCTGAACTGAACCATCAATGCATGGTCATTCGCTTGGTCGGTTGACGATTCATCAATGTCCTCACTTGACCAATCAGGCGGAGCTATAAGCTCATCAATTCCGTCATTTACGACACAATTATGAATAATACAACAAGCTACAACAATATCTACTTGAGTTCGAAATGGGAAGAATAGAGTGGCATCATCAAGCACTTTGAACCTCCTCTTTAGTGACCCAAATGCACGTTCAACCGTCACACGGAGGGATGAGTGTCTAAGTTGAACAACTCCTTCTCATTTTGTACTGGATTATTCCCCCATTCATTCAGATGGTACCGGACAGCACGAAAAGGAGGCAAGAATCCTTGTTTGGCTCCATATCCAGCATCAACTAGATAGTATTTGCCTATTATATGATCGACAAGTTGGTCACATTCCTAAATATCAACATTTGTCATGGATAATTTGATAAACTATAGTAATCTATTACCTTGTGGAACACGGAGGCCATTTTCACGTTCCAAAGCATCTCTTAAAACTACAACATCATGTGTTGTCCCCTCCCAACCAGCCAAGACATAAGTAAACCGAAGATCAAAATCTACGGCTGTCATTACATTTTGAGTGACATGGGACTTCCTACCACGAAAAGAAGACTCTACATTCTTATGAACCGAGGCTCTAATATGTGTGCCATCAATAGCTCCAATACAATCCTATTTTGTGTTCAACAACATTAAAAATTAGGGACCATATATCAATGTTCACATAAAGATAAATTTAGATAGGGATGAATCTCAGACCTTAAAGTAAGGATCCCATCTAGGATTTCTGGCTATTTTAGTTGGAGTGTCCAATGAGGGGGGGGGGCTGATTAGTTCATCTCGTAGCTCACCGATTGCATGAAGGACTTGGTTCAAATAACGGCTAACTGTTTCTCCAGACCAATCAAAATTAGTGCGAACTAATCTATTTCTAAGGTTATGACCCACTGTATGCAAAAACATAGCCACTTGTTCCTCAATACACATGTGAATAGTATCTTCAAGTAAACCACGATCCCTAAAAAGCTTACAAAAACGAAAGAAACTTGCCCTTCTAAGTCTAAGCATGTTGATACAAGTTGTATCGTTCCACCAAATTTTAGTTTATAGGTACTCAATTCTTTTCTTATCCCTTTCAACCATTGGGCCATATCTAATACCTTCTCTCCTTGAACATCTCTTTCTTTTTCTAGACCTACTAATCATGGCCATCATCGACAACAATAAATTTGTATCAGCAATACAAACTAAAAGCTTGGTCCTCTTGTCCATCTACAATACAACAAAAAAAACACATGGACAACATCTACTGTCAAGCAATTGATAAAGGAATTTCACACATTCTTCAACAAAAACAGATATGCACAGATCTGAAAACGAAATCCTCATCCAAGGTTTAGGGTATTTTTACCGTGGATATTGGGAACCCCGATATGCAGTTGGTGGCTACGAACACTTCGAATCGAAGGTGATGAGGTCCAACGCCGCCGTGTCCTGCTCGCGCACCGGCTCGAGCTCCCGAGAGTGCCGCCGTGCCCCTGCTCGCGCGAGCGCCGCTGCAGCCGCGCGCGCCTCCACAGCCCATGCCCGCGGTGCCGCTGCAGCCGCGCGCCGCGCTGCTTCACCGCAGCCCGAGCCGCGCCGCGCCGCGCCGCCTCACCGCAGCCCCTGCTCGCGCGCCGGCTCGAGCTCCCGCTAGTGCCGCTGCAGCCGCGCGCGCCTCCGCAACCCACACCCGCGCCGCCGCAGCCGCGACCCGCCGCCGCCTTGCCCCTGCGCGCCGGCTCACCCAGGCCAAGCACGCACCGCCGCCACCCTTGCAAACCCTAGGAAGGAATAGACAGAGAAGAGATAAGAAGGAAGAGGAAAAAAAGAGGTGAAGCGCTTCTGCTCTTACCGCGCGTGAGTTGCGAGTCACGGGTGCGAGGTGGGATCATTTCGTCCGCCCCTTTTTTCCGGATGGGGTTGTCCCGAATATTGAAGGAATATTCTCTTTTGGAACCATCTTATCCCTCATAGTGCCTCAACCAAACAGCCATAAAAATGGGATGATCTCATCCCATCCCGGGATATCCTCCCAACCAAACACATGCTAAAAGTGATCTTCTACTTTTATTGTTTAGATTAAATGAGAGAGACAAATCTGTAGTCATGGGTTAGATTCCTTTGTTGTAATTTTCTTTGGACTCCTTTTTTCTTTAATTCTTTAATAAAGTCTTTTTAACAGCGGGGCTTCCATGTTGTGTTCTTAAAAAAAAGTTAAATAAAAATACCATGTCTCCTCATATCTTGTGTTTCTTTTCTCTTTTAGTTATGTGTAATACGTTATCAGCATAACGTTCTAATGGAGATTAAGGTAGAAGAAGGTAAGGAAAAAAAATTGACAAACTGATTTGTATTTTATATATTGAACCACAAAAATGAAACACTTGCAACTTTCTCGTCTCATTTCTGTGACTCTCATACCACCAACACCTTCTTTTGAGTCAATGGCGCAAGCCGATTGGGGTAGTCCAGGCACCAACCTCCATAACCAACAACCCTCACTACATGCGCACGTGCCAGCCACATCCCGTATGACATACGCCGCTGTAATGCACCGGATCGACTGAGATCGCCATGCCGCGCATAGCGGCTGAGCTGGCCACTGCACCGGTCGGCCATGTGCTGCAGCGCCAACCACACTAAGCAGGTGCGCTTAACCAGCCACGCCCCCGCATAGTGCCACGCCACCCAACGGTCGTACCCAGCAGACGCCATGCCAGAGCAGGTCCGACGACCATACCTACTCGACAGCGCATCGTCATGTGCAAACCCTAACAGCGTGTTGATTGTGCCATGACCGTCTTACGGTGTAAGTAGTACCGCTTATTTTGACATGTAAGTAGATTCGCGGGTTAGCCACTTACACCCTTAGAGTCGCCCATGTCACGAGCAAACAGCGCCGCCGTGCTACAGAGTGCTGGACCATGCCAGCATGTCGATCGGGTCACCGAATTGCCTTATAGATAAGTGGTCGCATCGCCGTGTACTGGCCATGCCATTGTGAGCGTCGGCCAAGGAATGAGGAAAGAAGGAAAGGAAGAAGAAACATACAAAAGGAATGAAAATGGAAAAAAGGAAAGGAATCCTGTGGTTTTTGCAGAATGGGCCTGAGCTTTCTGGAACATATCAGCACAGCTCCCTGTATTGAGATCTTTGGTGCACACGTAAAACCTTAAATTTAGGAAAACACCATTTCTAACCCTCTACCGCATAGAATCTTCTAAAGTGGCCCTTGTATTTTTCAAAATTCATTGAAAATTTGTATTTTAGCGTCAAAATTAATGATTATGTATTTTGGATTTGAATTTCGTTTTGCATTTGAGGTATTTTACTACTGTTATTTAAGATTTTGAACTTCTCTTATGTTCATAATATGATAAACACAAGATTGTAAACTCCAAAATTTTGCCAAAAACTTGAAATCTAATATTTCAGAAATTTTGTCCAAATTTTGGAGGTTTTTGTCCCAAGGTATTTTTGTCATTTGGATAAATTGTACAGTGCTAACGGAGGTTAACTGAACGACAATAGTAAATCATAAAACTTAAGCAAAAGTCGACGGCATATTGTAGAACGTGATAAATTCAGTGGTAAATATGGTTTACGATTCCGAGATAGCCTTCCGTTTCGGGCTCTGACGGAATGACGGTTTTCACGAAATACGGTGGAAAGCCGATAGATTCCAAACAAATTTCATAAACCAATATTTGAATACAAATTCTCTGAATTTGCCGATAAGCTCGCGAAAATCGGTCGGCTTTGGCGAAATTCCGAGTGAAATATCGAAATTTCAATCGGTAACTAGAAAAAGATTCCTTTTTTTATTCGTTATTCTTTTCTTTCCTACTGTAAATTTCAGTAAATACACGGAATACATTAATTTTTTCGTAAATTTATATCCCAACAGGTTCTATGAATATCATACTATTTATAAGATTTTATTTGATTTTTTTCTTTTTTATCAATTCAAATTTGACTTTGAATGAAACTCACCAAAATCTCAGACGGCTTCTGCTTTCGAGTCTCGTCGAAAACTCGAAATTTCGCAGAATTCAACCGGTTTTCATCGGAACTGGGAATCTTAGTGGTAAATCGTAGACCTATGATAAACTTATTGGTATATAATGGATTCCCTCCCAAGTCAATGGCTGTGTGTCAGCAAGTTTGGCACTGTACACTAGCTCTAGTTGGTGGTGCTCGCTGCTCAGGAAGCGGCCACGAACAACGTCCATCCACCGTCCAACCAACCATACATGCACGCTACTCATGGACGTTGCCAGGTTGCTGTAGCGCTTTCATATCAGACTAGATTTACTATTTTTGATTTGACTCCGAATTATTCTATCAAGCTAGCAACTGCTTTTGACTAGCCCGCAAAAAATTGCACGGGAAAATTTCTTTGTTGGGACCTGTTTAGATTCTAACTTTTTCTTTAAATTTTAACTTTTCCGTCAGATCAAACTTTCCTACACGTAAACTTCTAACTTTTCCGTTACATCGTTCTAATTTTTTCAAACTTTCAATTTTAGCGTGGAACTAAACACATCCCAAAATCGTCTCCATTTTCTGTCGGAATTAATTCACGCCCAGGAAACGCATTCAAGTGGATGCTTTCACCTGCCATTGCTTTGTTTATTCACTTCCCTCCAGCTTAATTACGAGTAGAGTACAGTACAGTCATCGCTGTTACTCTGAATTATACTACTGTAGAGCATCATATGACAGTGAGGTTCAGTCACAGGAGAGGCTCTGATTTACTCTGTTTAATTCGCTTGAGATGAAAGCATGGATGCATTCATGCATACGCGCTTAATTTGGCTCGCCACGGATGGCTTCTAGCGTGAACGACAACGTTGCAACTACGCTACTCCATCCACTGACGATTAAACAACATAAATCAGGTGCTAATCAATACCCAAACGCAGCAGGGAAAGAAAAGGACAACAGCTAACTGCAACCGAAACGTCCCTGTTCCCGGTTTAGCGTCGGGAAATCATGAGCTAATAAGCAGCAACCTGTTACACGTATATATCTAACTTGTTTTATATTTTTATCATGCATCACATGCCTAGCTTTTTTATTTGTCACTATAAAAAAAACGCACATCAAAATAAACTTGCACGAAATAAATAAACTTGCACGATATATTAAGGTTCTTTTTGGCACAGCTCTAAATCTGAGATTTCTTGAAGATGAATATTTCTAACTCCACAAATTGATCTAGATCTACGGTCACATAGATAACATTTGAATAAATCAATTTATTCCTATTTTAAATGAAATATAAAATTCACTATAACTCAACGTATAAACATCAAATCTACCGTGGATCAGAGATCCATAGCTCTACCAAACATGGCTTAAGTTTTTAACTATATTGCAAAACTCGTTAGCCTTACTTTTATATATTCATTTATAAGTTCACCAATATATTTTTTCACTTTTTCCTTACGAATCACTGAATTATTTGTAGTCTAAATTTTTCACCCTAAGACCAAAATGTAAATATGTGAATTATTGGATGTCAATTTGGTGATTCAAAGGTTATATTTATATATAAGAGAAAGATTGAGCACCAGTATTTAAATCCTGGTGTACATAGATATTAAGCACACATAGGTGCACTTTAAATAGAAATTTAATGAGGCAACAATTTGATGTGGTTAAGTGGTTTCCATCTCTTTTGGCACATATTAAAGGACGCATTCACATGTGTATGAGTGTGGTGTTTGTGCATATATAATATGTCTTCCATTTAGCTACCTAGCTTAAAGTGGCAAGAAATAAAAAGGATGTTTAGGGATACAAATTGCATATCGGAAAGAGTAAAGCTCAAAATGTTATAAAGGTCCGGTTCATTTCCACTGCAAGGAGTGGATAAAGTTTTGGATTTTGATGACATGCTTTTCAAACTGCTAAACATTATATTAAGCCATTTTTCAAGTTTGTACTCCCTCCGTTTCAAAATGTTTGACACCGTTGACTTTTTAGTACATGTTTGACCGTTCGTCTTATTCAAAAAAAATTTTGTGAAATATGTAAAACTATATGTGTACATGAAAGTATATTTAACAATGAATCAAATGATATGAAAAGAATAAATAATTACTTAAATTTTTTGAATAAGACGAATGGTCAAACACGTACTAAAAAGTCAACGGTGTCAAACATTTTGAAACGGAGAGAGTAGTAATTAAAACTTAATTAATCATACGTTATTACCACCTCGTTTTGCGTCAAACACTTAATTTGTCAGGGTTATAGATACCACATACCTAATAGTAGTTGACTAAATCTCGGCAGGACCCACCACATACCATGTCTTATACGGAAAATAACCTTCGGATATAGGAGGAGTTCCACATAAGGAAGGATAAGTAGAGTTCTACATGGAAACGACAAGGACTACTCGGATTGTATCCATATTGGTTTCCCTAGTTCTACTTGGACAAGGGGACACCTATGGGTATAAATACAAGGCCCCTAGGAGAAGAGGGGACACGGAACAATAGATCAAGACATAAGATCAACATACAAGCAAACATACGCTAAGACAAGACGCCGGATATCGACTTCAAAGATAAGCATGGCTAGTCCCCTACAGTATCTACGGATACTGATAGGAGAGACATAGCGTTGTCTTTGATCTCGCCGGATGCGGATTCGAGTAGGAAGGCTACCCTATTGTCGACTACGAGTCAGTACTTCAGACCGCCAAGTCGACAACAGTTAGATAGGCTACCCCAAATATTGTACTGGTGTGATTATGGTGAATAAGAGCAACGACCGGCTTCGGCCAACAGAAGTAGGGTTATTACCTGACAATTCAGGGGCCCGAACTTGTATAAAAATCCTCGTCCCCATCTCTTTTATTACAATCTCGCATATATCTTAGTACCAACGATCCCCATACTATGCAAATACCGGAATCGCGACATCAAACGTCGACATAATCTTCATCTTCATCTTTGCGTAAAACACTTAATCTTCATCTTCAGGAGATTCAAACACCACCAAAGTCTCTAAAACTATCTCTTTGGTAGTATTATTCAGAATGCAAATATGCAAGAGAATTTTATTTTTAAAGCTTGCTAACCATCTGTCTATATTTGGTGATCTATGCTGAAAGATATGAGAATTACACTTCTTTCAAAGATACCAGCAAGCAATCATTACTATCTCCAGGAAACCTTTTGTCCGAAAACATAATCTGGCAAAAACTATCATCTAGTAAAAAAATAAAGAGGTGTTCCACCACTCTTTAGTGTGGACAATTTTCCCTTATTTGATACTAGTTTAGTCAATAAATTTAGTCAAATGTAGATACAAAGCCAAAGGGTACAATCAATTCACATGCAAGCATATGCATGCTCTTCCAACAAATGCAAAAAAAATATGTAAAACTCATAATGGTCAAGCATTTGCTACAATAGTTTCGATAACCCGGTAAAAATGGATAATTTACGACCATATATATATAAGGTTCCTTCAATAACATCACGGTTTTTCCATGGTGTGACACATGGGGAAAAACATCATTCCAAGCCATTTATAGGTTCATTGAAGGATGATGTCACCTTGAAGGATCTTAAACTCTGAGGGCAATCCCATTAGAACAAGCTGATTCATAGATCACCATAATTCATTACAAGTGTGCAGAAGTTTTAGATCATGGATTTTCACCCGGATTCTGTTGTCTCCCATTCTCATCCATAGACCAGCGGTTTAATCTCTGTCGAGCAATCTCTACCTAGAAAAAAGAACATGAAACACATCATTAAATGAGAAAAAAAATCTAGAGAGACCCACATGCTATGTGGGTTAAGAGATTTAATAAAAAAAAAGATAAGGAAAATTGTGAGCAATTAACATACCTGTTTTTCCCAATCAGTTCTAAGAGTGATAAATAGAAGCACAATAGTCTGGACTAGCGTACCAAGAAGCATACCAATCCAAATGCCCTATAGAAACAACAAATGGAATTGAGAAACACAATTTAAGTCCCAAATTGACTAATGAAATTTTATCAATTGGCTCCTCACCTTTACTTGAAATCCTAGCACATAGCCTAGTATTACACCAATAGGGATACCGAACAAGTAATATGATGTAACATTAACATAGGCAACTACACTTTGCCAACCTGATCCAACAGCGACACCTACAGATGATTATAAAATATTATAATTCCAATGTGCAATTTCAAATTATATTGATATATATACTATTCTTTTAAATGGAATACCATACCTGAGAGCACTGGTTGAATACTATTCAACAAAATGGAGAAGGCTAGCAAGGGAGAAAGCTCCGCAACTGCATCTGCTACTACCTTACTTTCAGTAAATATGTATGCAAGCCTTCCACGAAAGATAAGGAAGAGCACAAACAACATAAATCCTATCGAGAAAGAAGTGGTGACCACATTGAAAATGGCAAACTTAGCCCTTCTTGCGCTTCCAGCTCCAAGTTCATTTGCCACCCGCACTCTAGAAATGTACATGTATAGGTATGTCAAATGAAATTTATCTGACATGATTGATTGATCAAATGAACCACTTAGCATGTAACAAGTAAGATCACTAAGTTACCCTGTTGCAGATAAAAACCCTATAGAAATCATCATCTCCCAACCATTGATATTAAGGCTACATATGGAAAAACAATAATGCTCAATAAGCAAGTTTTTCAACTGCTAAAGGAACAACAAAGAACAATACAATGATGTACCCACAAACATGATCTACCTTTTATGGGGCAATTGCAAATTTACCACTACTTTGAATCGTTATTGCAAAACTGCCACTAGAAAATTGCAAAAATGCCATTAGAACTGTCATTTGAGTGGCATCCTTGCAATATTGAAAAAACCAGTGGCAAATTTGCAAATACCCCACCTTTTATTGTCTAAACCATTATGCAACAATTGAAAGAGGAATATATTACCATATTGAAAGAGCATCAAGAGCAATCTCTGCATTCTTCATATAACCAGTGAGGAGAACCAAAATTGTGTTGTACCATAATTCCACACTGAAAGGCAAATGAGAAAGAAAAAAGAATAAACCACATGAGCAATTAATTAGCTCTAAACAATATGTTGGTCGACATTTAGCATCTAACATATTGCATATCTGAAATTTCATATGTATGCATAAACACAATTGTTACTTACCAAAGCATCACTCCAGAAGACAGTGAAAGCTTGACAATAGCACCGAGTTCAGTAAAAGCAGCAGATGAGAATCCTGTCCATGTTAGAGGGCAACCACCAAAGAAGACAAAAGCAAGCTGACCAAATACTGGAATCCAGTAGGCAATGACCATGGAGCCCATGACCCCAGCAAGGCCAAGGTGGAACTGGACCGTTAAAAGCCATGATAGGAAAAGGTGAAGCCCAAGATTGAGCATGGCAAGATAAGTGACAATCATGTTCTTGCTCTGTGCTTGTAGGTACATTTGGAGCGTGAAGTTCCCAACATTGGATATCATAACAGGGATATACCACAATGAAATAGTGCCGGCCATAGCAGCGATCTTAGGATCCTGGCCAAGAAAAATTAGGAGTGGAGTGGTGAAGAGGTATATCGGGAGGAGGAGGACTGCACAACACAAGAGAACTATCCATGAACGTTGTAGATAGATGCCCAACATGTGGTATTGCTTGGCGCCATATGATTGCCCACACAATGTTTCCAATGCACTTGCCATGCCTAGCTGCAGTTTACAACAATGTGCATTTAAGGTGAGCAATTTATAATGTGTTTTTATGCATATATAGAAGATAAGATTACATCTAGAAATTAATTGTTAGTAAAAGTCTAAAATATAAAGAGGTCATCATTACTTGTAGTAAGGTATCTTTTGATACCAAAGTCTGTGATTGAGAGCATTGATAGGGAGAAAGCACTGCTTATGGAAATAGTCAGATATGATCAACTCCAAAAACAATTCCTGGCTGCTTGGCATAAGGTTTGCAGACTAAGTTAAAGGAGAAGAGGAGGCCATTAACTTGACAATCCAAAATTAGGCACCGCTCATGAAACACTTGAACAAATTTTATAACAATAAGGACTTGCCTTAGGTAAAACTGATTTAGAATAAGTATTATGTCTACCTAGTGCCTAATTTAACTATCCCAAAAGAGTCCTTCTGGTGGAATGATGTTTGTAAAACAAGCATCCACTTTAGAGGAATTCCTAGATGTATCTTACATAAGGGAACTGCCTGCACCTTCTAGGAAGATATGTGGTCTCACTAGCCACCTCCATGCAATGTATATCTAAGGCTATATTCCTTTGCTTCTAATAAGGAGGCCTCTGTCAAAGTGTTTGTATCTACTGATCTGGATGATAATTTTAATCTGCCATCATCTCGGAAAACATATGATGAGGTTTCTCGATAGTCAAACAAACTCCTAAACTTGGAATTGGATCACACTGCTGATCAGTGGAAGTATATATGGGGAAACATGAACTATGCCTTTCAGAAATTCTTCTATCTGATCTTTAATTACATCCGTCTAGCCTCCACATTTTATTTGGTTATGGAAGAGTAAGTGCACTTCAAAAGTTAAAGTTTTTGGATTGCTACTTCTTATGAATAGATTGAACACACGATATATGCGAGATCATAAAAAATTGCTCCACCAAAGTATGACCTAGTATGTGTGTTATGTAATCAAGGGGTCATTGAAACAATGCAACATTTGTTTCACACGTCCATTTTCATCTTCATGTTGAGCTTCAATTGGATTTAGTTGGAATACCGTGATGGGAACTTAAATTATGATGGCTAAGGCTAAAAACCAATATGTGGGTTACAGCTTCATCGATAAATTCTTAACTTCTGTCTAGTGTATTTGGAAGATAAGAAATAACTTCATCTTGAGCAGAAACCTCCCACCTTTTCTTCCGGGAGATATCTGTTTAAGACTGAGCTCCTCCTTTTAATATTTGGACTAAATGAGGAGATAAAGATCAATAAAATATATTACTGTAGGGCCTCCCTCCCTGCTGTGCTTCCTTAAAAAATATCTAGATATATAAAAACTTGGCAGTCTGCTATTGTTCCAGAGCTAGCTAACACAGATATCTTACGAGCTTATTTGTACTTGAAGTCATGAAGAGCACACAAGTATATAACTAATGCATAAAGACAATGCAATGATTAAGAGGGGGTGGCTGAACTAAGAGTCCGCTTCAAACATTAAGGGATGCTTTGAATTAGTCGGATGGCCCCTTTCTAAACAAAAAATACATAGGTCTCACATAATTTAGTTCTTACAGTACGAATTGTGTCTTTTTTAAAAAAGAAAATTTTTTTATGTGCCTCTGAATATTTTGGATCCCTTCCGTGACATTAAATGTTGCCTCATCTCTCTGACATGTCTGATATTTTTTTCCCCATCAATACACTTTCCATTACTTTGACCGTTAGATTTTTTTTTCTAACATGACTATATGCCCACACTATCCATTTCTCATAGACTCGCACTTATGTACACTTTAAAATATAAATCTCAACTTGAAAAAAATACAGTAAAAATCAAATCGAGCAAAGTTTGAGAGTTATTTGATGGAAAATTTGGAAAACAAAGTTTAAATTAGTTTAAACACAAAATGTAATTAAATAGTATTAAGTGTAGTGGGTAGAGAGGATAGTTACGAGGATGCCGCCGCTGAAGCGCATGAGGACGGTGGAGACGAGAGCGTATCCGGCGAGCTCGGTGGCGCCGATGTGGCCGATGAAGGCTTGGCTGATGACGGTGACGCCGAAGGTGGAGAAGCGCGCGCAGATGGAAGGACCCGCCACCACCCACAGCTTCTTGCTCTCCACCAACACCCGCGGCCCCAACGACCCAACCTCCTCTTCATCTTCTTCTTGCTTGTCGTTGTTGCTGCCTTCGCCATGAGCGTGCTTAGGCTCCAGCAGAGGAGCCGTCCTGCAGTCATCATGTTCATCACCCGGCCTCTCCATTTCTCCTAGCACAGCTTGGCTTAGCTAGCTGCTGCTAACTTTAATTGTGCAGGAATGGAGCGAATTAATTAATGGGAATAATTGCACTTGAGGGGAAGAGGAGCTATCAGAATTGATGAAGGGAAGCAGGTTAGGAAGGCTCTCAGCTACCGTTTTAAAGGAGATTGATCAGGTAGCTGGGTTGATGGCTGGACTTGGACCAGAGAGTTGAGTGAGCAAGTACCTGATTGTCCCTGTGGCTGCTACATAAGGTGGGTAGGTAGTGAGGGCAAGGTGGGAAAGTAGTAGTAACACTGACTCGTTAATCATCGATTTAGGAATCAGCATTCCAGACAAAAGGAAGGACCAATAATATAGCGAGTATGAAATTAATTAACAGTGACTGTCGTCATATATACTACAGAACTATCATCCATCCAGGAATCTGGGGTTGTGTGTAGTGTTAAATGGCTCAATGCAAGTGGATTGTGTTATGTACGTATACACACCAGGGTTCGACTTACCGCCGGTAACCGCGCGGTTACCGTGGTTACCGGGCTTACCGCGGGGGTACGGTAATATAAATACCGCGGTAACCTCCTTAAATTTAAATAAATTTAAAAAATAATTTGAATTTTTGATAAATTTTGCACGGTTTTGTACGGTTTTTCACGGTTACCGCGGTTACCGCGCGGTAACCGTGCTTACTGCCGGGGCGCGGTAACTCTGGCCCCGGCGATTTGGGAAACCCCATTACACACAAACGGCGGAGCTTGCAAGCGGCGTACAGAGCCAGTAATTAACTTACACTATAAAGCCTTAAGAAGTTAAAGCTATTTTTTACTTGTAATATATATATATATATATATATATATTAAGCACATATACCATATAGTGACACAAATTAAACATTTATAGTATGATAGATAATAAATAAAGCAATTTGTAGGTTGCAATATAATAATTTATTCTCTATAAATAATAAACGATAATATAATTACAACTAAAAAGGCCATAGTAGAAATAAAGTGGTATAAATACCTTATAAATAATTGAAACTATAATTCAACAATGAATTGAAATCGATAGAGGCACTTCTGTGAGACTGTGACCTACGTACCTTCAGGATCCAGGAAACACAGCCGCACAGGCAGGGCTGCAGGCACCGGCAGCTTGGCTGATGGCGTCTCGCTCCGTCGCTCGGCGCGTAAGGAACTAGGGCATTCGCGACTTGGGGTTCGGCGACGAGACGAGTAGACGACGAAGCGACGCGCGCTCGGCGCTCCCCGGCCTGGGCGCTGCGCTATGATGTGGGCTGCCGCCTGGGCCCCCTTCCGGCCTGGGCCCAGGCGGTTGCACAACCGGCCTAGGCCCAGGGCAGGCAGCGGCTACGTACGTCATGTCGCCGGCCCGGTCTGTTCACGGCAGCTATAGTTGCCGGACGTACGTGTCACGTGTGGCTGACCGGCATCCCCGCTTGGCGCTTGCATCCTCAACTCGTCGTGGCCACCAAAACCAAATGTAGGACTTCGTTCATTTGATGTCAAAAAAAAAAACTTACTAAAATTTAAGCAACTTGTCAAAATTTTGGCAGGATTTCTTATATGCTCTAGTTACCAAAATTTAGCAGTAAACTAAATGTAGCTATTTTTTTTTTGATAACTTTACCAAAATTTAGTAAAGTTGAAAATAACATCAAAGTGAACAAACTGTAGAGTTCCTCGTAAATCCAACGATACCACCCAATATGCATCTAAGAACTGGGAAATGCATCTTGACAAAAAGGAGATCTCGCTGCAAGGACGGCGTTACATCATTACATGTATGATCAGGTTAGGTTGTTTATGCCCTGCAGTTCAGGTAATACCCACACAAGAATTGGGTTTGAAAGTAACACTAGAAAAGAAAAGAACAAAATAAGGGGAAGGCCGGCCGGGGGATCAAATAACAATTGATTCTTTTTTTCTTTTTTTCCTTTTTACATGCGCGGTGGTGCGTGCGCGTCACACCGCCCTTTGAATTTTGGTTATCAAATCTGCATTCTTTTTGTTGTAGGACTTGGTGATTTAATTAAATCTTGAATATGCATGCATGGAGCTGTAATGTATAGGTCTCACCATAATCTCTAGAGAAAATCCCTTATATACCCCTACAATTTTAGCTAATCCCTTCTATATCTCTGAATTTTGTTTACCTCCTTGTATGCATCCAAAATTTGATTTTGATCCCTTCTATACCTCTCCCGTCAGTTGACCGTCTAATTTCTATAAAATGACAATTTTACCCTTTTGATGAACATAGAAATTTATAAATTACATTATTGAAAATGTAAAAGCTTGCTGTATGAGACTATTATAGTTGTGTGTTTATTGTGCGATACATTATCTATGACAAAATTTATTTTTAGATAATGAAATAAAAAATATGTATTTATTTTATTTTTAAAAAAGTCATAAAAAATTAGGAGCATCCATATAAAGATAGGACTACCAATGCTCACGATATATTTTTATGAATACTCCGATAAAAAAAATCCATTGTCCTATTGAAATTTCAAATAAAAAATTCTATTTATTAAATTTGTTTTATTTTCAAATTTTATGTCAAAATTTCTTGCACTAATTATTTTGTCTCATTAGTTTCGTAAAATGCACATATTGTGCACTCAAACAAAATTTTCAATTGCTTTTCAAGCATATATTCAAACCTAAATCCTCAAGGGCATAAAAGACATTTGCAACCAAACTTAATAGTGAAATAAAGGAAAATATAACGGGAAGGGCATGGAAGGGATCAAATTGAAATTTCAGGGGTAGAGAAGGGATCAAATAAATTTCAAGGATATGAAAGGGTTTGAGTGAGTTTTTAAGGCTATACAGGGAATTTACTCTAATCTCTGTGGAGTGCGACACGCCATCTTCTTTCGTCAAGCAACCAATCGTCCTACCGAATTGGCTCATCATCTATCACGCCTTCCATTCCTCGTCAAATCCTATTAAATTAATGCTTAGATTTTTTTTAAGAAAATCCTATTAAATCATCATTATCATCAATTAATTAATTAATTAATCAATGTGCCATTAACTAAGAACGTTTAATTGTTAATATGTCTGTCCGGGACGGGAGATGATCTCACTTGATTTTTTACATTTTAACTCTTTTTAAAAACTTATTTTATAAATAGACACTTAAACAAAAGACAACTTCGACATTGGGCAACCGCGGGCGCAACTATGACGTCCAAATCTGTATTAGTCCCACTCTATACTCTGAGTAGGCCTTCCATGCCCTTCACATAGCACTCTATTTATACCTTTGTTCTCGTTTCTAAAAGCATTAACCTGGAGGTACTATATATGCTTGAAATGAACTGGGTATATAAGTTGACCCAAATCTATCTACACTCTCCATGTGGAGCTCTTCCACCAAACGAACACTTGGGTCTAAACCGGAACAAGAAGAGTCACGGACCGAAACAGACTAAATGGGCTGGATTTTACACTCTCACTCCCTCATGGGTTGATGCCCTAGCAACTCACCGCTACCCAACAGCCAAATTTCCAGGATATCCCCTCGGTGCTACGGCATTGTGCCTATGCGTCGTGTCCCCCTCCACGGGCTAACACACACGCACACTTGTGTAACACGGGTTGAAGTTCTAATATTACATGTAACACTCGAGAGACAAAATCAACAATAGTCCACTCTACCCGCTAAATGGACCCACATTCACATTACACCCAACTTACACTTTTCATCATCACTTTTATGTAAAAATGTTAACCAGGAGGTACTATGGTTATATACACTTCCAATAGATGTTGATTAAATGTGCTAGTATCAATTTATGATTTAGGTGTATATATATCATGTGTCTGAGCTATAATATGCATGTTTAATTGCAAGGTAGTTATTGTCGACGTTTGATGTCGCGATTCCGGTATTTGCATAGTATGGGGATCGTTGGTACTAGGATATACGCGAGACTGAGGTAAAAGAGATGGGGACGAGGATTTTTATACAGGTTTGGACCCCTGAATTGTCAGGTAATAACCCTATATCCTGTTGGTCGAAGCCGGTTGTTGCTCTTATTCATCATAATCACACCAGTACAATATTTGGGGTAGCCTATCTAACTGTTGTCGACATGGCGGTCTGAAGGTCTGACTCGTAGTCGACAACAGGGTAGCTTTCCTCCTCGAGTTCGCATCCGGCGAGATCAGAGACAACGCTATATCTCTCCTGATGGTATCTGTAGGCACCATAGGGGACTAGCCATGCCTATCTCTAAAGTCGATATCCGGCGTCTTGTCTTGGCGTATGTTGGCTTGTATGTTGTGGTTTCTGTTGTTTTGTGTATGTTGATTCTTCCCTCTCCTCCTAGGGGCCTTGTATTTATACCCATAGGTGTCCCCTTGTCCAAGTAGAACTAGGGAAACCAATATGGATACAATCCGAGTAGTCCTTATCGTTTCTATGTAGAACTCTGGTCATCCTTCCTTATGCGGAACTCCTCCTATATCTGAAGGTTGTTTCCGTATAAGACATGGTATGTGGTGGGTCCTGCCGAGATTTAGTCAACTACTATTAGGTATGTGGTATCCATAACCCTGACAGTTATATGCATTTGTTTTTTAAAAAAAAAATCTTGCATATGCTAATTATGTTTGTTTGATTAATGATGTAGGAGTATACATTTTTATTACTTGCTTAAAGTGCTTGTTTTGGTTGAAGGGTAGCTATATTTTTAATTTGTTCCTTTTTGTGAATCTTGGAGATGTCAATTGTGTTTGGTTCACTATTCAGTAGTATTTAATTTTTGATATGTGTTTAAGCACTAAAGTGACTATTTCCTTGTAGCATAGACATATCCATTTGTTTGTTTGTGTGAATTCCATAATTGTTGATTGTGCTCAATTCACAACTTAGTAGGATTTATTTTGGTGATGCGTTTCAGCCCCAACATGGATGTTTGATTCCATACTGAAATCTTGTTATGGATTGTTGAACAATTCTAATGAAATCGATTCTCTTTTGTTTTTGTATATGTTGGAATAAATATACCAACTTGATCCAATATCTCTTGATATTGAATAATTTCTACCCAACCTAAAAAATGTGGTGTATTAATTAATTACACAAAAAAGTGGGATATACATTTCAAAAATAGATGTGTGAGATTATGTTGTGGTTTATGCATATTCTTGAGTGTGAGTGCCTCGCTTAGATTTGTTGGTAGCCTTATACACTACGATTGTTCTCAAGAGTAAGGAATTGAGGTTCTTCGTTTTGATATGTAGCTCATGATTTGCACCGCATCGTCTGAATTTCATGATCAACAAAAACATCTTGATTTTACCTTGTTTAGTGATTAGGTATGTTCTAATAGCATTTCTTAAACAACATGGCCCACCTTCGAAGGGTTTGACTATTAGTTTTATTAATCATGAAAGGGATGAATTTCATTAATCAGAGGAAGGTTTTTCACCTTTGTTGGTTTCTACATATCTAGTGTTTTTAGTCATGTATCATATAAGATCTATATTTTGCATCATTGAGGCTATGATGCCAGGACTACTTTATTGGTTTTAGATAAGTTTTATACTTTGGCACAATGTAGAAAATTCCATCATCATTCAACCAGTTACTTTAGAGTCAACCTACTAGAATGGTTTCCCTGGCTAATCAAATTAGTAATACATGGATTGTGGAGCTGACACTTTGGAATTTCGAGGGATTACTTTTTTTTTTGCATTGGTGGAAATAATTCGTTACAGATAACTCCATTCAGTGTGGTCAATTTTTAGTCTTCACTTATGATAAACGATCACAATTCTTAGTGACAGTGTTCGAGCCATCAGGCATTGACAAGATGTCAACCCACTCTACTCACCCTTCAAAAAAGATGATCATTAGAACTAAAAGTGATGAAAGGGAATGCAACTATCACATCAGAAAAAATGGCTCCCGCCATTAAGGAGAATAATGGAACCGTAGGAAAGAGAACTAGAAATGTAGATTGTCTTGTGCCTTGTGGAATATAGGGTTCCATAAAGAAGTTGTTTGAGGCTAATGTTTTGAAAAGTGATAAGAGAAAATGTGCAGGTCCTTCTGTTGGTAAGTCTAAGGCAACGTCAACAAGCCATAGCAATACCAAAGATATAATATTCCTCTATTTCTGAAAATGTTATATACACTAATGTATTTATTTTGGCATAGCTTCTCACATTTGTTTCATTCATATAGCATGTTTAATTGCATTCTTCATTTGTTCCATGCATCACCATAAGTTAGGAGGCCATATGCAGTGTCAAAGCAGTTTTTAATGTTTGACGTGGACTTTTGGATATATATTTGACCATTCACGTTATTAAAAAACAATGCATAGTTATCATTTATTTTATGTGATTTGCTTTTATCATTATAAATACTTGAAGCATGACTTACATTTTTGCATATGTGCACAAATTGTTTTGAATAAAACGAATGGTCAATCATATGTCCAAAAGTCAGTGGGGCGTCAAGCATTAAAAACCGAATTGAGTAATTGCAAAGAGACCTATATCTAGTCTCTTGGCTTGAGGTTAAGTTAGTTTATTTCTTTCCCTTATGACTGATTACGAAAGTCATTTTTGTACGTAGTTCATACATGTTAAGAGTCCTAAGTATTCACATGATCCCCCATCAAGCTTACTTTTGCACATTATAGATTCCTCAAGCTACATGTCAGATGAAGATATTTGTTTTAGCAAGTTGACAAAGACACCAGTACTGATTTGCTTTATGTCTACTAAGGTGACTCCACGTGGTAAATTTTAAGTTATCCCCTAAACGCAGGGTTAATAAATCACTTTTGTCGATAATTTAATGTGGTTACACTTTTCAGACATTTCTAAGGTTCTAAGACATCTATGAGTAATACCACAAAGGCATGTAACTGAAGTAGAAAACCATGCTCTTCAAAGGGCAAAAGAATTTAAAACCTAATAATCCTTTTTACCGTGTAAATAATGATATGTTGGATTTTTCATGGTAATGTTACTTTCATGTGTTCATTCTCATCCCGTATTGAACTTTTTTTCTATGTGCATGAGGTATTATCTAAAAAAATGTGGATGACAGGATTGATCTTAACTTGCATAACGGTACTGCAACTATAGTTTGAGAGTTTTGGATGAGATCTAATTTGAATATCCCATCTTGATGTTTGATTTTTATGTATGTTTATTGTGAATGTGACTGTACCAATTGAAAAATCCTACAACTATATAAATCACCAATTTGTGATAGCACATTGTTTTTATGTCAGAAACACAATTTTGTGTGATAGCAAATAACTTGCAAGATTTTCTTGGTGATGCTAGAAGAATTAACTTCCAGCTTCTGCATTATGAGGCACATGTAGCCTTACATAACTAAGTTTGGTATATCTAAGTGGCCGTTTGGTCTTATCGACCAATGATTCATTGAAATTATATATTAGCGAAAATTTAAACAGATTTTTTTAATAATACTATGGCCCTAAAGTTAAACTTCTCAAACTCTTTTTAATCTGCTACAGATTGATATCTAAATTTAGGACTTACTAGGAGATATTGGAGACATATGGCCGGTCAACATCTCCAAGGTGATGGGACGACAGATGGTGGTGTTGGAATGAGATGGCGCTGACCACGACCAGTTTGCGAGGAGGGAGGTGACTACCTCGGTGGGGCTATACAGGTCCCACCACACGTGTCGCTGCGGGGTGGGGCACACCATCTCCTTCGTCAAGCACCCCACCGTACCCCCGAACGGGCCCAGCCCACAGCACGCCTTCCTCGTCTCATCAAATCCTATCATTATCATTAATCACCATCATTCATTCATTAATTACTGATTAATTAATTATCATTAATGACTGCTTAGTAATAACGAGTCATTGATTTCTGTATCAACGTTTAAGAGTACAACAAGAGAAGCCAGCTATAAACACATACTTCCTTCCTCCGTACTCGTAAAAGAAGTCGTTTAGGACAATGTTTAAGTCAAACCTTGGGAATATAAATCATAAATAACTCTCAAGTTGTTGAGTTCGAAAATGTAAAAAATATATGAATAGATTTGTCTTGAAAAATACTTTCATAGAAGTATACGTATATCACTTTTCAATAAATATTTTTATAGAAACAAGAAGTCAAAGTTATGTTTTGGAAACCGTGTCGTTGTCCAAAACGACTTCCTTTACGAGTATGGAGGGAGTATTGAGAAGATAAAAGAGTAGAGACTAGAGAGTAGAAGCAGCAGGCTACAGATTTATAGCCAGCTATAGCACAGACTTCAAGACACAATGTATGTATCACATGTGGGACCATGTATTAATACGGTAGTATATGTTTATAGTTAACTATTTTATGAATTAGCTATTATAGATGATTTGGAGTTAGGCCCTGTTTAGTTTCCAAAAACTTTTTCCCAAAAACATCACATCGAATCTTTGGACATATATATGGAGCATTAAATATAGATAAAAAGAAAAACTATTTGCACAGTTTGCATGTAAATCGCGAGACGAATCTTTTGAGCCTAATTAGACCATGATTAACCATAAGTGCTACAGTAACCCACATGTACTAATAACGGATTAATTAGGCTCAAAAGATTTGTCTCGCGGTTTCCATGCGAGTTATGAAATTAGTTTTTTCATTCGTGTCCGAAAACTCCTCCCAATATCCGGTCAAACGTCCGATGTGACACCTAAAAAATTTTTGTTTCTCCAACTAAACAGGCTCTTAGTAGTTGGCTATACTATTATTAAACTTGCTCCAATCTTGTTTACCGAATCTGGCAGGATGGGTGATGATGTCCATGATCCCCTTGTAGATGTCGCAGAAGACGATGTCGGCGCCGGGCAGCCGCGGCCGCAGCGCCGCCAGCCGCGCCGCCACCCTCGCGCTGTACCCCTGGACGAGCTCGTTCGCCTCCTCCACGCAGCTCCGGCCATCCACGACGTGCAGCCCCTCCCACATCACCCGCGGCGCGCACCCCAGCGGCGCCACCCCCATCACCGCCGTCCTCCTCGCCCCGGCCTCGTACAGCTCCTCGACGGCGCGGGCGACGCGGTCGGCGAGGAGGCGGGCGAGGCCGCGGCGGCCGTGCTTGGGCGCCGACGCGTCGGCCTCCGACCCGCGGGAGAGCACGCGCGCGTACGCGTCGGTGCCGAAGGACAGGATGAACACCGCGCGCGCCGCCGCCGCGTCCGCGTCCTGCGGCGTCGGGGCCTCCAGCCGCAGCAGCTGCAGCGTCTCGGTGGCCAGCCGCAGCTGCTGCCCCACGGCGCCCAAGCGGAAGATCGCGCCGCGCCCGCCATCCTCGCCGGCGAAGTTGACGCCCCTGGCCACCTCCGCCGCCGTGCCGTTGAGCGTCGAGATGAGGGGCGGCGGCGGGAGGCCCATCTTGGCGGCTGCATCAGAAATGATTCGAATTAGAGCAATTCGTGTTCGTGGGGCTCACAGTTCATCAGTTGAGGAGGAGCTAGGTGGTTGGTTACCGAGGAGATCGGGGAGGAGGCGGTGGGCGGAGGGGAAGAGACAGGTGCCGGAGGAGGAGGTGAGGGAGAGGTTGATGGGGAGTGTGGTGGCGGCGCAGCTGGCGGTGGAGTCGCCGAGGACGAAGAGGGCGGTGGCCGGCAGCGAGGCCGGGGCGGAGGCGACGATGCGGAGCAGCAGCAGAAGCAACAGGGGGAGGAGCGCCATGCCTCGGGCGTTGTGGCGCCAACCAAACAAACACCTCGTCAACTTCAAAGAGGAATCGATTGCCGATTTGGAGGGTATGAATTGAATTTACTAATATATTAAGGGTTAAAGTGTAATTATTTCATCTCATGACATATTTCGAAGAGGCCCCCTGTAACAACCAAAATTACTGGTCTCGGTGGAATCGCAGCGGCCTGCAGATCTCTCTTCTCCGACTCAATCATTCGCCCTGCGCTGCACAAGGTGAGAGGAAGGAAGGGAAAACCAATTGGATCTCTCAATTAATCGGGGTGTGGGAGCAAGCCGCTTCAACGCAATTACGCAACGCCGGAGGTAGTCAGGTAGTTGCGATGCCTTCCTGTTCTTAATTTCGCCGTTGTTTTCCCCTTTACTGAAATTTCTTTAAACTGTCCCGAATTGTTCGATGCATTCGCGGGGAACGAAAATTTTATGTTCTTGTTCGTAGTTTCTTGGGTCAACGGCTCCGTCGGCTGCAGTTTGGGATTTCAATTTGGGCGCCATTTATGGGTAGATTTCGGTGACATCTGATGATAGCTGTTAGGTTTGTCAGCAGTCAACCAATTGGCCTGCCCGCGAGTTTGTGCAAATTCCTTTCGTCCTTTTGTTTGGGCATAAATTTGATGAATGCCCTTGCCCTACATTGCTTGTAGTTATGTGGAACACGCCGAGCAGAACAATTTCATGGTCTTAGTGTACTCTGATACAAGTAATGTTTTCTTCAGTTTGGTGGGAGATGTCAAACTTTGTTTGCTACCACTAGCTATGGCTGCTTGGTTTTGTACCTGTATTTCATGTTGACCTAGAGCATGTTTTGCTTCACCGTGTTGTTTTTTTGGAGTTGTAATCCACAAATTTTTGTTGGTGTCACTATCTATTGGTTGGTTGGTTTCAATATAAATTTTTCAATAATCTCTTTGGCGTTCCAATTTTTCCTACATAACAGGCATGATTCATGCAATACACTGACTGAAAAAATAATATGGCTTCAAAAGCCATTAAAAGGAAGCCTTACACTGCTGATATTGATAGAAGCGAAAAACAGATGGAGACGATCATACCAGATTCTGTAAGAGAACCTCTTCTAGGAAACAGAACTCATGAAAGCAAATCCGAGGTTAGTGAAATTTCTCCAAATCATATGAATCCAGGTTATTAACCGCATTTTAGTTCTTCATGCGCCTTACCCCTTTTCTCGTACTTTTTTTTTAGAGACATGAGCCTAATATGCAGCCAAATTTATGGGATGGAAAAGGACAAGAGCGCCTTGGTTGGATGCATATTATATCGACTTTTATTGCTCAATCTGTAAGAAAGATAGGTACCTATCATGAATATGATTCCAGAGAAGTGGATTTTTTAGTGTCTTACTGCCCTCTCGAATGTACACAGCAGAATGCTTAAACTTGACCTTTTAGAACATTTACTATCTGAAAAATCTTCTTTTTTTTTCCAGGAAATGCGCTCTCTCAGTTTGGACCATTGCTAGCAAAGTTCTTTAGTAGGTCTTGTGCTTCCCATGGTTCACATGATGAACAGGCAGTTCTACTTGATCTCAGTCCACTACAGGTATAATCAGTGCTGGCACATGCAGATCTCCTATTTCCATTTAAAATACCATATGATTGATGGGTTAAGTTTCCCATCAAAAGCATGAATTCTTATGAGTATCAGATGTGACATGTTAATTTCATGTAAATATTTTGAGATATTTCAAACCTTTTACTGAAGTATGAAGGAAAATATCTTTTCTTCCTCAGTAGTTTAAGCATTTGAATGAGTTGTTTCAAGCATACTCTCGACATCTTTGATGCTCAATTCATCTTTCATTTATTTTTTATCCTTTTTTACAATAATAAAAGTTCTTGTTTGCTTTTGTGATTATTCATGGACAAAAATGTTGGTATATCCATGAACAATATCATGGTAACATCCATGAAACTTGTTATTTCTTCCACAACACTCATTTAGTAGTTGAATTGCATGCTTTAAAAATTCAAATGAATTCTTGACTTGGTTTATTAATTCCAACCCTTCTGTTCTACAGGAGCAATGATGGCATCTTTATGTTATTCTTGACTGTTTCAAGTTTTTACATTTAGGAACTTTTTTACATGATACTACGGTTTTGACAGTTCCATGTTTACTTTATAGGAAGAGAGACTGAGGTTCTTGAGACAAAGATTAAATGTGCCATTTGACAGTTCCTCTGTCAAGCATCAGGTTCCGCTTCTGTACCTAACTACCTATAGGCCTTTGGTATTCTTGTTCTATTGTTCTCACCAATGGGACACCAATTTTCTTGCTCAGAAGAAATGATAAACTGAACAATTCATATACTAACATTCATGATAGTAAAATATTTCATTTTTTCTATGACAGGATGCTCTGAAAGAACTTTGGAGATTAGCTTATCCCAGCCGACAACTTCCTCCTCTGAAATCAGATCTATGGAAGGAGATGGGCTGGCAGAATTCTGATCCAGCAACTGATTTTAGGTTCGTTTCGCTAATCCCTAGTAATGATTTTAGGATATATATATATAAGCTGTCATGCATTTATCAACACCGCTTGAACCTCGACAACTAATCTTTTGAAGTATCTAATGATTGCAGAGCAGGGGGGTTCATGTCCTTGGAAAATTTAATATATTTTGCTAGAAATTACCCAGTATGTTTCTATTAATCATGAACATTTACTCCGCATTAGTCTGCTGTTATTGGGTGATTCGATTAGGTACAATGCTCAATGTCTGCTTTAACATGCAGGATTCCTTTCACAGTTTATTACACAAGGCGGATGGTAAGAGATCTGAATGGGAATATCCCTTTGCAGTAGCTGGCGTGAACATATCTTATATGTTAGTGCAAATGTTGGATCTGCAATCAGGTGAAATTTGCAGTAACACCTTATCTTTGGGCCCAATTTACCTCCTTTGCTCTTGACTTCGAAACTCTCTTTTTTTTTTCAGCTCTATGCAGAGCTACAGCTTATCTCTTTCACTTCTTTTGTAGGAAAAATGGGCACAAAAGTCAGTTCTCAATTTGTTCAACTACTTAGAGAAGACGAGATGGCTTTTGATAACCTTTTCTGTATGGCCTTTCAGATGCTTGACGCTCAGTGGCTCACAAGACAAGCTAGTTATATGGAATTCAATGTGTGTTCTCTGTAGAACATCTGGTCTCTTCTATTGGCTTCTCATTCTACCACCTTATTCAGTTGTCTTCATTTCCATTTTTCAGGAGGTTCTAAAGTCCATGCGTATTCAGTTAGAACAAGAACTTACTATCGGAAGCATTTCTTGTGTTCAGGAGATGCCATCATTTAGGTTGCTAAAAAGGTAGCCATGTTTGTTGTTTACAGAAAGGAGTGTATCTTACTTGTCAGTAGGATCTTGTGCATACTACCGATTCTTTCATTGGTTGTACAACATGACACACTGTAAGATTATTTATCATAGAATAATAAACCCAGTATATATCTGGTACTTTGGTAAGTGTTCAATGTTTTCTGGGGTAACAATTTAAGTATTTCTCTAATGAAAATTACCTGCAACAGGTTTGCTTCTTGAAACATGTGAAAAATGTAAGTAAAGTAAATATCTTTTATTAACATTCCTGATGTTTGGAATATCAATAAAAGATGCAGCATTTATGCATTCATGCCTCAACCAAGATGTATAGTATAGTTTATTCTGAAAGTTAGATAGATTTACATATTGTGATTTCTGTATAACATATGCTCCATTACCTTATAAAACTGTGAACTACCCAGAGTTTTCTTGTGGGAATACCTATAGTACTACCCAAGCATTCAAGATTCTGAGTAATCAGAATTAACTAGCTCAATCTAGGGTAAGGGAGAAAATTCTCTCCCTAGTTAATCAATCAGCCTTGGGGGTATTACAAGAAAAGGAACACAGACACTTGTCTCATGCCAAGTTGAATGCCTTTGGGTTTCTAGGAGACTAGGACCATAGGGAGAAGCATATGAATCTTCCCCACCTGAACAGAACGCCTACAGAAGCTTTGCTTCTTTGTGGCAGTGCCATTAGACAGAAAAATATACCCCAAGATAAAAACCTGAAAACTTCCCTGTATATCTCAAGATTTTCAACACCCAGAAACACGCACACAGAGAGAATCAGTTGCACACACTGATCATTTTTTGAGGGCAGGAGATATTGTTTGCTTGAGGAGATATTCGCTCCCTATCTGAAATTGAAATGTCCTTGTCTAAAAAGTCTGAAATGTCCTTGTCTAAAAAATCTGAAATGTCCTTCTCCAACATATTGCATTCCTCAAACAAATTGTATTCTGCCATACCTGAGTTATCCATGCTGTTGCCGCCTTCAGTTATACTGGAGCACCCTTCAAATAGGTACTCCATGCCGCCTTCGAATGCCTCATCATTGAACCATTCACTGAAATTCATCGAGTTGCTGAAGTAAGCCCCAGGCATTGTATCCAATTCATAATCCAAGCAAGGGCTCCAGAGGCTTTCTTCAATGCCATCAACAATTGGAAGGGGTTCATTCATGCATTCGGCGCTGTCATCGGCTGCAAGTGGCTCATTGTTGTCACTTGATGTATTTGCTTCACTGGAACTGAGCTCTTGGACTGCATTCTCACTTCGGTCATCATCTTGAGGCTCTTCATGTAATGCTGGCACCACCTGTGGCTCTTGTTGCAGTTGTGCCAATAACTGTGGTTCCTGTTGCAGCTGTGCCAGTAACTGTGGCTGGTCCAGGTAGCAGCTGATGTCGAAGTTGGTTACCGCATTGGCACCTCGGTATTCGATTGCAGCAAGATCATAGGCCTTGGCTGCCTCCTCTTGAGTATCTGTAAAAAGAGGTACGTTTGTTGAAATGAGAACAAATTTTCTGGTGAGACACTGAATCTTTGGGGCAACTTAGTACTACTAGGAGTCATGAATACTTCTAGTAACATTGGCATTACAGAATTGATCAGGTCATGCTGTATAGATTTAAGACTTTAGAAAATGAATGCATTGGATCTTAATACTGAGAGATGCTGAATTGCATCCCATATTCACATTTTTTTTCACTTTCTAGTTTGACATGTGCTGGACACCATCTGAGATCTGATATGACTTTTCCCACATTGCTGGTTGCTAGAACTGTGCTGGCAACCTTCTGTTTACTAGTAATCGGTGAACACTGTTCACTCTCCCTTTTTTCTTTCTTTATTTGTGATGAAAGTAGTGATGAATCCATCTGTGTGGTTCTGGATCTTGAATCTTGATCTAGTTTGGCACAGGGGGGGTAATAGCCTAGTAGGGCATTCTCCATGCACGTGAAGTGATCACTTGCAACTGGCTGCTGACTCACTCAGCTAGCTCTAGTGGAAAGAGCCGGCAGTGATGAACAATTGAAGATCCCTATGCACCATCTGGTTTTTACTACTGGCATTGCAGCACCACTCACGTGCTTGTCACATGCATTTCCAAGTCATGTACCATATAATGTATCTATGTATACTAGGATTTTGTCTAGTAATTAGGACATGGTGGTGATCAAGACATGGGGCTTGTTTTTATGCTATTTCTAGGGCAAGTTGGGCAGTCTTCTGGGGATTGCATACAGGATGGTATCTTGGTCTCATGGTCTTTGATCTTGACAGCAGGAAAAGATTTTCTGATTTTTTTAAGTAAAAGAAAAAGAAGTTTCAACACTATGCTTCCATATCAGTGATATCACCAGCTCACTTAATTTATAGTAAAATGGAGAGTTTGTGGTTCAAGAACATACAAGGAGAATAATATATACTACTTTCTCTGTTCTAAAATATAAGCATTTTTAGAATAGTCCTAAATCAACATTTTTAACTTTAACTATTAATAATGAAAAATTAAAAAGAGCAATCACGTAAGAATAATGTTACTAGATTATAGAGTAAATTTAATAAAACTATAGGTATTTTGCATAATTTATCACAAAACTACATATTAAAAAGCTTGTCTCACAAAACTACAGATTTAGTGTCTCCGTTTATCACAAAACTACAGGTAGTTTGTACAATCTATCACAAAACTACGATTTAAGAACTTTCACAAAACTATAGATTTAGTGTATTCGTTTATCACAAAACTACACATTTAGTGTCTTCATTTATCACAAAACTACAGATTTAGTGTCTCCATTATCACAAAACTACAAGTTTTAACAACGCTAAAACTTGTAGTTTTGTGATAATGAAGCCATTAAACTTGTAGTTTTGTGATAAATGAAGATACTAAATCTGTAGTTTTGTGAAATAAGTACTTAAATCTTTAGTTTTGTGATATATTGCGCAAAGTACCTGTAGTTTTGTGAAAAACGAAGCCACTGAATCTGTAGTTTTGTAAAACAAGTTCTTAAATCTGTAGTTTTGTGATAGATCGTGCAAAATATCTGCAGTTTTATGAAATTTACTCAAACTAGTATCATAATATGTAACTCTTTCATTTAAGATAACTTGTTTTTATAAATATTATTGGTCAAAGTAGCATCCCGAAAATTATATTGAAATCTAAAACTGTCTCTATTTTGAGACAGAGGAAGTACTACCTAGTAAGTAATCCTCAAGAAAAGCAAGGGGTCAAATCTACATCGAAGGGAAACAAGAAAAACACGCCATTTAATTTCGCAGATGGGTTGATCAACCATCATAAAATTTGGTAAAAGTTAGGTGGCCGGCTTACAGCAGGCAAATTCTCCAACAAACAAGAGCGGCTTGTAAATGCTAGTAATCAGCATTTGATTAAGTTAAGTGGGCTCCAAGAAAGAAAGAAGAGCAAAGAGCATGAAAGATTGGATGAAAGAATACGTACCGAAAGTACCCAGGTAGAGGTACTTGTTCCCCAGGACCCGCCCTATCCGTGCCTCCCACCGCCCATTGTGGTGATGCCTGAACAAAACCAGACAAAAAAAAAGTTCAGAAATGAATTACTAACAGACAGCTACTAGCTCTGAACAAAATGGAAACAGCAAGTTGGTAGCACTGGCACCACAATACAGTAACTGATGTTGGAAGCAGATTTCATCAAGAAAGAGAGAAGCTTAAAACTTTTGCAGTTCTGACTTTTCCTAGATGCATGCATGACATTGCACGAAACTGACACAAGAAAGAGACCATGGGGCATCCATGCAGAGCATACACGGCTGGCAAATGACGTTGCCAGCTGATGAATGCCACCCTAGCTAGCAATACTATGCTGACTCATCATTCAGGGAGAGAGAGAGAGAGAGATTAATTAGAGTTAATTAATCAGTAGTCCTACCTGGCAACGCCTCTGTACTTGGAGACACCCCTGGAGAAACCGCTGCTCCGGCGGCGGAGGGAGGCCAGGTACTCCTCCCTCGACACACCCTCCATCTCCGACCTCTCCTTCTCATATTCCTCCAGCTGCAATAATTCACATTATCTTCAGTAATAATTCAGATTACACAAGTCGCAATTGTCTAGTGGTAAGTTGGCAAACTTACTGGGAAATTGAGCACTGTCTCAGGACCCCAGTACTTAAGAGCTGCAAGGTCATATGCACGAGCAGCTGCTTCCTCACTATCATAAGCCCCTAAACACCATTAAACATTGCACTAATGTTCAGAAACAGATCAAACACCAACACAATAAGTAGTTATGTAACAACTAGTTGCTATATGCCTATATTCTTAGGGATAAACTGTTTTCATATTGAGACAAACCAAGGATGTGACAGATCAAACAAACAAAATGTGAGATTATACAAGAACAGGAAGCAACATGCAGCATGAATCTGACAAAACAGGGTGTATAGACAACTAGTTTGTGGGACTTACCCAAATAGACTATTGAGAGGAGCATCAAGCAGCAGCAGCAGATCAAGGTCACATGCGCATCACAAGGGCAAGGTCCCCCAAAGATAACAGCAAAAAAGAAAGGAGATAAAAAAAGCTTAATCAGAATGTCAGCCTTAAAAAATTCGCTCCACTTTATAGTAATAAGCTTTGTACTAATGGCCGATGTATCAAGATCCTTGGCAGTATACAGAAGTACACCAAGGACCTTGTATGTTTCACTTTTTCTTTCATTATAGTACATTATACTGTAAAAATACTCAATTTCACTTTCTTTACAGCATTTTCAGATAAAATTCATGTTAAAAATCCTAAAAAAAATTAGGCAACTAATGCATGTTGCGATCAATGTACCTTGCCTCCCTTTCTTCTTGTTCTGAAGTGAAGTGGAGCAATTCTTGTCCCACAGATGGGCCTCAAATCTGCCAGTCCACCGATGCCTGTTTATAGACACATGCATGCAGCAAATGATTCCACCGTATATTGAATTTATTAATGATTGATAAATAAGCAGCATTCAAGCATTAGTGTTTGCTTTACAGGAGGAAGAAAAACTGAAGGAGTTGACCACCCCAGCAGTAAATGTAGATCAACCAACTCCCTACTTCCCAGCTAATAATAATTGACTCACTCCAAGGGGAGGAGCAGCAAGAAAAAAGATTAAAAATGGGAATTATGAGATCAAGAAATGGATCCGATCGATCATGCTCGCCAACCTCCAAAAGATGAGGCATGAAAAGGGGAGCAGACTCGCCACCCACAAAACGATAAAATAACTGATGATCTCTGACATGCAAGTGAAAATATTCAGGAACAGATTGGAAAGAAGCGGCTGGTAATTTTGGGAGCCTGAAAGGATGGAAATGATGCGGAATTTTGGGCTGGAAATCAGCCATTGATTAACTAGCGGCAATGCAGGATGAATTCGCGACTGAAATCGAGAGGGGATCAGAAAGAACAGCAGAATTGGGATCAGAGGGATGGAAGCAACTGAACATGCAGGGACGCATACCTGGTGACTCCCCTGTAGATAGAACTCCTCTTGCCGCCGCCGCCGCCATTGGAAGAAGGATCAGCCACCTCCTTGCTCTCCTTCTTGGGCCTCTTGGCCTTGCCGGTGCTCTTCTCCGTCCTCGGCCTCGCCCTCCTCTTGCAGGGCATCGACATGGGCGAAGAGGAATCCTCGGAGGAAGAGGAGGAAGGAGACGACGGCGAGGATGATGCAGATGGAGAAGATGATGCAGGATCAGGAGACGATCTCTTCGCCATGATCTCTCGCGTTGGTGCAGGTGCAGGTGAGGAGGAGGAGGAGAGGCAGCGAAGTGGAGCCCCTGAAGTTTTGTAATTTATAGCGGAGGGGGGGAACGAAAGGAAGTGCAGCGCAGAGATGGGTTTTTTGGGTTGCTAATCACCATCATCAGCATTAACTGAAGATGACACCTCTGTTTTTTTTGTATTTTTGTGCGTCAGGGCCTCAAGCTGGCCACCATACGAGTCAATTTTGATACACTTATTCATTATTTTTTTTCATTTCAGATATTTCCTCTGTTTTTATACATTATTATTGATGTAAGTGCGCATTCCGTTTGTGCACAAGTAGTGGTCGTATTCAGATTTCTTTCTCTTTCTTTATTTTTGCAGATTTCGGTATACGTGCAGACGCTCATATACATACGTGTATACTCACCTTCTATAAATGCATATGCTATCTCTATGAACACCTTTGAAGATTAGGCAAGGATATTGGCGTTTCTGAATAGACATAATTTTCAAAGGAAGCACACCGGTAATAATATCTTTGAGATTTGCGAAGATACAGGACAATTTTACATAGCATAGCAGATGACGCACTGGCAAATTAACTCAAGATAACACCTTGTTTTTTGTATTTTTGCGCGTCAGGGCTCTGCTGGACACCGAAGATTAGCAATCAATTTCGTTGCACTTATTTTAATTGGTTTCTTTTTGAGAGATTTCCTCTGTTTTAATTATATTATTAACGAGTCTCCACCAAAACCCTGGTATATCAAACAGGCACAACATTGAGAACATTTCTTATGAGCCTTGAAATTTGGTGGGGATTGTTAGAATAATTGGGTTAGGCCCAACTTATAATATTAAATCTCAAAGGCCCATAATAAGTGTTGAGGATAATAATACCACCTCAGGATTTAAGCGAGAAATATCTCAACCTAAATAGGGAGTTATTGGAGGCTCCCTGTTGACCAGTTGAGGTGGGGGTCGGAATGCCACACGCGCGCACGCGCGCGCGCCGGGCCGGGCCGTGGGCGAGGGCGAGGGCGTGGCTGGCTTTTGCAGCCACTAACCCACGTTCCCACGATTCCCTCCGCAACAGCGCTTCCACGTTCTTTCTCCTGATAGATAAGGAGGCCGCGAGTCCGATCCGATATCATCGCTTCTTTCCCGGTGTTAGTTTCTCCTTCTCCGCGCCTGAGTTGCTCTCGCTTCCTCGCTTCTGATCTCTTACGCGCACGAGAGATTGGAAGGAGCAGTGCCTCCGAAACCACACCTTCGCCTGAGATCTGCACCGGGTAGGCGGGTGATCAGGTTTTTGGGGAGTGCCTCCCGCACGACTGCTCATCACCATGTCTGGAGTTGCCACCGCCACTGCTGGCGGAGGTGGTACGCCGCCGACAGGAGCTCGATCCGGAGCTGGTGCGCCAGGAGGTGCCGTGAACGACAACAACAACGGAGGCAATTCTGCCTCACCATCCAGCGGAGGGAGTGCCTCCCGTACGACTGCTCATCGCCATGTCTGGAGTTGCCACCGCCACTGCTGGCGGAGGTGGTACGCCGCCGACAGGAGCTGGATCCGGAGCTGGTGCGCCAGGAGGTGCCGTGAACGACAACAACAACGGAGGCAATTCTGCCTCACCATCCAGCGGAGGGCCATTCTCAGGGTATAATCTTCTCCTCCTGCTACTATTGTTAGCGCTATCGCTATACTATGTGCGCTATGTTCTTGTTCCTGTTCTACATGATGCCTCTAGCATGTTATCGCGTTACTGTTATGTTCCTGTTCCTGACATTCATGATGTGCATAGTATGCTACTGGTTATGTGAAGATCACCCTACACTGCTTATGCCATGATCATTGCTTTAACTTTTTGGATTAAAATATGCCGATTAATGACTATATTTCCAACAATCCAAAAACCTGATAGGTCATTTTCGGTAGTTGGCTTTGCTGCTGCACTGAAACCACATGCTTTTGATGGTTCAAACTATAAGAGATGGAAAGCACGTGCACTATTGTGGTTGACAGCGATGCAGTGCTTCTATGTTTCACGGGGCAAACGAAGTGAACCACCTCTTTCTCCTGAGGAAGAGGCTAAGTTCGAGGCTTCGGATTGCCTGTTCCGTGGAGCATTGATCAGTGTACTCGCTGACAACATAGTGGACGTGTACATGCACATGCCTTCTGGGAAGGACATGTGGGATGCACTTGAGGCCAAGTTCGGAGTTTCTGACGCCGGCAGTGAGCTGTACGTCATGGAGCAGTTCTATGACTACAAGATGGTCGATGACCATTCTGTAGTGGAACAAGCTCATGAGATTCAGATGCTGGCTAAGGAACTTGAGAACAACAACTGTGAGTTGCCGGACAAGTTTGTGGCGGGTGGCATTATTGCCAAACTACCACCTTCTTGGTCGGACTTTGCCACTTCTCTAAAGCACAAGAGACAAGAGTTCAGTGTTCCTGATCTCATTGGCTCTTTGGGTGTTGAGGAGAAGGCGAGGGCAAAGGACGTCCGGGGCAAAAAGGTTGAGGGAGGTTCTAGTGCCAATATGGTACAGAAGAAGAACCCTCATGCATCCCACAACAACAAGAAAGTCAAGCCTGATGTCAAACCCAAGGCTGCAACCAATTTTAAGAAGAAAGGCAAGGGAAAGGCAAAGGGAGACTGCTTTGTGTGTGGCAAGTCTGGGCATTGGGCCAAGGACTGTCCTGAGCGCAAAGATAGGAAGTCTGCCAACATGGTCATTAGCGAGGGCGGAGGAACATCGGGGTACGGTAAAATGTTACCTACAGTTCTCTCTGTTTATCATTCACCTGATTGGTGGGTGGACACTGGTGCTAATATTCATATATGTGCTGACATTTCTCTGTTTTCTTCTTATCAGGTCGGGAGAGGTTCCTCCTTGTTGATGGGAAACGGGTCGCTTGCGGCTGTTCATGGTGTTGGTACGGTCGATCTGAAGTTTACTTCGGGAAAGACCGTGCAGCTGAAGAACGTGCAGCATGTCCCTTTAATAAAGAAGAATCTAGTTAGCGGCTCTCTATTGTGTAGAGAAGGTTTTAGACTTGTGTTTGAGTCCAATAAATGTGTCGTATCTAAATATGGGACTTTTGTTGGAAAATGTTATGACAGCGGAGGCTTGTTCCGCTTTTCTTTGAATGACATGTGTAATAATCATAATGCTGTGAACCATATTAGCGAGAATGATGAGTCTAATGTGTGGCATTCGCGACTCTGTCATGTGAATTTCGGTTGTATGACGCGCTTAGCTAACATGAGTTTAATTCCAAAATTCACTTTGGTAAAAGGTTCCAAGTGCCATACTTGTGTTCAATCGAAACAACCTCGCAAGCCTCACAAGGCATCTGAGGCGAGGAATTTGGCACCTCTAGAACTTGTTCATTCCGATTTGTGCGAAATGAACGGCGTGTTGACTAAAGGGGGAAAGAAATATTTCATGACACTGATAGATGATTGCACTAGATTTTGCTATGTGTATCTATTGAAAACAAAGGATGAGGCATTGCATTACTTTAAAATCTATAAAGCTGAGGTAGAAAACCAACTTGAAAGGAAAATCAAACGGTTGAGGTCTGATAGAGGTGGGGAGTATTTTTCCAATGAGTTTGCATCCTTTTGCGAAGAGTTTGGAATTATTCATGAGATGACGCCTCCCTATTCACCCCAATCAAATGGGGTGGCCGAAAGAAAGAACCGTACTCTAACTGAGATGGTGAATGCCATGTTAGACACTGCGGGGCTTTCCAAGGAATGGTGGGGTGAGGCAGTTTTGACTGCGTGTCATGTCCTGAATAAAATTCCAATGAAGCATAAGGAAGTAACACCATTCGAGGAATAGGAAAGGAAGAAATAAAATCTCTCATACCTACGAACATGGGGCTGTTTGGCCAAGGTAAATGTACCTATAGCCAAAAAGCGGAAACTTGGACAAAAACTGTTGATTGTGTGTTTCTTGGTTATGCTATCCACAGTGTGGGTTATAGATTCTTAATAGTAAACTCTGGAGTACCCGACATGCATGCTGGTACAATTCTTGAGTCCAGAGATGCTACATTCTTTGAGAATGAATTTCCTATGAAATATACACCTAGCACTTCTAGTAAAGAAACTGTCATGCCCCATGAGCACTTTGCACCGATAGAACACAATGATCAAACGCCTGAGGAAAATCCTGAGGAGGACAACATTGTAGATACTCGCAAGAGTAAGAGACAAAGGGTTGCAAAATCCTTTGGAGATGACTACATTGTATACCTCGTGGATGACACCCCAAGAACCATAGAAGAGGCATATTCATCTCCTGACGCTGACTACTGGAAGGAAGCAGTACGCAGTGAAATGGACTCGATTATGTCTAATGGTACTTGGGAAGTGGTTGAGCGTCCATATGGGTGCAAGCCCGTAGGATGCAAATGGGTTTTCAAGAAAAAGCTTAGGCCTGATGGTACAATCGAAAAGTACAAGGCAAGGCTTGTGGCCAAGGGTTATACCCAAAAGAAAGGCGAGGACTTCTTCGACACATACTCACCAGTTGCTCGCTTGACCACGATTCGAGTACTACTTGCTCTGGCAGCCTCTCATGGTCTTCTCGTCCATCAGATGGACGTTAAGACAGCTTTCCTAAACGGAGAGCTGGAGGAGGAGATCTATATAGATCAACCAGACGGGTATGTACTAGAAGGTCAGGAGGGAATGGTGTGTAAACTATTGAAATCCTTGTATGGCCTCAAGCAAGCACCTAAGCAATGGCATGAGAAGTTTGACACCACGCTTACATCTGCAGGCTTTGTTGTGAACGAAGCTGACAAATGTGTATACTATCGCTATGGTGGGGGAGAAGGGGTGATCTTGTGCTTATATGTCGATGACATACTGATCTTTGGGACCAGCCTTAATGTGATTGAGGAGGTCAAAGACTATCTGTCCAAGAGTTTTGAAATGAAGGATTTGGGAGAGGCTGATGTTATTCTTAACATCAAACTACAAAGAGGAGATGAGGGTGGGATTACACTTGTGCAATCCCACTATGTGGACAAGGTTTTGAGTCGCTTTGGATATAGTGACTGCAAGCCAGCTCCTACTCCTTATGATCCCAGCGTGCTATTAAGGAAAAACCGAAGAATAGCAAGGGATCAGCTGAGATACTCTCAAATCATTGGTTCATTGATGTACTTGGCTAGCGTAACGAGGCCTGACATCTCATTTGCTGTAAGCAAGCTGAGCCGGTTTGTCACAAATCCGGGAGATGATCATTGGCAAGCTTTGGAAAGAGTAATGCGCTATCTAAAGGGCACTATGAGCTATGGAATTCACTATACCGGGTATCCAAAAGTACTAGAAGGGTATAGTGACTCAAACTGGATATCTGATGCTGATGAGATAAAAGCCACAAGTGGATATGTGTTCACACTTGGAGGTGGCGCTGTTTCCTGGAAGTCTTGCAAGCAGACCATCTTAACGAGGTCAACAATGGAAGCAGAACTAACAGCACTAGATACTGCGACAGTTGAGGCCGAGTGGCTTCGTGAACTCCTGATGGATTTGCCGGTGGTTGAAAAACCAGTGCCAGCTATCCTAATGAACTGCGATAATCAAACAGTGATTATTAAAGTGAACAGTTCAAAGGACAACATGAAGTCATCTAGACACATCAAGAGAAGACTGAAATCTGTCAGAAAGCAGAAAAACTCCGGGGTGATAGCATTGGACTATGTCCAAACGGCTAGAAATCTGGCATATCAGTTTACCAAGGGGCTACCACGTAATGTGATAGACAGTGCATCGAGGGAAATGGGCTTGATACCCACCTAAGGTTGCATAATAGTGGAAACCTGTCCATTGTGATCGGAGATCCCGTGAATTTGGATGGTGAAACAAACTATTGTGTGACTGAGAGAAGAGACCCTTGAAAAGGGCTCATTTTTATGATGTGCTTCTCTTCTTTCCTGCATGGTAGGATGGCTTATGTCTTAATGTGATCCGAGTGGCTTTTCCAAGTAGAGATGTTGACCTGCAGAACATCTCAGAAGGAACACACCTATATGAGTTCAACTGCTAGTCACAGTCTATGAGGTTTGGGCGATCTCTAGATACTCATGAAAGGCCTGGAGTTTGACTTATATGCTCCAAACAGAGGGGATGCGAACGGCAGCCCAGTACCAGTCAAGGTTCTGAGTGAAACCTGATCACACAAAACTCACAATTCAAGGCATAGTCCATTGTTCAGTTGTGGTCTAATGTAGCTCATTTCCTAGGTGGAAGTTCAACTTAACAGTCTCCACCAAAACCCTGGTATATCAAACAGGCACAACATTGAGAACATTTCTTATGAGCCTTGAAATTTGGTGGGGATTGTTAGAATAATTGGGCTAGGCCCAACTTATAATATTAAATCTCAAAGGTCCATAATAAGTGTTGAGGATAATAATACCACCTCAGGATTTAAGCGAGAAATATCTTAACCTAAATAGGGAGTTATTGGAGGTTCCCTGTTGACCAGTTGAGGTGGGGGTCGGAATGCCACACGCGCGCGCGCCGGGCCAGGCCGTGGGCGTGGGCGTGGGCGTGGCGTGGCTGGCTGGCGGCGTGCATGCGTCACGTCGCTATGCTTTTGCAGCCACTAACCCACGTTCCCACGATTCCCTCCACAACAGCGCGTCCACGTTCTTTCTCGTGATAGATAAGGAGGCCGCGAGTCCGATCCGGTTTCATCGCTTCTTTCCCGGTGTTAGTTTCTCCTTCTCCGCGCCTGAGTTGCTCTTGCTTCCTCGCTTCTGATCTCTTGCGCGCACGAGAGATTGGAAGGAGCAGTGCCTCCGAAACCACACCTTCGCCTGAGATCTGCACCGGGTAGGCGGGTGATCAGGTTTTTGGGGAGTGCCTCCCGCACGACTGCTCATCGCCATGTCTGGAGTTGCCACCGCCACTGCTGGCGGAGGTGGTACGCCGCTGACAGGAGCTCGATCCGGAGCTGGTGCGCCAGGAGGTGCCGTGAACGACAACAACAACGGAGGCAATTCTGCCTCACCATCCAGCGGAGGGCCATTCTCAGGGTATAATCTTCTCCTCATGCTACTGTTGTTAGCGCTATCGCTATACTATGTGCGCTATGTGCGCGCTATGTTCTTGTTCCTGTTCTACATGATGCCTCTAGCATGTTATCGCGTTACTGTTATGTTCCTGTTCCTGACATTCATGATGCGCATAATATGCTACTGGTTATGTTAAGATCACCCTACACTGCTTATGCCATGATCATTGCTTTAACTTTTTGGATTAAAATATGCCGATTAATGACTATATTTCCAACATGGTACACACCTGAGATTCTTTCTGGAAGGACACAATTTCCACGGAGACTACACCGAGTCACTGGCAATATTTGCCGATGTTGAACTGCCTTTTGCCCAAGCTACACTTCATTTTTACATAGCAGGGTACACTAGGAAGTAAACAAGCTCATAAATGACTGCAAATTAAACGTTACTGGAGATGAAATTTTTTGTCTATATTGTTACTGCAAGAGCTTTCACCTCTGATTCAGATCAGTTACAGACTTGCAGTGAGTTGATTCTACAGAAAGAGGACAAGCAACTTTTAAACTAGAAATGGACGGACGGACGCCTCTTTGCCAGGGTCCTTAGACTGAAGAATTGAAATGAAGGAAGGTGCATAGCATAGCAGCTACACAAGGAGACGAATAGCATCGGGACGTGAAAAAGAAACAAACACATGTAACATGTAACACTGCAAAATCAAACAAATTAGCGCCATGTGTCCAAATGGCAGAGCTCTGCAGCCATGCAAAATATGCAATTCCTCATTCAGAGGAAAGCATCCTACTAGCCCCGCAACCACAACACCTGTCCCCAACATTCAGAGCAACCTACTGTGTCTGTGTGCAGTCAGTCAATTACTGTACACAACAAGCATCTACAGTAGCTACCAATGCAGCAACCCCCTTTCGATGAAGAATCATCAAACAAACAGTTCATCCTTCAACCAGGAAAAATATTCAGCAGTCACTAATGCTGTAGTACTACGTACAGATCATGTGAAACATATGTGTTGTGTTGCACTGTGGATGATGGTTTGATGGCTGACCGTGATGACCTCAATATTTGAGTAAATTAGTCATCCCAATTAAGCTCCCATACCTGACTGCCAAATTATTTGTTTTGTAGTAGATCATACTCACCAAAATGGTTTATCACGAGTCTGTTTTCTGACCACATTTTTGTCTAGACAGTCTGCTGCAAGACGGTAGTTGCCCAGATAATTAGGCCATGTTTAGTTTCTAAAAACTTTTTCCTAAAACCATCCAATCGAATCTTGACATATACATGTAATATTAAATATAGATAAATTTAAAAACTAATTGCACAGTTAGGGAGAAACCGCGAGACGAATCTTTGGTGCCTAATTAGTCCATGATTAGCCATAAGTGCTACAGTAACCCACATTTGCTAATGATTGATTAATTAGGCTCAAAATATTCTTCTCACGGTTTCTAGATAAGTTATGAAATTAGTTTTTTCATTCGTGTCTAAAATCCCTTCCGACATCTGATCAAACGTCCGATGTGACACTCAAAAAAAAATTTCTTTTCGGCCCAACCTGACTGACTGTCGATTAGACCGACTGACGTCTTCTGTCACCACCATGATGTCCGTCCAGCTTGTTCACATTCCTCAGCAGACAGACATGCAATCACAACAATTAACACTAGGTTTATGTACCATATAGTGGTCCATGATGCAGAAATATTAATATTCTCAACTCTAAATTCTACTACAAAAAAAAAGAGTGACATGTTGCTTGTAGTACAGGCAGTACGGTTTGGTTGTTAACCACGTTTCTCATCTACTTTGCCTGCATTTGAGGTGCTAGAGTGAAGATAAATCCTAGGTTGCCAGATTATTCAAATATTCAATCAAGATAAAAGAAATTCCAAGCTTTTCCATCTAACATCTCCCTCATTAGACCAGAAACATGCTTGCTTGCAAGCTACTCCCTCCGTATTTTAATATATGACGCCGTTGACTTTTTGACAAACGTTTAACCTTTTGTTTTATTCAAAAAATTTATGTAATTATATTTTATTTTATTGTAACTTGATTTATCATCAAATGTTTTTTAAGCATGACATAAGTATTTTTATATTTACATAAAATTTTTGAATAAGACGAGTGGTCAAACGTTGATTAAAAAGTCAACGGCGTCATACATTAAAATACGGAGGGAGTACCTGACAATGCAACCGTCCACGGACTGATTGCATATCGTACAAAAATTTCTGTAACACAAAACAGCACTAGTCAAACCTGAAGCTTTCATGGAACCAAACCATCTCTAGAATGAGCTTGCACTCCAATTTGTTATAATATCCAATAAAGCACACACTCTCTCCTGGTATTACTGTAGTAATGATCAAATTTCAATGTTCAGAAGAAACACCATTAAATCATGAATTGGATTTAAAACATGTGTCCTTCCATGTAACATAGTCCTACAGAGACAGCTGCCAACAGCAGTCGATGCAAACTTCTGGTTTTCATTTGGTATAACTTAGAAAGGATGAAATGTGCAAAGATATTGCAAATAGAAATGGATATTGTAGAATCAAATGCGAACTGTTTCAGAGCTGTCCACAAGAATAGATATAATATTTCTTTATAATACTAACAGATTATTCCCAAGTAACAAAACAGCATGCAGATCACATGAGAGCAATGCAATGACGAAAAAATCATTAGTAGAGATAATCCTATGGATATATATACAATAGAGCACTACTAATTGCACGTTCCATTTCCACCACTGCGCACTACTTGATTTTTTTTTCTTTCAGGATCTTCTGATGTTACAAATAATTATTCCCAGGTTAAAAAGAAAATAGCATGCAGATCACATGATATCAGTCGATGACCAAAAAAATCACAATTAGTAGATAGAATCATATGAACATGTATACATCTCTAGTAGTACTAATTGCACGTTGCTAATATGAATATCAGTCCTCCCACCATAGCGCACTAGTTGATGTTTTCTCAGTATCTTCTAATATTACAAATAAGGAGACCCCCAAAATTTACCATGTTCTTAAATGTCACAGTATCCATAATTAAGTCTGCATTCATTTTCTGAAATACATAGTCATCATCACAATAATTTGACCTTATCTCTCTTAGATCTTTACTGATTCCCCTTCCAAAACTTCTTAAATATTGTTGAACGTCATCGCCCTCAACAGTTTTTGTTGGTTCATGAGTGAAGGAGAAACAAGAACTTCTGCCTTTTGGTGTGTCAAAGCCATCGAGATCATCACTGGAGCTATTTGTAGTTCTTGAAACGGGGGTCATCATAGTATGACTATAAGTATGGCCTCCAGACACATCAGATCCAGTTAAGCTAACTGAGCACTGGGTTTGGTTGTCAGATTCCTGGGAGGGCAAAAAATACTTGTTACAGTGTGAGAATGATCGTTACTATCCACATCATATACCTACTTGTCTTTCTACTAAAATGCTGCTGGCAAATCAACAAGAGTATGTAATATGATTCCATACAACACATTAAGTACAATGTAGATTGTAGACAATTCAGGAATATTTGAGTGGATAACAATAGGAATATGAAAATAGCTACAAGATGCCAATTAATGGAGAGCAAAGACTGTACTATTTCTGAACCACATAGTAAAAAAATTTAAATGTTTAAAAGAATGTTGATGGAGGTTGTTGGGTACTTCGGTTGATATTCCTAAAAAGTACTTCATATCTCAAAACCTCAGTGAAGTGAACCAGCATTGATTTGCTAACCTCATTATGCCAATGACGATCAGTTGGATAGTGGGTTTCTGCAATGCTTGATCCACCTTTGTCAAAAGATGTATTTCTGTTCTTTTGTGGGATGTTCACAACTGAGTTTATTTGAGGGTCCTCCAGTGATGAGAAATCAGTGCTATCCAATGTCGAGATCGATACACATTCCTCAAAATAATTCATTGCCTCTTCAGCCAAATGCTTCGATACTTTCAGTCGTTCTACACTACTCTGGTACCACAACATGGAAACAAAGGTCAATTCAAATACAAAGACCATCTATATTTATGAGCAACTGCACTTATCGTATCTTTAAATTTCAGAAAACTACAACTTTAATGATAAAACCATCTATATTTACTGTAGCAGCATACTCCCTCTGTCCCATAAAGAAGTAATTCCTAGATTCCCAATGCAAAACTAAAGAGATAGATAAATGACCAAAATACCCCTTATTAATAGCATATTAGTATTGATGGTTAGGTAGGTAAGGAGTATTGAAGAAATAAACTTTTTCGATTTGTGAACCAAGTGTGAATGAGAAGGTAGAAGTTGATTTATTTTGTGACAAAGTTTGAATTCCAGAAGTTGATTTATTTTGGGACAGAACGAGTATAACGTAAAAGTTGTAGTTTTGTGATAATTTTTCACGTTATTGTTGCAGCAAACTGATACTTTTATCACTAAAGTTACAGTTTTCGGAAATTTACTCTTCTTTAAAACTACCCTTAAAACAAGCATTGAAAACCAAATTCATGGTGGATAACAGAATGACCATGTAGAAATACACAATACCATACTTTCTTATACTTATAAGTCAAAATTTAAATTTTCAGCTTTAAATTTGGAGTTGATTTTAGGGTTTTTTTTCATTATAGTTTATTTTCCAGATTTTTCTTTTAGATCGCTAGAAACACATATATAAAACTTTTATTCATGAATTATATTCCGTTTACCAATATGCCGTTTGGCCAAACGATGGCCCCGTTTACCTATAGCCATGGCTCTAGCCGATGTCGTTGAAATGTGGGATGGGACCAAGCTGTCAGTCACTGTCACTAAAGACGCTTCTACCTCCGTTCTAAAATAAGTATAGCCGTGAAAATCCGTGTCTAACGTTTGACCATCCGTCTTATTTAAAAAATTTATAAGAAAATTAAAATAAGTTAGTCACACATAAAGTATTATTCATGTTTTATCATCTAATAACAATAAAAATGTTAATCATAAAAAAAATTCAAATAAGACGAACGGTCAAACGTGAGACATAAACAGTGTAAAACTCCACTTATTTTAGGACGGAGGGACTACTACTAAAGAGAATCCCATAAAAAATGTTATACAAATTTACAAGCTCAAAAAACTAAATTAAACAAAAAAAAGTCAAAATAATTCATCGTGTCACATTCACGTACAAAATAAGGCGCTGAAAATTTTGGTGAGCAGAAAATTAAATAACTAGACCAAAAAAGGCAACATATGGCACACAAAAAGAGAAGAGAACTAAATTAGACAAAAATTTAGAAGAAAATTAGAGGAACACATAGCTAAATTAGAAAAGAATTTAGAAGAGCACAAAATTAAATTAGACAAAAGAAAAGGAGAAGAGAACTAAAATAGACAAAAACTTAGAAGAAAATAAGAGGAACACATAGCTAAATTAGACAAGAATTTAGAAGAGCACAAAATTAAATTAGACAAAATAAAAAGAAAGAGAAATAAAATAGACAAAAATTTAGAAGAAAATTAGAGGAACACATAGCTAAATTAGACTAGAATTTAGAAGAGCACAAAATTAAATTAGACAAAAGAAAAGGAGAAGAGAACTAAAATAGACAAATTTAGAGTGGAGATGCGGGGGATCGAACCCCGTGCCTCTCGCATGCAAAGCGAGCGCTCTACCATTTGAGCTACATCCCCTTTGATGTTTGAAATGAAACTAAGAAAATCATTATGAATAGATGTTTACTTGAGCAACAGCAAACTGTTTAGTCGCATTCGGATATTCATCAAAAATTGCTGTTCTCGTTCAGAATAAAGGGAACATTCAACAAAAATGTTTCTGCTTTAACGCAACACAAATGGCCAAGTGAAAGTGCATCTCATGTTTAGGCTGAGTCCATCAATCGTGTGTTTCTAGGCTCGTGGATCACCAATAGTTCTCTAGGCTGGCCGGAGTATTCTAGATTCGAATTTAAACATCAAATTTAAATTTTTACAGTTGTTTTACTACTTCCTCCATTTCACAATGTAAGTCATTCTAACATTTCTTACATTCATATTTATGTTAATGAATCTAGACATCAATATGAATATGAAAAATGTTAGAATAACTTACATTGTGAAACGGAGGGAGTAATATATTGTAGCTGCATTTTCTTTTTTTGTAATTGTAGCCGGTGGTTTCGGAAAAAAATAACCGGTTATTGGCAGGTAACCATCATTGATCTGAACTCAAATATTTAGTTTGAAAGTTTGTCCGATAAAGGTTTGGATAAATGATGTTCCCAAACGCCAAATACTTATTACTCCCTCCGTTTCAGGTTCTAGGACGTTTTGACTTTAGTTAAAGTCAAATTGCTTTAAGTTTGACCAAGTTTGTAGAAAAAAACAATACTCTCTCTATTTCTAAATATTTGACGCCATTGACTTTTTTAAATATGTTTAACCGTTCGTCTTATTTAAAAAATTTAAGTAATTATTAATTCTTTTCATATCATTTGATTCATTGTTAAATATACTTATATGTATGCATATAGTTTTACATATTTCACAAAAATTTTGAATAAAACGAATGGTCAAACATGTGCTAAAAAGTTGACGGTGTCAAATATTTAGAAACGGAGGGAGTAACATTTTCAATCCAAGAAAAAATTATTATGAAAATATATTCAAGTTTAGTATTATAAATATTACTATATTTGTCTATAAACTTAGTCAAACTTATTTCAAATTTGACTTTGACCAAAGTCAAAACGTATTATAACCTGAAACGGAGGGAGTAATTATTATTAAAAAATAGTTATTACCAAATGGAAAGTATACAGATCATATGCCATCACAGGAAGTCAAATCTTGATCACACCTAAACGCAATGAAGTGTGAGGTTGGGCCTACACATGTGTCCGTGCTGGGCTTGAGGTCCAGCAAGCAACACGACGGCCCAAACAAGTCGCTGACACCTCACGCTGTGGAGTGGATCCACTCAATCTGGGCCACACAAGCCTTATCCGACGGTAGCCCAGAGACCCAAGGGGGCTCGGAGTCTAAAACTCCGAACCCCCTTTGTGTTTTGAGGCGCAGCGGATTAGCTTATCTCTGGCTGAATATCATCAAAATTTGTATATTTTCCAAGACTAAAGTATCTTTGTTTCTAGACATGAACACGAAAACACCATGTATGCATTAGTTACAGGAATCATGTAAAAGAAACATATTTGTTTGATATTTATTCCCTGAACCTTCCTAAATGATAGGTGTTTCATCATATTCCAGTATTCCACTTGTACAAGATTGGCCTATTTCTAACCACATGCGCATGATCTGTGAGACTGAGACCGTATGAACTTACTGTCGGTTGCTTTTCTGCATATAAATTCAGTACGTCTCCTGCCGAATGTCTAGCGTTTTTTCTTCTAGCTTGTCAAGACTCTGATGACATATATTGTTCTTATCAGTCTTCAGCTTGTCTCAAAAACGATTCTTGCCACAAAATGTGTATCCATGGTGCAAATTGTGTAGGTAATCATAAAGCTCCTTGCTGACCTTTAGAACATTCCAATTTTAAGTTCAGAGACCGCAGATGGTTCTATTCATTTCAGAAGGCCCTTTTGCAGTCATACAATGAGCATGTGACACAATTAGAAATGTAGACAAGTTGATTTCCACTCTTCTAATGTCCCATGTTCCATATGCCATCTACTATGGAAGTCCAAGAATGTTAGAATGATTGACAGGGGCTAGAACCAACTTGGAAGTTAAACCTGACAAATGGCTGATCAAATCTGTGGACTTACGTGGATTGAAGAGAGGAGTTGGTAGTGGCTGAACTTTGCTAGTCAAAAAACGAAAAAACAAAAAAGATAGTATTTGAACATATTTAAAACATTAACAATAGTTGCTACCTCATTGTCAAAGTTTGTGGTACAGTTGCCTGTGGGAAACTTTGAAACTATGAAAACTGCAATGACATAATAATAATAGTCATGTACTCAAGCTGTCTTCAGATTCAGGTATTTGGTATGCATTGATGTTTTTTTGGAATATGAAGAAATGCATTATCCATGTGATTCCATATTGCCATCTACAATCACAGTCAAGTAGAAGCGGCCATGAACTTCGCAATGATTGAAGAGGGAGCAATGCAAAGGCTCAGCACTTCACTTGGCAATTAGTTTATGGTCAAACATGTTTACTTAGGAGACAGATGGTCCATGGCCAGCCTCTTCCATGTGGACAGGCATTTTTATGTAGTACTGGATGCATCATGGCATTTCCACTTGGTATGATTAACCTTGGTCTGTCCTGCACTACACCGTCGGCTGATCTTTCCTCCTGGTGGCGCTCCGCGCGGAAATCAATTTCTAAACAAGACCGTAAGACTTTTGATGCTGGAGTTATCTTGGTGACCTGGCTTATATGGAAGGAACGCAATGCTAGAATTTTCGACAACAAGGCCATTCTGGCGGCGCACTTATGTGCAGCGATGGAAGATGAGTGGACCACTTGGGGTGCAGCAGGGCTGCTGTGTCCACTGCAAGCCGGAAGCAACCTGATGGCGAGAGAGCAACATTAAGCCGGTGGTGGTAGCTCCCTGCTCTGTAGTACAGACGTGCTTTAATGTCTGGCAGGCAGCATCCTCTGTAGCCTGAATCTGCAGCTTGCACCTTTGTAATTTGTTTCTTGTGACTTTTTTCCCCTATCTTAATAAACTTCGGCTGGCTTCCGCCAGCCCGGCGAAAAAAATGATTAACTAGGGCATCCCATTAGTAAGAATTATTCTTAACATAGTATTCAACATTGTTTCAGTTTTGCAAATATAGACCTACAATTCGAATGTTTCAGACAAAATGTAGATTCAATACTGAATTGGATAATTTTATTCTGAAATAAGCATTGAGCTGAATATATACTATCCAAAATCAAAATTCAAAGAGGAAGGAAGGAAGGAAGGAATTCTGAATTTCTGATGTTTTTGTTAGGCTTGCCCGGGTCTAAAAACTTGATTCTGAAACTGTGGACAGTGCTATCTGTGTACGATATGTTTGTAGCCGATCGGCCGTACTCTCCACGACGAAGTTAGCTGCTATGCTAGCCGATCTGAATCTGAAGCATGCATCATTATTGAGATTCTTATACATCCTGAATGTACTCTTGAAAAAAATGAATGTCCGATCTGCTCACATGACCGAACGTATTGTATTTGGTTGTTTGTATACGGCCGGCCTGACTGCAACTCTGCAAGAGATGCTATTAGTCAAATAGAAGCATCTCTCACATGGTCGGCACTCACGCATATATCCCTAGAAAGAATTATGGATCATATGCTTAATGTGAAGCATTTTAATGGATTAGATCATCTGAGACGCTCAAGGAAAAGGAGATTTTTCAGTCAAAGAGAAACAGCACTATTATTAGCTTGTCAATTTGAGGTCTGCAAAACAAAACTGAGGTCTCAGGGTGGCATGTTCCAGACCCACTTGATGCATGGCTCCTGTCTTCTTAACAAAATATTCCACAGAAGCTAAAATTTACAGGGAAATGTGTGGCATGTTCTCTGCATGTTCCCAAGTAGTGGATGCAGCGTGCCTGCACATTGCATCTGCATGTTACTACTACAAACAAGCTAGTCTGTGTAACACAAGTTACAAGAACAATATATATAAGCCAGCATTGCTCCCCCTTGATGCCCAACTGCCATACACGCACACAGTACTGCAACTACCACCACATCACAGTTGATCAACAAAGCATCATCACCATGAAGAAGAAGGCTTTGCACCGCATGTTCGCTGCCATCTTCTTGCTCCATATTCTCCTCGCTGTAACTGCTGCTGCATCACCAAAGACCAGCACCGGCTTGTTGCGTGACGGCAACAACAATGCAGTAGCTGCTGTTGCTGCTAGGAGTAGCAGGAGATTGCTGCTGCAGCAACAGCAGCCCAGGGCAGCGGCGCCGACGGCGGCAATGGCTACCAACACCTTCCGAGTCAATGGCGTTCATCAGGCGAACGGCGAGCCCAAGGTGGAGTTCGACGCCAGCATGAAGCACAACCCCGGGACCAACTTCAATCCCAGGCACAATTAGAAGCATCCGGCCCGGCTACCTTCTGCTTCTTTCTGGATTCTGCTCTACATTTTTAGTTAGCAAAAGTTTTGCAGATGAGTTTTATCAACTTGTAGATAGTTTTAACCCAGCTTTCTTTAGTACAATTAAGATCGTGTCGCTAGTTTTATCATTAGTTCCACTACACTGCTAGCTTAGTAGCTTGTAGCTTAATCAGCTGGATGACTCACGTTCTGGCCGTTAGGTAAGCTAGCTTAATCAGTTAATCTGCTGTATCCTTCAATTCACCGAGAAGAAGCAATTGGAGAATTAACAGCAATTTATTGTCCGTCGTTCAAATCAGTATGTGAATGATACTTGTGGGCTCTTTTCGGCTTCCTTTTTCTCCCCATCTGTTTCACAGGCTAATGGGCTATTTCCTGTGACCATGCTGCCTAGACTGGAACAAGAATCAACAGAAACAGCAGTCTGTAACTCTGTATTCCTGATCCACAATTGCTCAGGATGCCCATATCAAAGACTCAAAGTTGTGTGTTCATATACCTGAAGCACCCAGCAAATATATGTTCCAACTGGCTTACTTTTACTTTGTTAAGCTAGGAGATTTTTTTTTTTCAGGATTTCTGAACAAACAATAATCTTGCCACAGAGGACATGGTGTACTTGTATTCACAATGCAGGGTACAGACTTCACCTCCCCTGAATTATCCACTCTGAGTCTGAGCTAACAACGCAGCCACATCCTCAGAATGAATGAAGGAAAGGAAAACAGCAAACTTGCATAGCAATCATTTTGAATAAAAAATTAAGTAAACAAATAAACTTGAATATGACAAATATTTGCAGTTCACAACTTCAAGTAAGGATCTATGGATATATGGCTTCTCTAGCAAACTAACAGAGCCACAGGTAAGTTCTACCATTGAGGAGCCCAAAAAAGTTCTTTCACTTGGGCACCTCTTTAAGTAACAAATGTAATGCCGACATTTGTTTGCCTCAGGACTAACAATAAGATCTGGCTATGCAAACAAAAGTAAAGTCTAACTAACTTCACATAATCAAGAAGAGTTGAACAAACTCCTCAGACCAAAAGGAACAGTTGTACATCACATAAGCCGCAAGCCTATCCTACAAATCCTCCCAATTCATAAGCATTAATCCTGCTTCACGATGCAGGACTCGCCAACTATCAGATCAATCCTCAGGGATTATTGTTTAATATACAAAGTTAGCACAAGGTGCTTCCTTTATAGCCCAACAATTGTTGTAGAATCATCATTGCCGTTGGGCAGATGGAGATTGCTGAACCTGCACTGGTGGGAAGAACCCAGCACCTGGTGGTTGAAAAAATCCAGTCGAGGTCGGCGATTGCTGTGGTGCCTGTGGAGACTGCTGCTGCTGGGGCTGGCTCTGGTTCTGAGATTGTGTAGGCAGAGGCAGAGGTGGAGGCACACTTAGTCTTGGAAAACCTGCTGACATAATGTTGGGCAATGGGGGTGGAGGTGGCGCAGAGCCACTCACCATCCCAAAAGGTCCCATTCCAAACATTCCTCCAGTATTTTGAACAAATTGTGGCATAAGTGGTAATGGAGGTGGAGGTGGTGGAAATGAACCAGCTGCTTGGTTTGCTTGGGTTGGTGGCTGTGTGCCTCCAAGAGCAGCTGTTGCTCCAATCTGTGGTTGCACCTGCGGCAGTTGCCCAAAGAATGGGGGAGCACTCATGTCACTAGCATGAATGGGGTTGTCAAGCCTAGGCTTCTTATTGCTCTCAAAGCCTGGAGGTCCTGCAGAAAGATCTCCAGAAGTCGAACCACTATTCCTTGCTTGTTCAGCAGCAAGGGAAGAGAAAATGGAGGAGAGCACCTTCTCAGGAGCTGACAAAGATGCAAGCTTATCTGCCATAGCTGCTGCAGTTTTTTTGGGCTCATCACCAACAGCACTGGATGTGGCAGGAAGTGAGGTTGCTGGATGCAGTGGTTGAAACTGGGGAAATATCGGCATTGCTGCTGAATTCTGCATCATGGCAGCTGTTTGTCCTGGTGGAAGTGTAACCATCAGTGGACTAGAACTAGATCCTGCACCATTGTTCAAGGCACTACCAAGTCGTTGTTTTAGTTGCATGGCATGTTCAGCCTTTGCTCGAGCCACCTGTTAATTAAATCAGGGTTAGCCAAAAATCAATCTAAATAATTTCTTGAGTAGCTGCTAAACCACCCCTTCAGTGGCAGGAAAGATGCTGTGGTTTTAACTGAGATGGTAGATAGCAATGTTAACAAAAGCCAGCGGAGATGGATACTACATAGGGAACAGAAATATGTGATTGGAAATTTCTAACTTAAGATGCAATGACACATGTTTGCACCATGGAGTTAGCAGGTTAGCTACATAGAACCTAGGTTACAATTAATAACAATGCATGCGCATGGGTATATCACTGCAGGCATATCTTTATATTAGCTCGTGCAAGGGCCACCTTAACCGTATAGCTTATGCTGTAGAGATAGTCAGACCTCCCAATGTGCTGGACCTAATTCTCTTGAAACAGATAAAGAGAGAAATGTCATATATAAGCAAACATAAGTTGGAATTGAGAAGCAGTCTAACAAGTAGGAAATGACATGTTGCCTTGTTATCCAGAGTAGGCCTCAGGGTTGCCATGGTAACTTTTAAGAGGCAGGTTTGTGCTTGAAGCAGGATACTAGATGAGCCAGACATCATCTGTGCTGCCCAAGCTGACCATGGTTAGTCTACTACTTCCATCATAGAGCTGAATTGTACAGCAGATTCAGCAACTATCCAGTTTAGAGGCTTCTCTTCGTGTCAGAGCATACAATGTGCATCTTATGTGTTCTCATTTTTGCTTTTGTATTTCCTAGCTCTACTCATCCTGAACATGTGTGATATAAATTCATGAATGAATGTCGTTGACAAAGCAAAACTCTGGTTGTGCTCACATGCCATGGACTCATGGGGTCTTAGGCTAGGCATCAAGAATAGAGTCTAGCTCAAAGCAAATACAAAAGCATATGGATCCATGAAAATGCTCAGCATAATTTTGACCCTAACTTTCCATTATAATTGAGTAATAACAGACATGGCATAAGAAATAGAATGATCTAACATGTGATTCTGCAGTGAAAGATGAAGTAATATGCATAAAAAAATAATCCTTACAAGCAACTGATTGCGAAGAAGCTCTGACTTTGCTTCCTGTTATAAAGAAAGAAAAAACATAAAGCTTTATGACTGTAATAGTATGCCGTCAAGGTAGAACATTTGGAAGAAAATATAAAAGGTGCTCAAGACCTGTTCGCCGAGGGCTTTTCTTAGTTTATTGATTAGGGTTATTCTAGCCATGTTGACACTTTCAAGTTGCTCAATGCACTGCTTAAGGACTGTTTCCTGCCCTTGAAGGTCAGAAATCAACGATGATCCTTGCTGAATACCTATGAAATAAAAAAGGAGTAAGGTGCGCATGTTTTGATCAAGAATCGAAGTGAAAGGCTGAAAGCATTATAGTGTCAAAGCATCATTTCTTCATATCTGGTCTCCAACTTTGTAAATACAGAAAGTCAGGGTACAGGTTTCCGATTAGAGTGAAATGCATGGTCGGTCCTTAAAATTGAGCAGTGGTGTCACTTGGGTCCGTAAACTTGAAAATTGCGCGTTTAGGTCCATGATCTTGGTTTAATGAAGCACACCAGGTCCAAACCTTGTTTGACCAGGGCTGACCGACGATGTGGCGCCCCACGTAGGCAACAATTTTGCATCCAGCCTCATCCACAGCACGGAGTGGCGGTAAAATTGCATTTAGCTCCTGCGAGGGAGGAGGGATTTGGGGATTTTGGGGGGTTTCGGGGTGGTACTGTGGCTGAAAGGGGCTAACTACAATTTTACCACCACGCTGTCCTGCAAAAGGGGGGCGGATGCAAAATTGTTGCCTATGTGGAGCGCCACGTCGGCAGTCAGCCCCCAGTCAAATGAGGTTCAGACCTACTGTGGTTCGTTATCATGGACGTAAATGTGCAATTTTCAAGTTTACGGACCTAAGTAATACCAACGCTCTAGTTTAAAGACCCGCCATGTATTTTACTCTTTCAGATCATTAGAGCTAGGAGCATTTTTAATAGGAAACTTTGCACTACAGTATTTTTTACTCTGTAACTCATTAAAATATTTAGTCAAATTTGAAGTCAGCAATTGTCAATAATCATGGCCTACAGGCCTAGTGTGCACTATAAAGGACTCAAGGAACTATCACAATGTAAAATAATTAAGCTGCTGGATGTGCTCCACAGAATAAGGATATGTATGCTAGACCACCACCTATGAAAACAAATGCCAGAAAATTGATTTTCTTCCCTTTATATGCCAATGCATGCTACAATCACATCATTATAGTTTTTTTAACATAATTATAAAATTATGTACAGCAATTTTCTTTGTCAACATGCTAGATCATATTTATGTATTTGAGATGTTTGTTTAGTCTAGAATTTACATGGCAGATCAACAAAAAACCGGAAATACTATGTAAATTCCTTTTTTCTCAAGTCAAGTACATGATGGAACTAGAAGTAAAATAGCGCTGGAACAATCATGATGCAATACAGGCCAAGGTATCAGAATGCATTAAGTGCCAATCTTTCGACGGTACATATCCATAACATAACAGACCTATTGAAGTGAGAAAAATGCTTTACCTTGAGTACAAGCATCATCTACATCTTTATCCATCCTATCCAAAACACTAACAGCATTATTGCATTTGTTTAAAGCTGTGTCTTCATCAAAATGTTGATCAAGCACTGACTGATATGCTGTTACAATCTTTTCTGGCATCCCGCCAACAGTAAGTTTCTACATCAAAAGACAAAACAACAAAAATATCTCTATCAAATTCATGACAATATACTGCATCCATCCTTAGCACAAGAAAATATTTTTTAGCAGGTCAAGATCTGGCAACTTACTCTTGTTACTGTACCAGAATCTTTCCGCGCAGCTTTGGAAACTGAAGAGGGGTTAGGGCTTGGATTTGAGCTATTGACATTGTTACCCATTGTATGAGTGCTACCACCAAGAATGTCATTTTTCAGACTTTCAATACGGGTTCCAAAGACCTTCCGCTCATCCCAAATATCTATCTGTAATTTTAAAAATAAAGTTTTTTTTTTACTTTTTGGGCTATGGCCTTGTGATAGAGAAAATGAAGTAAATAGACTTTTCCAATGTAACGGAATTAAGAATAACTTACTAATCTTCCAACTACTTTCTTTCCATCTTCTCCCCCATTGACATAAAAGTCTTTCAATAATCCAGGAAGAACCCTCCAAAATTCATTCACAAACTCCCCTCCCTTGCGTTTACTATTTTGCAGGATATCATTTGACAGGTACAGGAATGATACTTTCTTATCCTTATTTGCACTGTTATACTGCTTCTCCCATGTATCAACAACCTTTCTGGCTCTCTTTCGGTGAAAAATGCACCAATTTGAAAGTGCTGCTTAAGAATTAAGGAATAAAAAAGGCATGCTATTGTAATCTAGATGCTATTGTTAAAAATATGCTGTGGGAATTTGGTATCATGACTGTGTAAATGATTTTTACGGCATTGACATCAAACACAGGAAAGCAAGTGGTAAGACTCGTTCAGAAGATATTACATAGGGATTCGAGTTGCTAATATGTAAGCAAACGGACATGACACAACCATCACATAATCCCCCACCCCCTTTGTAGCGTGAATTTATGGATGCAAATGGATAAATGCTATATATATCCTTCTTCAAATGCCAAAAATTTGCAATTTGCGACTTGTTTTTTTTACAACCATAGGGAATCTGTTATTTGTTTAATTGATGACAGTATATGATAAGCCCTGACCTAACTGCTTAACTGATTTAGAAATGAAGATAAATGGTCATAAAAGAATCGAAAAGGTTGTTTATTCATTTGCCAGTACTACCTCCGTTCAAGAATATAAGAAATTTTAGGGTTGGACACGGTTATTAAGAAAGTAGGTAGAATTAAATGGAGGAAGATTGTGATTGGATGAGAAGTGGAACTAGGTGGGAAAATTGAATGGATGATTGTGATTGGTTGGAAAGAGAATGTTAGTGAAGAAGTTGTTATATTTAATCATTCCTTTGTAATTTTGTATTTTCTCCCTCTCTTCCTTTTGTAAATCTTTTCTTATTAATTATTTAATATAGCGCAGTAGGAGCCCCTCCTGCTGTTCCACGTCAAAAAAAAAAAAGAAGTTGTTGTATTTTGGGACAAATTCTGAAGGCTAGAAATTGTTATATTTTGGGACGGATGGAGTACAACATTAGTGCAACCAAATATTACCACATTGTATTTCGAACATAGATTAATGGATACCATCGTAAAAAGCAGTTCCACAAAGATTGTACAAGAAGCCATCAAGAGACCAAAAAAAGTAGAACTAGCATATCAGTACCCTGATAGCAGCAACCAAAAGGAAACAAAGTATGTGATATATGATTGATTCTACCCATTAGTTTGTAAATTGAACAGGAAAACAGCTATATTCAAATCCACAAGAGAACACTACTACAATGTGATACAAACCTAACGCTCCTTATCATTACTCCCTCTGTTTCATATTATAAGTCGTTTGACTTTTTTCTTAGTTAAACTTCTTTATATTTGACCAAATTTATAGTAAAAATGAGCAACATTGAAAACACCTAACTAGTTTAATTAAATTTAACATTGAGTATATTGAGTATATTTTCATAATTTGTTGTTTTGTATTAAAAATGTTAGTATATTTTTTTATAAACTTGGTCAAATTTAAAGAAGTTTGACTAAGAAAAAAAGTCAAATGACTTATAATATGAAATGGAGGGAGTATTAGTCAATTTCAAAATATAATCATCCTCAAAAGACATAGAAAAACATAATTTTTCACAACAAACAAAAAATTATTACACATCAAACAGAAGAATAGAAGATATTACTAATTGTAACACAACAGCTTAACAAATCGTGCCATTATTTGTCATTTTTCAAAAGATAATCATCCTCAAAAGACAGTGAAAACTTATTTTCCCAAGAAACAAAAACAAAAGGAAAGCATGTATTGATAGTAAGAACACATCAAGCCAAAATTGTAATATAAATTTGATTGCCAATAGCCCAATACACCGTAATGCTGATAAGAACTACAAATATTTTAGCGAGGTTAATTTATATATACAGCTATAATTGAAAATAATATAGGAAAATATGCCCAAAAGAATGATCCAGAAGCTAGAGAAAAAATGGCCACACTAAGTTATATTTGTATCATCGTACACATCAATAAGTATTGATAAGTAAAACATTAGATGCAGTCTAACTCTAGCAGCAATAAGCACAGCTAGGAACAGGTGAAGGTGAATATTAACCAAACAAACAGTGCAAGAGCCAATATATGGAACGCCAAGGAGATAAGCTGTGTCAGTTGTACTAATCCACATTGCAATTTAGGGTTCTATTCAACTTGAACAGTAAATCAATCAAAACTACCAGACAGATAATATAAGCAACCAAAGTAAGTACTATCCTAATAGCACTAGCATACCACTACGCTAATAGCACCAACCAAAAGGAACCAAAGTATGTGGCAATATGATCAGTTATGCTCATTAATTTGCAAATTGAACAGGTAAAATATTCCATTCTAATGTACAAGAAACCTGTATAAGTACTAAGTAGACCACCTAGAAAATATTAGTAAAATGTAACACAAAGCCTGAATGTTCCTTATCATCATTTTTCGGTTTCTAGACACAGTCATCCTCAATAGGCATTGAAAAACATTGTATTTCTCAATAAACAAAAGATCATTACATATCAAACAGAAAGATACTACTCCATCAAAAAAAACGAATTCCAAGCTACGAACCTGGACACACAGGTGTCCAGGTTCGTAGGTAGGATTGGTCTTTTTTTTAGGACAGAGGGGGTACTATTCACATAATACCTAACAGTTCATGCCATTACTTGTCATTTTTGTAAAGATAATCATCCTCAAAGGATGGTGAAAAACATATTTTCCCAAGAAACAAAAAAGAATGGAAAGCATGTATACAGTAAGAATGCATCAAACAGAAATTATTATACAAATTTTCATTGCTGATACACCATAATGCTGATAAGAAATCCAAATCTTGTAGCCATGCACATCTATATACACTTATACAGCTATAACTCAAAACAGTATATCAAAATATGCCCAAAAGAATGATCCGGAAGCTACAGAAACAATTGCCACACTAAGTTATATCCATATGCATCAATACATAAACCACGAGATGCTGTCTAACAGTAATAAGCACAGTTAGGAACATAAGAAGGTGAATACTAACCAAACAAACAGCGCAAGAACCAATATATGGAACGGCAAGGAGATATCCTAGGTCAGTTGTACTAATCCACATTGCAATTTAGGGTTCTATTCATCTGGAACAGTAAATCAATCAAAACCACGAGACAGATAAGGTACGAGCGCTACCAAATTTGCAAGCGCACAAGAAATAAACAACCGGAAGAAAGGATACTCTGGATCCTAGTCGCCGTGTTGTTGAGCTTGTTAAGCTTCTCAACAAACGCCTGCTCGCTGAACGAGCCAGAGCCGCCGCCGCCGCCGCCGATAGTTTCCGCCTTTGCCTCCGCCTTGGTGTCCGCCATCACGAAGGCGAAGGCTCCACCACCGAACTCCTCCCCCTCGCGAACAAGCTAATCCCCCGAAGAAACTTGTACTTCTTGGCCGGCCAAGATCGAACCAATCCTAAATCCCCCCCTAAAAAAGGCGAGAAAATCAGGAATTTGGAGGCGAGAGATTGAAGCTTGGGGAGGTTTTGGGAGGGAGAGTGACGCGTACCCCGGTGGCGAGCTCGTCAGCTTGAATTCGCCGCCGGTGAACGACGGGAAGGGGGCGGCGAGGCCGGGGTGGGCGGGGAAGGGGAGGACGAGAGGGTTTGGTTTTTTTTTCCCCTTTCCGTGCTGCGTGTGTTCGCTGCAACCTGCAAGCCTCTTGGGTTCAACAAGCAAGGGTGAGGGTTTTTCACATCAGAACATGAGAGGGTGAAAAAAAACTGAAGATAATGTTATTGGATTGGAATTTTATCAAAGATAGCTATAAAAATAAATTAAATATATAATACTATTGGTTTTATTCATGTGAGATTTGAAAACGTGTATACAAATATGCTATACTTTTTTCTATTAATATACATACGTTAAAACGTGTTATTTGTTTAGCGTACAATGCGGGCTATATTAAATATAGCCATAACATTTATCGCTTGAATTATACATATCGCTTTTGGTGATATCCTTACACATTTAATGTTATGATAAGCCTCGTTCATTTATTTTTTCCAAATAATACTCGCTACATCCCTCCGTTCCAAAATATAAGGTATTTGGGCTGGATCGGACACATTCTAATACTATAAATCTGAATTTAAGATTCATAGTCATAGAATGTATCACATCCAATCAAAATCCTTTATATGTTGGGACGGAGAGAATATATTTTAGCAACATATTAGGTTGCACTTTAGCCCTAATGCTTATGTATAATCACATCCAATCTCTCCCTCAGTAATGATGTAACTTGCACGTAAATAGGAGAGATCGTCCTCATGAGGTTGTTGATGTGCCACAAAGAGAGTTTGAATAGTCCAAAGTGTAACAAAACAAAAAAAATAGATGATCCAAAGTGAAAAAAAAATCAGATAAAAGTGCTCCAAAGTGAAACTTCGATAACATAGGGGACTAAAGTGAAATTCACTCAATAAAACCATGATCACATAACATGTGCATTAAAAAATATCTTTACACTTTTTACAAATATTATAATCAAATGTATTAGTAAAATGGACGATATACTCGTAGCTAGAATAGTATGAAACATTTTACCCCGAAACATGGAGGGCATGAAAATAAATTGTAAAATTTAGGATTTTGTGTTACAGATGGCTCAAGACCTCACGTTTTATGAAATTTACTCATTTTATAATTTGAGGTACTTTAAATATAACATATTTCTACTATGTTTTTAAGATGGATGGTCAACCGTTATGCTAAGTGTAATATCATCGTATATTAAGAGGATGTACATAAAAAATTAAAGGGAAAGAAAAGGGAAACCAATGGTACTACAGTCCATTTAACTCCATTCCTCATTTCCCAAGTACAGAAAACTACAATTTGGTACCAAGCGGATCCGAAGAGATAAACTTTTTATCTACTACTACCGTTTTATAATATAAGTCATTCTAGCATTTTCCACATTCATATTCATGTTAATGAATTTAGACATATATATCTATCTAGATTTATTAATATCAATGTGAATATAAAAAATGCTAGAATGACTTACATTGTGAAATGGAGGAAGTAGATAGATACAGAAAAGAAAAAAAAAGAAACTAAATATACTCGCTTGTACATTGAAGCGCTGCTAGATGTTGCTCCGTAGCGCTCAATGTGGGGAGCTTCACCCTGACGAGTCGTGAAGAAGCAGAGAAGATTATGGTTGGAACGCCATCTCCATCTCCATCTGCACCAGTTGCTGTTTCAAGGCGGTACAGCTTCTGGCCAGCGGCGAAGTTGCCAAGCAGCTGGTAGGAGGTCGCGGAGCCATCCATGGTGAGGCAGAGATCGTCGGTGCACGCCGCGAGCTCCTTTTGTGTGCGGTAGATGAAGTTGAGCGCCGCGGCGACCTCCTCCTCGAAGCGGGAGAAGGGGCTCGTGGTGTCGTCGTCGTCGTCGAGGCGCAGCTTGCGGAGCTTGCAGAGGCCTTCCCCGAGCTCCATCATGGCGCCACGGTGGTTCTGTGTTTGTGCACGATCATGTCTAATCACGAATTTTACAGAAGTGTTTACTGATTACTATGCATAGTTAAATGTGGAAATAATGAGACGATGAAAATATATATACTTGGTTGAAGAGGTGGTGGAAGGCGACGGCGCACTGGAGGATGGCGTGGAGCAGCGTCCGGGTGGGCTCCTCGGCGGTGTACCAGAGCTCCTCCACCACGTCGTGGCACGCGTGGAACTCGCCGCCGTTGAACAGCGCCACCGCCGCGTCGAAGCTCCCACCTATGACTTCCGACTCCTCCTCCTCATCTCCTTCTTCATCGGCATAGTTCTCGTAGAAGTCGTAGTCACCCCGCGCTGTGAGGAGGCGGCGGCGGCAGCGGAGGTCACGACGAGAGGAGGATCGGCGCTGCGGGTGGTGGAGCGGTGGCTGTGGGCGGAGCAAGAGGCCGCCCGCCGGCAACAGTATCCGCGGTGCGGTGGGCGTGCGCTGCTGCGGCAGTAGCCGGGCGGCGTGCAGCGAAGCGGCGGAGCGGCAGGGCGCCAGCGCCGGCGCCATAGGAATTCAACGGAGATTGCTCTGCTTTTGTCCGGTGAACGAATCGCGCGCGTGTGATGTAGTAGCGTAGGAGGACGTGTGGACTCAACCAGAGGTGAGCCGTTGAGACACTCGTGCATGCAGAACCAATCAATGGAGTGAGTCAAAGTGTCAAACCCACAAAAATATCTAACTACAGGCCCAATAAGCAACAGCCCATCTGGCCTAGCCAGTTTTCCCAGCGTTTCGGGTTTGGAATAAGTCTATTCTAAACCCTCCTGTCGGGCAATTTAATTGACGTCCCTAAACCACGGAACCCGAAATCTTTCTCCCTAAACTATACGAAACCATTTGAATCAAATCCTATAACAATATGGAGGATTGTTTTAGCTTATGTGGCACCCTAGTCAAAAAAAAAAAGTAGAACCCACATGCAAGTGGCCTTCAACCTCCACACATCCCTCAATTCCCTATCCGTCCACCTCTTCCCTCTCTTCACCAGAGCGCACTGCCAGGGAGAGAGGGTGATGGCTGGTGCACCCGTCCGTGGAGGCGGCAGCAACGGTGGGAAGGAAATTGGCGATGAGGGCCGGCCTTTGATGGGCGACCGGTGGGCAGTCACGCCGAGCGTGAAGCCCTTCCTTGCCTCCTCCAACGCCGACGAAGAGGGAGATGGCGTTGTGGTGACAACACCAACGATGGTGGATCTGCCTCCTCGCCCACCCATGTCTTAGCTTCCATTTTCCCGCACTATCAGAGCTCGGGCCGTCTCCGCCGCTAGAGAGATAGAAAGATAGAGGTAGGAGAGACCCTTGCCTCATGCAACATTGCTGAACAAGGAGATGGCGGCGGCGGTAGCGACGGCGACGAGATGATGGCGGATCCACCTCCCTGCCCACCCACATCTTGCTTCCGTCTCCCTGTGCTGCAGGGAGCTCAGTCAAATGTACGCACGTGCTAGGGGAAGCGTGTACGGTCCACTCTCGCTGCACTCGATGGCCTCAACCTCGATCTCCGCCCTCAATACCCCCACTTCCTCACTGTGTGTACCCCTGGGACATTGAGAGCACCACGACACGGTGAGTTCAAGGGAAAAGTAAGATGCCACACACCATAGTCTGCTTCACTGTCAACTCTCTGTCTATTGGCCTACCTCCACCACCACCGTTACCATGAAACCAAGAGCTATATCGCTCGTTGACCTCCTAGATGATATCGTCGTCGACATCCTCACCCGGTTCCCCGACCACTTATGCCTGTGCCGCGCCATGTGCAGATCCTAGCGCACCCTCATCTCCAAGTTGTGCTGATAAGTGGGTCTGGATATTTGCCATATAAGCGAAAACAAAGGAAAAAAAAGGTCTATACTGTTATGGGATGTAAGTTATATAGTTTAGGGGTAAAGATTTATGGGTATGGGAATAAGGGATGCCAATCAACTTGACGTAAAGTTAAGGGATGGTTGGACTTATTTCTTTCGCGTTTTCCTTGGGTTTGACAATGGGCTACATTGCAAATACTCGGGCCGACCCACCCAACAAGATCTGCCGGTAATATACATGGGCTTAATTCTCACCAACAGCGACGGGTGGGCTCGATTTCGTGGGCCTTGTATTTGGCCCGCACACACCAACCTGTCCTGTCCTGCCGTCCTGCGCCGCTGCGCTGCCAATCTCTTCTTCTCTTCCCGCGTCTCCTTCGCCTCTTCCCGCCAATCGCCAAATTTCCCCCATCTCACCTCGCTCCGTAGCCTTCTATCCCAAAACTTCCTTCTGCTCTTGCTAGGCTAGGGTTTCTTCCTTCCTCTACCTCTCATCCACAGATTACGAGATCGATCCAGCAGCAGGGGCAAGTCAGTCGAGTGGAGAGCGATGGCGCCGCTCTCGTGGCGCCACCACACGCTGTTGCAGGCGCTGCTCTCCCGCGGGCCCCTCTCGGAGCGCGACTTCCACGCCCTCTTCTCCGCCATCTCCGGCGGCAAGAACCCCGGTATATGCTTCTGCCTGCTCCGCTTGCTACTCTCATCTTTCTCCTGCTGTTCGCCAGCGCTTGTCTCATTACTCGTAGCACAGGTGTTCGACGTAATGCCCCTTTAGGAATTACTATCATCTCAAATGGAAACAATCTTAGTTTGTCCCAATCTTCTCTCAGTTTCAGATAATTTCTGCTTCATTTCACCATTGACGCCTGGTTTTATTACCTAATATTGTTCACAAATCATAAAAATACTATGCGTGATTTTATATAATTTCCGGCCTAAGGGGTGTTAATATTCCCATAATTGAACAAAATGGTTTGCGACCATTCATGTTCTGTATCACTGCTTGCAGCCACTCATCGGCATCTGTTCAATGATACACTCCTCAAGATCAACAAGGAGCTCGCATACTTGCAGTTTGAGTTAAGAGCAGGCATAAACCAGTATGATGGTACTGTGTATTATGGAGTGGTCAATAACATTGCTGATGAAGAGTCAAAGCTTGGATCAAAGTTTTCTGTGCCACAGATTGCATTCTACAAGGGATTGGTATGCAATCACTTTGCCTTTTTTTTGGTTAATCCAGCTCAATCTAGTATTCGCTATATTCATGTAATTGTACTGGCAGTTGGAAGCAATAGTTCATGAAGCTGGAAATGATGGGAGCATAACAAATATCGATGCTCTTAACACACGGATTGAGAACCAGGTATCTCGTACTAGTAATACCCAGTCACTATGAGAGCTTTTGTTTCTGTTTAAGCAAATGTTTTATATTTGTATTGTTGCAAACTTTTATGGTAGTGTGACGAATTATTTGGTGTTCTGCTCCCAGGTTGTAATTGCAGACGCTTCACAGGGCAGTCAATCCCGTCTGCCTACTTCCATTACCAACTTCTCATTGTCCCAAAAGGAGAAAACTCTTAATGAACTCATACAGGATCGTTGGCTGTCATACACTCCCACAGGAAAGATTGGTCTTGGCATACGATCATTTCTTGATCTCCGAAGTTGGTTACGTAGTAATGATATCCCATCATGTGAGGTCTGCAATGAAGCTTGCATAAAGGTGCAGATATGTGATTACGAATTACGATTCTACATTTGCATTTATCTTGTTACCCATGGTCATATACTCCACTAATGTCATTCCCTGTATTTCTATTACTTATTTAAAACAGGCATCATCTTGTCCTAATGAGGGATGCAATGTAAGGATTCACGTGTACTGTTTGAAGAAGAAATTTTCTCAGAGAAAGGTAGTTACCTATTTTTAATTCCACTTTACACATATGAACAGGAGTGGCTTTCTAAATTGTTTGTGTATGTAGGCCTCGAGAGCTTGTGGTTGTGGTACTGAATGGCCTCGGTTGGAGGGTGAAGATGACGGTGCTGAGGATGTTAACGAACCTGAGGAAGATCAGGTCCCATCAGCCAACCAGCATTCGAGGACTAGACGCAGAGGAGTCAAATCTGAACTGGTGGAAGAAAATGAAAGAGCAGGCCCATCAGCGAGGATGACAAGGAGGAGTTTGAGAAGCTCTAAAGCGGAAGCAGTTGAGGCTGCTCAAGAGGTGCCATCTGCAGCAGGACCTTCGCAGTCAACCAGGGCATCTAAGAGAAGAAAGAACTAATGAGATTGATTTGTGCTTGCTAGTGATATATCCAGGTTCCTTTTGTCATGTACAGACAGTAGCAGTAGGTAATCCTTTTGAAGTGGCAGGCAAAATTGCAACTTCTAGTTGGAGAGGAATATATAGCTTTAGGATGCTCTTGTTACTAACTCTTAGAACGTATTAGAAGCTTAATGCTTTCATTTGGCAAAGCAAGCCTGCTTGTGACAGCCCAGTTAACTGTTTGAATAGCTCTCTTGCTTGGTGATGCTAGTTTCATGCATGCTGTTTTTATCCTCTATGTTGCTTGTTTCTTTCGGCCCCATCTTTTCGGTTATGCTTATGCTTATCAGCCAAAAATTGAATTTTCAACCTTAAATTTGGAGTTGATTTTGGGGTTTTTCTCATCAAAGTTTATTTTTCAGCATTTGCTTTTAGATCAGAACACATATATAAAAGTTTTATTCACAAATTATTTTTCGTTTGCAAATATGCCGTTTCGCTTATTGGGGACTTTTGTGTCTCTTATTAAAAGGGACAATTTAAAGCTCAGCACAGCCAGCATTGTGTGGTTGCTGACTGGTATAAACACTGAATGGAAGGTTGCCTAGGAGTCAGGAGGAAAACCCAAAAATAGAGAAAAAAAACAGAGTGGATCCGGCAAAAAAGAGAAAAAACTGAGTGAGGTTAGTTTCAGGGTTGAGAATATCCTGAACAAGGGCAGCCAAGTCACAAGTATTTTTGTTTATATCATTATATGAGTGTGAAGATGAAGATGATCCTCACCCAGCTGACTTAACTATAGATGATGGAGAACAGCTTGTTGAGTCCTGGACTTACTTGCTTGACGTATTCTACTTGTTCTTTTCATTTTTCTCTTTTTGAGGGCGTATTCTGCTTGCTGATGCAGCTATGGTACTCTATTCGCGAACATAGGCAGCTTGCATGAGGTACGGTCCAACTCGGAGAAAAGAAAGAAAAATAGAAGAAGAAAAGATGGCTGCTATTATTTTACTAGATGTGTGTTTCTTGCATGCATCATTCAGGTCCTGCAGATTTACCATATTACTATATAGCTAACCACCCCGCTGGAAATTCCTAGTATGTTGACATGCACACAGCTAGTTGCACGAACAAACTGAAGTTGGGCAGTCGCCATCTAGACAAAATCAGGGGATGACTGAGTTCAGGCGAAAGCAACCATGGCGACAATTGGTGAAAACACGTACGCGCTGCAATTAGTTATTGAAACGTTCAACTCTTGATTTGATTGATGGCCCCAGATGAGCTGAGCCTTAAGAACTAAGATACATACTTTGCTAAACTAGTATATACTCCGTTTTAAATTATTTATGATTCTAGCTTTTATCGTAAGTTAAATATTTGTATTTTTTGACTATTAATTCTTAAAACTTCATGTGGTTTAGCATTTTAGAATCAACATAAGAAACACTTTCATAATATAGCATCCGCATGTTGTTAAACTATCCGAATTTTAAAAAATTGATGGTCAA